ATCCGTCTCGGGGGTTTCGGCATTCGTCGCATGGCACGCATCGCCCCGGTGAGTTTCGTGTGCTCCTGGGTGCAGTGTGCTCCCATTCTCTGTTCTCTCCCTGCGTGTGGCGAGGTGTTTCGGCGGAGCTTCGCTTCAGGTGAGCCAGAGCAGATCGACCGGGCTCTGCAGATGGCGCTAGAGGGTCTCCCACCCGACGTTCTCTCTCTCCTTCCCCCCTGGCCCTCTTGCGCTTCTGCCTCCCCCGATTCCCTTTTTGCAGGAGCGAGCCGTCTTCTGGAGGCGCATGCCTTGGAGGCCGTGCGTGCCCGTCACGCCTCTCCCTTGCACCTTGCCCGTTTGACTTCCCTTCAGGGCGGAGGTGCAGGGGCGTGGTTGACGTCGGTGCCGTACGCTGACCCACTGCGCATCCCGGAGGCGCTGTGGCAGGCGGCTTCATCTTCTCGTCTCGGTCTCCCTATCCCCCAGTTAGCCCTTGCAGGTCAGTGCTCCTGCGGACAGGCGATTGACGACATGACGGTGCCTCATCACGCGGTTCGGTGCCCGCGCTACGGGGTCGCCACTACCATCCACGACACGGTGAAGTACATGCTTCGAGACTTTGCGGTCGAGGCGGGCTTCGCGGTAAAGGTGGAGGACTCTACGCTGTTCACACAGTTGGAGGCAGCTCGAGCGAGACTACTGGGATAGCCAGTGGTGGGAGAGGGGACGCGGGCGGAGGGACCGGGGGAGCAGAGAGGCGAGGCGGGATCGCCGGGTGGCGGGGGACAGTGGGGACAGCACCAGCTGCGGGGTCAGGTGGAGCGAGGGATAGGGGGGCAGAGGGGTCGGCAGGGGGAGCAGACGGGCCAGGACGGAGAGGGGAGACGGCACAGGCAGCAGCAGGAGAGCCAGGGGAGGCCGCGGGCCCAGGGCGCCGCGCCTCCAGGTTCGGCCTCGGGGGTGGGGCAGGGGCGGGAGCAGCAGAGAGCGGACGGAGGTACAGGAGGGGCAGCGGGATTGGGAGGGGAGGGCCAGGGAGTGAGAGAGGCAGCAGGGGATGGAGCAGGGGGGTCGGGAGGGTTGGGGGAGGGTAGAGAGGGGGAGGGGAGAGGACAGGTGGATGGAGGAGAGGAGAGGGGGAGAGAGACGATTGGAGAGGAGGCACCAAGGGACCAGACAGGGCAGCAGCCAGCGCAACAGCAGGGACCAGTCGGACGCACAGGCCGTGTAGGCACCGCCTCCCGCATCCCAGACCTCACCTGCCGCGACGTTGGCCAGGGTCTGATGGTTCTTGTGGATGTCTCCATAGCGGATCCACAGCGGGAGGGGAACGTGCAGCTGAGACGGGCGACCCCCACACAGATTGGAGTGGCAGCAGCTAGACGAGTGCAGGAGAAGCTGAGGCACTGGGGGCCGCACTTAGAGGGGCTGCAGCCGGCACCACACTTTTACGCGTGCGTGGCGGAGACCTTTGGCCTTCTGAGTGAGCCGCTGCGTCAGTTTCTGGGGCTCTGCGCAAAGAGGATAGCACAGCGGAGGAGGGATAGAGGTGGGGGGGGATGACGGATCGGCACGGATATTTGAGGCAGGACTCACTACACGCCTCTCCGTTGCACTGCAGCGCGCGCAGGCTCAATGCATGATCCAGCATGCGGTGCGGCAGTTAGGGGGATCCGACGACGGGTGGATGCCCGCACCAGTCCCACTGGGTGCGGGGCAGGGAACTTGGCACCACGTCACAGGGTGCTTCGAGAGTGTGGCTGATATGCAGTATATATATGATGCATATGTGTAAAAAAACAATAGTGGCTGTGCTTGAAACGCTGTGCCCGTGCGGTCGTGCGGGTTGCTGCCGTGTTTGGTCCTTTGGTGCTTCCTCCTCCTTAGTCTCTCTCTCTCTCTCCTCTTCTCTTCCCACCTCCCTCTTTCTGTTCCCTTCTTCTATCCTTCCCTTCTCTTCCTACCACCCTCTTCCTTTCCCTACCACTTCTTCTTACTCCTTCATCTTTCCTTCCTTTCCTTTCTTTCCCCCTTTTCCTACAAAATATATAAATCGTCCTCATAGCGCTTAGGCTATGTCGAAATTTCCTAGTCTTGGAAAAACCATTATTTTCGGCTTGTATTTGCTCTTCCCTTATTAATGAATAACTGCTCTCGCCCACCGGCGCTTAGCTTCGGAGTTCTGATGGGATCCGGCGTAGTAGCCGAGGTATGATCGTACCACGTCAACCTCGTGCCCCGACCGCTACACACCCCTTGCCCGGGTCCCCCCCTTCATAGTCACACCCCCTGCCCCCTCATGCCATCCGCTCCCCCCGCCCCTACCCTCCGCGTGCCCGCTCCCTTGCCGCCTCTTTTGACCCTCCCTGCCCCCCCTCGCCGTTTCCCACCGCCCGCCATTCGCTCCTCCCCGCCCGTGCGCTCCCCTCCTTTACCTTCTCCTCCCCCCTCCCCTCCTCTGCTGCACGCCTCTTCCTTCCCCTCGCCGACCCACTCCACTCCCTGCCCCTCCTCAATCCGCACCCTGCCCCTCGTATCTCGCCCCCCTATGCTTGGTTTCTCCCCTCCCTGCCCCTCGCCGCCTTTCCCCGCTCCCCACCTCCCCCCTCTCCCTGCCCCCCCCACTCTCCCCCCCCCTTGTCCTTGGCTTCCTACCTCCCTGCCTCACCTTTCCCCCCTCCGTGTGCTCAGCTTCTCCCCTCCCTGCCCCTCCCTCCTCCCCGCCCTGCCCCTCATTTTCCGCCCCCCCCACGCCCGGTTTCTCCCCTCCCCGCGCCTCCCTTTCTTTCTCCGTGCCTCTCCTTTGCTCCCTCCCTGCCCCCGCCTGCCCATGCCCCTGTCTTTGGCTTCTCCCCTCCCTGCCCCACGTTTCTTCCCTCCCTGCCCCCCGTCTGCCCCTCCCTTGTTTTCCCCTCACCCATTGCTTCTCTCCTCCCTGCCCTTGATTTCCCACACCCCTGCCCTCGTTTCCTATCATCCATGCCCCTCGTTTCCCCCCTTTGTACGTTCAGCCTCTTCCCTCCCTGCCCCTCCCTTCCTCCCCCCCTGCCCTTTGCTCTCCCCTCGTTACGCTCCCTTCTCCCCATCCCTGCTGCCCTCTTACCACCATCAGCCCATCCCCACGACCAGCCCCCCTCCCACCCTTCAATCCCCCCCTCCCTCTCTCTCTCTCTCTCTCTCTCTCTCTCTCTCTTTCTCACACACACACACACACGCACACTCCCCTCCCCCACCCCCCCCCCACCTACATCCTCCCATTCTGCCCCTCCCTGCCCCTTTCCCACCCCCTCGCACGCCCCTCACCTCCCACCTCCGTGCAACTGGTTTCCCCCCTATGGTGCCACCCTTGCATCGCTCGCCCCTCTGCTCACCCTCTGCCCGCCCCTTTTCCGTGCCCTCAGTTGGCCCAGCCCCTGCCCGTTGCTGCCCCTCCCCTTGCCCCCTCAACTCCCCTGCCCCCCGTACACCCCAAGTCCCATCCAACCGCCCCCACCCTCCCCCGGCTGCCCGTTTCCGCTCTCCACCCCCGCGACCGTGTGCGGCTTCCAACCGCCCAACGGTGGTGCGCACGGGGCGTTTCTTCGCATGGGCAAGCCTCCCCGGGGGCCCCCCACCCCGCTGGGTCGTTGTTTGGGCAAAAAAAACGAAAAGAAAAGAATCGGACGCGCTAAAATCGTCCTTTCTTTTTCCCGCTTGCCCCTCCCCCGGCACGTGCCGAGCAAGGGGCATAAATGGGTACAACACGAGGACTTCCCGGGAGGTCACCCAGCCCAGTACTGCTCTCGCCCACCGGCGCTTAGCTTCGGAGTTCTGATGGGATCCGGCTAATAGCTGAGGTATGATCGTACCACGTCAACCTCGTGCCCCGACCGCCGGGTCCCCCCCTTCATAGTCACACCCCCTGCCCCCTCATGCCATCCGCTCCCCCCGCCCCTACCCTCCGCGTGCCCGCTCCCTTGCCGCCTCTTTTGACCCTCCCTGCCCCCCCTCGCCGTTTCCCACCGCCCGCCATTCGCTCCTCCCCGCCCGTGCGCTCCCCTCCTTTACCTTCTCCTCCCCCCTCCCCTCCTCTGCTGCACGCCTCTTCCTTCCCCTCGCCGACCCACTCCACTCCCTGCCCCTCCTCAATCCGCACCCTGCCCCTCGTATCTCGCCCCCCTATGCTTGGTTTCTCCCCTCCCTGCCCCTCGCCGCCTTTCCCCGCTCCCCACCTCCCCCCTCTCCCTGCCCCCCCCACTCTCCCCCCCCCCTTGTCCTTGGCTTCCTACCTCCCTGCCTCACCTTTCCCCCCTCCGTGTGCTCAGCTTCTCCCCTCCCTGCCCCTCCCTCCTCCCCGCCCTGCCCCTCATTTTCCGCCCCCCCCACGCCCGGTTTCTCCCCTCCCCGCGCCTCCCTTTCTTTCTCCGTGCCTCTCCTTTGCTCCCTCCCTGCCCCCGCCTGCCCATGCCCCTGTCTTTGGCTTCTCCCCTCCCTGCCCCACGTTTCTTCCCTCCCTGCCCCCCGTCTGCCCCTCCCTTGTTTTCCCCTCACCCATTGCTTCTCTCCTCCCTGCCCTTGATTTCCCACACCCCTGCCCTCGTTTCCTATCATCCATGCCCCTCGTTTCCCTCCTTTGTACGTTCAGCCTCTTCCCTCCCTGCCCCTCCCTTCCTCCCCCCCTGCCCTTTGCTCTCCCCTCGTTACGCTCCCTTCTCCCCATCCCTGCTGCCCTCTTACCACCATCAGCCCATCCCCACGACCAGCCCCCCTCCCACCCTTCAATCCCCCCCTCCCTCTCTCTCTCTCTCTCTCTCTCTCTCTCTCTTTCTCACACACACACACACGCACACTCCCCTCCCCCACCCCCCCCCACCTACATCCTCCCATTCTGCCCCTCCCTGCCCCTTTCCCACCCCCTCGCACGCCCCTCACCTCCCACCTCCGTGCAACTGGTTTCCCCCCTATGGTGCCACCCTTGCATCGCTCGCCCCTCTGCTCACCCTCTGCCCGCCCCTTTTCCGTGCCCTCAGTTGGCCCAGCCCCTGCCCGTTGCTGCCCCTCCCCTTGCCCCCTCAACTCCCCTGCCCCCCGTACACCCCAAGTCCCATCCAACCGCCCCCACCCTCCCCCGGCTGCCCGTTTCCGCTCTCCACCCCCGCGACCGTGTGCGGCTTCCAACCGCCCAACGGTGGTGCGCACGGGGCGTTTCTTCGCATGGGCAAGCCTCCCCGGGGGCCCCCCACCCCGCTGGGTCGTTGTTTGGGCAAAAAAAACGAAAAGAAAAGAATCGGACGCGCTAAAATCGTCCTTTCTTTTTCCCGCTTGCCCCTCCCCCGGCACGTGCCGAGCAAGGGGCATAAATGGGTACAACACGAGGACTTCCCGGGAGGTCACCCAGCCCAGTACTGCTCTCGCCCACCGGCGCTCTTACCTTGACCTAGCTTACCTAGCCATGGCTGCCTACTAAGGAGCCTCCTAAACCTACTATTTCGAGTTGCTTAAGGACAAAGTGATTGTGATAGTTGTTTATGTTATAGTTATAAGCGTTTCCAACGGTTAGTTTTTTAGTTTCGACTGTCGAGTTCGACGGGACGGGGGTCGCGAGTTTCGCGCGCGACCCTCAGGAGTCTCGGAAACGGAACTCGCGGGGTGTTACGGAACCGTTTGTTCGACCCCGCCATCGCGGGATCGCTGCGGACGCGCTGCAGCCGGTGTAACGGGAGGTGGGGCGTGGACGCGAAGTTCGCCCGCGGAGTGTAACAGCGCGCGCGACTCACAACCACAACTCCGCCAGACACGGTGTTCCCGCCCATCCCCTCTCTCGACACTCTCCCTTATCCCCCCGCTCTTTTCTGCTCACGGCTTTTCCATTCGAAGCGATTAGCAAATACCGAGTTTTTTCCCGCGGTTTCCCTCTCTCGAAGTCACTGAGCTTAGCTTCCGCCCGTAGTTAGCACTCTTCCTTCCCTTTCGGTGCGCCCTTCATTGTCGAAACCCTAATTCGAAGAGCCGCGCGTTTCCAAGCACGCTTTCTCGTCGCCTATCATGTTTAGTCACGCACTCGTTTTCCCCGCCTGTTCAATCTAGCCGCGACGTAGACGGAACCGCGCGGGGCGCTTACCGCCAGGGAAAGGCAGCGCGGAGGGAGGCGAAATTGCTACGTTCGTAGCGATTAAGCAGCCCTCCCCTTGCGCGCCTCCCGAAGCGCGTTTTCTGCCTAGAGCATTTTAGCCGCCCACGTTTGGCACACAAGCCGCCCCACTCCCCTTTTGCTCACCCCCACCCTGCCATGCCTCGTCGCGCACTCGTGCATGCCACCCACACGTCGTAACCTTACCCCGTCGCCACCCTCATAGTCACCTCCCTGCTCACACCGCCCCTTTCCCCCTCACACGCGCGCTTTAGCCACCCCGCCACCTAACCTCTTTCCCTAACGGCGCTTAGCTAGCAGAGGCCGCCCTGTTTCTGGAAACCGTAGGAAATAAGAGGAAACAACTTCAAGGAAAAAAAAGAAAAGAAAAAGAAATTCATATAAATCCGAAAAAAACCAAGAAAAATCAGAAAGGCAGCTTACACCTTGTTCTCCCAACCCTCCAGGGCCCCATCCAGTCCGCCACCCCCCCCATTCTGTTTCATCATACTACACCACACCCTCCCCTTTTGCCCACCTGCATTACCGCCCCTCTCCCCTTATCCCCCACCACGCCCCCAAGCAGGCCTTTCTCCCCCCAGCCCCCCGTCTCCCTGCCCTTAGTACCGCCGCGCTCTGCCCGTGCGTCACCCTCGCCCACGTCATACCACCTCCCCCTTCTCCCTCCCCCGGCTTCTCCCTATCATCACCCGCATGTTCCCCCACTCCCCTGTCCACAACGTCCCTCCTCCACCCCCCCTCCTACCTTCCCCACTCCCACTCTGCCCCCCACACCTCTACGAGCCGTACCTCCCCCTCCAGCCTTCCTTTCCCCCCCAGCTACTTCCGCATCCAGCGTGGGCTGCACCCCTGCATCCTGCCCTGCCAGGCCCTTCGAGGACCCAACTGCCGCCACCTGACACCACGCCGCCTTTCCCACCCCCATCCAATCTCTACACCCCCTGCCCCTGCTCCCTGCGCAATCCAGCCACCTACCCCAGCCTCCCTCTACCTCTCCCTAACTCCACACTGCCGGTCCTACCCCCAGCCAGGGTCTACACCCCTTGCTTTTGCTCCCTGTGCTGTGCCGTCCCCAACCTCCGTCCGCCCTTCCGCGGCACCAGACCGCCTCTCCCTCCCCCAACCAACCTCTGCACCCCCTGTTCCTGCTCCTTGTGCCTTCCAACACCCTACCCCAACCCCCCCCAGTCTCCCCCTTCTCCAACACCCCCCATATTTCCTCCCCCCTGGGGCTCGCCCATCCGCAGGTATCACCCTTCATCAATTCCCCGATTCCCTCTGTCCCCTGCTTCCCGGCCCCGCATCTTTTTCTGCATTTACCACAGCGCCTCCTTTCGGTGCCCTCTCGGCCCTCCCACGTTCTCACCCCCCGCCTTCCAACCTTCTCATTACCCGCTACCAGGCTCACGCCAACTCGACTACCCACTACCCTTTGCCCCTTCCTCTCTGTTCCCCACCCTTCCTTCCCCACTTGGCTCCACCTGCCCACCCCCACCTCCCGTGGAATTCTGCCCTGCCCTCCCCACCTCTGGCCCACCACCTGTCCCCACACCCTGCTCGCCCACCACTACATCACCCCCGCCCCCCCACCTCCACTACAGCCCGCCAACACTTCCCCTCTCAACCGGCCCCCAGCCCGCCCCCCCCTTGGGCCCCAATCCCCTCCAACCGTCAGGCCCCCTCTACCCTCTCTTCCACCCACTGCGCACCGCTTTCCCCACCCTTTTTCCATCTTCCCAAGCTAACCCCCCGCACCCCGGCCTCTGCCAGGGAGTTCCTTCCCCCTTTGACGCCCTCTTGAGCCAACTCCAGCAACTCACACCGCCACCGCCAGGCATGCTGCCTCTGTAACAATGCCCCAGCACCCCGCGAGTGGGGAAAAGGCAGACCCGGGAGCCCCTCGGCGATCTGGGAGGTCCCGCAGCCGAGCCACCCCCTACTCTCCCACTCCCCCCACTTCAACAGTCAGGAAGAAACAACACACACCTGACCAAGCGAAAACACTCACACAATCTGACCCTAGGGGCCAGAAACGTACCCTTGAAGAGGATGGAACAGAGGAACGCCAAGCCCCACTGGAGGAAATATACAAGGAGGAGCCAGCACGCTCAAAACCGCGCCCTACCCCCGCGGCCCCATCCCAGCCTACCCCCCCTTCAGGTGACAGCGGGGACGGTACCCATGCATGCCAAGTGGAGAGATCCCCCAACTCACTCGCTACCTCCCATTCGCAAACCAGATTACTTGTGAAAACACTTAATCCTACTAGCACCCCCAAGCACATAGAAGCGGGAGGGGGCAGAGCCAGGGGGGAACTTGCAGCTAACACTGCACGGGAAGGGGTAAGTGAATGTGTGTGCGAAGGAGCAGCAGAGGCTGCAGAGGGTGGGGCAGCAAAGGCTGCACGGGAAGGGGCAATGGGGGTTGTGGGGGAAGGGGCAGCAGAGGTTGCAGAGGAAAGGGCAGCAGAGGCTGCAAGGGAAGGGGCAGCAGCGGCTGCACGGGAAAGGGCGGCAGAGGCTGCACGGGAAGGGGCGGCAGGGACCGTGACTCTGGCCAGGCAAAGGGCAGAGGCCATGGAGACAGGTTTTGCAGGAGTAGGGGCCACGGAACCTGCTGCTGTGTCGGCTGGGGGAACCGCAGCAGAGGAGGCTATAGGGACCGCACCAGGCGAGGCCGCACAGACCACAGCAGGTGTGGCTGCAGGGATCACAACGGGTGAGGCTGCAGGAGGGACCATGGCAGGTGAAGCCGCAGGGAGCGCAGTAGGTGAGGCTGCAGGGAGCGCAGCAGGTGAGGCTGTAGGGAGCGCAGCAGGTGAGGCTGCAGAGAGCGCAGCAGGTGAGGCCGCAGGGAGCGCAGCAGGCGAGGCTGCAGGGAGCGCAGCAGGCGAGGCTGCAGGGAGCGCAGCAGGCGGGGCTGCAGGGGCCGCAGCAGGTGAGGCTGCGGCGGACGCAGCAGGTGAGGCTGCGAGGGCTGCATCATGTAAGGTTGGGCAGACTCTAGCAGGTGAGGCTGCACAGTCTACAGCTGGTGAGGTCGCAGGGACTGCAACAGGTGAGGCCGCAGGGACTGCAGCAGGTGAGGCTGCAGGGACCACAGCGGATGAGGCTGCAGGCGGGACCAGGGCAGGTGAGGCCGCAGGGAGCGCAGCAGGTGAGGCTGAAATAGCCGCAGCAGGTGAGGCTGCAGAGGCCGCAGCATGTGAGGTTGAGCAGATTCTAGCAGGTGAGGCTACACAGACTGCAGCAGGCGAGGCCGCAGGGACTGCAGCAGGTGAGGCTGCAGGGACTGCAGCACGTGAGGCTGCAGGGACCGCAGCAGGCAAGGCTGCAGGGATCGCGGCAGTCGAGGCTGCAAGGACTGCAGCAGGAGCGACAGAGGCCACAGTGGGGGCCGGTTCAGGGGGAGGTGCTACGGGTGCAGCGGGGAAGGGGGTAACGGGGACTGGTGCGAGGGAGAGTGCTGCCCCGGCTGTAGCAAGAGAGGGTACGGCAGGGGCTAGAGTGGGAGAAGGGACAACAGTGGCCTCAAAGGTAGAAGGTGAGGCTGTAGCTGAAGCAGCAGGGAGGGCCATAGCACGGCCAGTAGGGGCGGCAGGGGCCGCAGCAAACGCGGGGAAACACACAGCAGGGCCGGCAGAGACTGCAAAAGGGGCTAGCAGTAAAGCGGCAGCAGGCGGGGTGGGCTCGGAGGACATAGGGGCAACAGGGGAAGGAGAGGTGAGTGTGGTCCCGACCGGGGTGGGCACTGAAGAGGGGGATGTGATAGCGATAGAGGAGGATGAGGGAGAGGATGTGATGCACATTGACGGGCCACTGGCCCAATACCTCACGCCTGACGGTGAGGCCGACCCGGCCCCCCTGCAGCCTCACGTCGAGGTTCCCCCTCTACCCCCCATGCCCGTCCCCATGCTAGCAGAAGGACCGATGGAGGGGCTGGGGGAGACCTTGAGGACAGAGCCGCACGAGGGAGCCCCCATCCTCACCTCCCGTCCTCCAGCCCACCCACCCCCAAGAGCACCACTTCCCCACCCCCACCCTCAGGTCCCGGTAGTATCCAGGGGGGCAGCCAAGGCCCTGGCCTTCTTGGCGGAGCCGTGCTCCCCGACCCCCACGTTGCTCCATGGCCAGCCCCCCTCTCCGTCCCCAACCCCTGACCCCACGGTTGCAGGCGGTCCACCGGGAGAGCACGCGGGTGCGACAAGAGCAGAGTCACCCGAGGGCACCCCTTCTCTCACCTCTCACCCCTCCCCGCCCCTTCCCTCACTCCTTCCCTCACCCCCAAGGGCAGCACACCTCTGCCCCCACCCTCAGGGGCTCCTTAGAGCACCACGTGGAGCAGCCAGGGCTCTGGCCTTCCTAGAGGAGCCATGCTCCCCGACTCCTACCAACACCCAGCCACCCCCTACCGGCCCACTACCCCCCCCTCCACCAGGCCCCCCCCCACCCGGTAGTACACACATCTCGGAGGTTGAAGCATCTCTGCGGCCAAATCCCTCTCCCACACGCTACAGGCACCCAAACCACCCGAGTCGCCGCACAGCCCCAACACGCCCACCCAACAGGCTGCCCCCCTCACACCACCCCCCCCAGGCAGCCGAGACCCACCCACAAGGGCTTGCGCCCCAGGCTCATGGGAGCGGCGGCACCCGGGTAGAGGGGCCCACAGGAGAGGCCACCACAGAGCCCACACAAATCTCTCTCCCCCCACCGCTTGTACCTCGCTCTAACCTCCACACTGGCCCAGCCCCTCGACCCCCACCTCCAACCCCCCCTCCCGGCCGGGTTCCCCACGAGTGGCCCCGTTGGGCAGCCATCACCCCCCACACACAGCCTGCCCGATCTGTTCCCACGGAGGGGGATGTTTCGAGGAGAGAGGGGATACACACAGAGCACCCCCCGCCTGGCGAACCACCCATCCTCCCTCCACCCACCCCTTTGGCCCCACAGCCCCCCCTTCCTTCACAAACAGGCGCGGACAACCAGGTTGGCCGCCGGCGGAAGAACAGGGGCAGAGGAGGCAGAGGGTCAGCCCACGTACTCCCCCCTCCCTCCCTCCCCCACCAAGAGCCCCTCCCCACCCCACATCCCGTTGAACCCTTACCAGGCCCTACCTCTACAGCCCGACCACCAAACCTACACTCCCGCCCCGCTCCTGCACCTCCACAGGGCCATGGGAGCGGACCAGCCCACTCACCCCCATTCTGCCCCTCTCGTGCTGTGTCCCCCTCCCAGGTGGCGGCGGCCGCGATCGCTACTGGGATGGAGGCCGTCGGGTTGAGGGATGCGCCCATGGAAGACGCCACCGACTCCCCCTCCCATCCCTCCCACCCCTTCCATGTCGACGACCCCCTACCGCAACCCATGGTGATTGGGGAGGGCCAAGGGGGCCTTCTAGGGCAGGGTCCACACCCGAGCTCCGCTCAGCCAGCAAGCCCCACCCCACCCTCTACCCTGCCAGCCCTCCTACTCTCACCTACAGGCAGGCAGGTCTTCGAGACCCCAGAGGAGGTGAGGGCTGGCATTTCAGATTTGCTGGCGATACACCGCCCGAGCAGCTCTCCGGCTGCCCCCACCCTTCCAGTCCCACAGGACCGGACCCGGACGTATGCGGAGGTCACCCGGTCTGTCCCTTCTTTTATCCCCCCCGCCACTCAGCCAGGCGCGTCACTCCCGACCCCAATGGAGACGGACCAGGTTCTGAGGCCGTGTCACGCGCACCTAGATGGGGTGGCGCCTCCCCCCGTTCACCCCGTGGCGCAGGAGGTCACCAGCAGTAGGGATGAGGCATCCGCCCCTACCGAGACCCCTCCGCCTGGGGTAGCAGAGCCGTCACTTGAACCGCACCCCGCCGAGGGGCAGGAGCACACCACGGCACACACTTCAGGCTCACCTCCACGTCCCCCCTCCCCAGCTTCGACACCGGTACCGGTACGAGGCCCGGCCCTATCCTGTGCGACACCACCTCTATCTTCGCTGACACCCCCCATGCACGGGGCTGGTGAGTCGTCTCCTCCCCTCATCCCAGGCGATCCTCTCGGAGCTCAGGCCGCCCACGGGGTCCCCTCTACAGCCAGTTCCGACGCCACGGCCCCGATTGACCCCGCCGACACGGCGACATCACCCGACCAGGTCGTGAGTTGCCCCACCTGCAGGAGCTCTCTCGCGAACCGACGCGCGCTCCAGCACCACATTCCCTTCTGCCATCCTGCGGACGCGGCTCGCAGGGCGCAGGCTGCCCAGGACACCGCCTCGATCATCCCTTCCCTCTCACAGCCCCGTGCGACCGGGATACAGTTCACCGACGCACAGTGGCAGACGCTCGACTCGGTGGACTGGACAGAGTACTTCTCGCCCGAGCGTATCCATGCACGCCCTCTCCGACGTGTCCCGGAGAGGGTCCGCGGAGGATATCTCGACGTCCTCAGTGCGATCCTAGTCCGCATTGCCCAGGACCCGGAGGCTGCTGGCCCTACCTTCCTCCTCGCTGCAGCGCCGACTCTTTTCCTTGTTCCAGCGACGCCACCCGACCGCTCGCACACGGCTGCCATTGCAACGCGCATCTCCCGCTTTGGTCGAGGTGAGTGGGCTGAGCTAGTCTCAGATGCACTAGGCCGTCGCACACCCCTTCCTCGGCGCACAGGTCACCGGTCACGCACCGCCACCGATCCCTCTACAGCAGATGAGCGCCGCATTGCACGTTGTCTTCGTCTGGCAGCGTGCAATGAGACCTCACGGGCGTGCGCGGCTCTCGAGTCCGCGGAGGCAGCCCCAGATACACAGGGGACGATACAGCGCCTGCAGTCGAAGCACCCCAACGCGGAGAGGCCGACCCCAGCTTGGCAGTCTGGCTTCCAGGGGTCCCCTCTCGTGCTCTCGGTGGATCACTTACGCCGCGCGATTTTCACAGCTCCGCGGGGCTCTTCGGGAGGACCGTCCAGGTTGGGTCGCTGAGCACCTGCGAGACACTTTCCTAGCTTTCCCTCAGAGTCTCCATTTCCTCCTGGCCGTGTACCAGCAGTGGCTCCGAGGCCGTTGCGCTCCAGCTACGCGCTCCTTGCTAGCGTCTTCCACCCTTGTGGCTCTGGCGAAGTCGAACATGGATGTTCGGCCGATTGCCATCGGCGAGGTTTTGGTCCGCATTCTTTCTCGTGCAGTCTGTCTCCAGCTACGTGACCAGATGGCGAGGGTCTTCTTGGCGTCACAGCAGTTTGGGGTGGGGGTTACGTGCGGGACAGAGGTCGTAGTTAGAGGCGTCCGCCGTGCTTTGGCTGACCACCCAGACTGGGTGGTCCTGCAGCTAGACGTGGCGAATGCCTTTAACTCCTTCCACCGAGACTGGATGTTCCAGGCGTTGCAGGCCAGCCCGGAGTTTCAGTGCCTGATCCCTTTCATCGGCCTCTTCTACGGGACGCCCTCGGATCTCCACTACAGGTCAGGCACGGGAGTGGTCACGATGCACTCGGAGCGGGGCACTCGCCAGGGAGACCCTCTCAGCCCCTTCTTGTACGCTCTGACACAGCGTCTTGCTTTGGAGCCGGTTCTGGTGGAGGGGGATGTCCAGCTCTGGTCGTACGCCGATGACACGTACGTGCTAGGTCCCCCAGACAGGGTGCTGCACCACTTTGCCGAGATCGTGAGGCGCTTGGGCGAGATGGGCCTTGCAGCCCAGCCGCACAAGTGCCTCGTCTACCAGACAGAGTCCTTTCTGTCCAGGGATCTGGAGGCCTTCACGGGCCTAGGGATCGAGGTCGCACGCCGAGGGCTCACCGTGACAGGCGTACCGATAGGCACCGTTTCGTTCGTGGAGCAGAGTCTCCCGGATCGTCTCGAGAGGATGGGGCGGGTGCTACCTTGGCTTCCGAGGTTGCGCCAGCCCCAGACAGCTGCCCGCCTTCTGTCGGCGTGTGTCAGCACTCGTCCGCAGTACCTGTCGAGGACCGTCCCTCCTTCGCCCGCAGTGATCTCTAGTTTTACACGGTGGGACGCACGCCTGGGAGAGACATTTCAGCAGCTTTTAGCTTCAGGGACCTGGGCTTGTCGCGAGGACGTCCGAGAGGCCGCCCTAGACCAGATCTTCCTCCCCATCCGTCTCGGGGGTTTTGGCATTCGTCGCATGGCACGCATCGCCCCGGTGAGTTTCGTGTGCTCCTGGGTGCAGTGTGCTCCCATTCTCTGTTCTCTCCCTGCGTGTGGCGAGGTGTTTCGGCAGAGCTTCACTTCAGGTGAGCCAGAGCAGATCGACCGGGCTCTGCAGACGGCGCTAGAGGGTCTCCCACCCGACGTTCTCTCTCTCCTTCCCCCCTGGCCCTCTTGCGCTTCTGCCTCCCCCGATTCCCTTTTTGCAGGAGCGAGCCGTCTTCTGGAGGCGCATGCCTTGGAGGCCGTGCGTGCCCGTCACGCCTCTCCCTTGCACCTTGCCCGTTTGACTTCCCTTCAGGGCGGAGGTGCAGGGGCGTGGTTGACGTCGGTGCCGTACGCTGACCCACTGCGCATCCCGGAGGCGCTGTGGCAGGCGGCTTCATCTTCTCGTCTCGGTCTCCCTATCCCCCAGTTAGCCCTTGCAGGTCAGTGCTCCTGCGGACAGGCGATTGACGACATGACGGTGCCTCATCACGCGGTTCGGTGCCCGCGCTACGGGGTCGCCACTACCATCCACGACACGGTGAAGTACATGCTTCGAGACTTTGCGGTCGAGGCGGGCTTCGCGGTAAAGGTGGAGGACTCTACGCTGTTCACACAGTTGGAGGCGGCTCGAGCGAGACTACTGGGACAGCCAGTGGTGGGAGAGGGGACGCGGGCTGAGGGACCGGGGGAGCAGAGAGGCGAGGCGGGACAGCCGGGTGGCGGGGGACAGTGGGGACAGCACCAGCTGCGGGGTCAGGTGGAGCGAGGGATAGGTGGGCGGAGGGGACGGCAGGGGGAGCAGACGGGCCAGGACGGGGAGGGGAGACGGCACAGGCAGCAGCAGGAGAGCCAGGGGAGGCCGCGGGCCCAGGGCGCCGCGCCTCCAGGTTCGGCCTCGGAGGAGGGGCAGGGGCGGGAGCAGCAGAGAGCGGACGGAGGTACAGGAGGGGCAGCGGGATTGGGAGGGGAGGGCCAGGGAGTGAGAGAGGCAGCAGGGGATGGAGCAGGGGGGTCGGGAGGGTTGGGGGAGGGTAGAGAGGGGGAGGGGAGAGGACAGGTGGATGGAGGAGAGGAGAGGGGGAGAGAGACGATCGGAGAGGAGGCACCAAGGGACCAGACAGGGCAGCAGCCAGCGCAACAGCAGGGACCAGTCGGACGCACAGGCCGTGTAGGCACCGCCTCCCGCATCCCAGACCTCACCTGCCGCGACGTTGGCCAGGGTCTGATGGTTCTTGTGGATGTCTCCATAGCGGATCCACAGCGGGAGGGGAACGTGCAGCTGAGACGGGCGACCCCCACACAGATTGGAGTGGCAGCAGCTAGGCGGGTGCAGGAGAAGCTGCGGCACTGGGGGCCGCACTTAGAGGGGCTGCAGCCGGCACCACACTTTTACGCGTGCGTGGCGGAGACCTTTGGCCTTCTGAGTGAGCCGCTACGTCAGTTTCTGGGGCTCTGCGCAAAGAGGATAGCACAGCGGAGGAGGGATAGAGGTGGGGGGGATGACGGATCGGCACGGATATTTGAGGCAGGACTCACTACACGCCTCTCCGTTGCACTGCAGCGCGCGCAGGCTCAATGCATGATCCAGCATGCGGTGCGGCAGTTAGGGGGATCCGACGACGGGTGGATGCCCGCACCAGTCCCACTGGGTGCGGGGCAGGGTACTTGGCACCACGTCACAGGGTGCTTTGAGAGTGTGGCTGATATGCAGTATATATATGATGCATATGTGTAAAAAAAAAAAAAAAAAAAAAAAAAAGTGGCTGTGCTTGAAACGCTGTGCCCGTGCGGTCGTGCGGGTTGCTGCCATGTTGTGGTCCTTTGGTGCTTCCTCCTCCTTAGTCTCTCTCCCTCTCTCCTCTTCTCTCCCCACCTCCCTCTTTCTGTTCCCTTCTCCTGTCCTTCCCTTCTCTTCCTACCACCTCTTCTTACTCCTTCATCCTTCCTTCCTTTCCTTTCTTTCCCCCTTTTCCTACAAAATATATATACCGTCCCCATAGCGATAAGGCTATGTCGAAATTTCCTAGTTTTGGAAAAACCATTATATTCGGCTTGTATTTGCTCTTCCCCTATTAATGAATAACTGCTCTCGCCCACCGGCGCTTAGCTTCGGAGTTCTGATGGGATCCGGCGTAGTAGCCGAGGTATGATCGTACCACGTCAACCTCGTGCCCCGACCGCTACACACCCCTTGCCCGGGTCCCCCCCTTCATAGTCACACCCCCTGCCCCCTCATGCCATCCGCTCCCCCCGCCCCTACCCTCCGCGTGCCCGCTCCCTTGCCGCCTCTTTTGACCCTCCCTGCCCCCCCTCGCCGTTTCCCACCGCCCGCCATTCGCTCCTCCCCGCCCGTGCGCTCCCCTCCTTTACCTTCTCCTCCCCCCTCCCCTCCTCTGCTGCACGCCTCTTCCTTCCCCTCGCCGACCCACTCCACTCCCTGCCCCTCCTCAATCCGCACCCTGCCCCTCGTATCTCGCCCCCCTATGCTTGGTTTCTCCCCTCCCTGCCCCTCGCCGCCTTTCCCCGCTCCCCACCTCCCCCCTCTCCCTGCCCCCCCCACTCTCCCCCCCCCTTGTCCTTGGCTTCCTACCTCCCTGCCTCACCTTTCCCCCCTCCGTGTGCTCAGCTTCTCCCCTCCCTGCCCCTCCCTCCTCCCCGCCCTGCCCCTCATTTTCCGCCCCCCCCCCCCCCCACGCCCGGTTTCTCCCCTCCCCGCGCCTCCCTTTCTTTCTCCGTGCCTCTCCTTTGCTCCCTCCCTGCCCCCGCCTGCCCATGCCCCTGTCTTTGGCTTCTCCCCTCCCTGCCCCACGTTTCTTCCCTCCCTGCCCCCCGTCTGCCCCTCCCTTGTTTTCCCCTCACCCATTGCTTCTCTCCTCCCTGCCCTTGATTTCCCACACCCCTGCCCTCGTTTCCTATCATCCATGCCCCTCGTTTCCCCCCTTTGTACGTTCAGCCTCTTCCCTCCCTGCCCCTCCCTTCCTCCCCCCCTGCCCTTTGCTCTCCCCTCGTTACGCTCCCTTCTCCCCATCCCTGCTGCCCTCTTACCACCATCAGCCCATCCCCACGACCAGCCCCCCTCCCACCCTTCAATCCCCCCCTCCCTCTCTCTCTCTCTCTCTCTCTCTCTCTCTCTCTCTCTCTTTCTCACACGCACACACACACGCACACTCCCCTCCCCCACCCCCCCCCACCTACATCCTCCCATTCTGCCCCTCCCTGCCCCTTTCCCACCCCCTCGCACGCCCCTCACCTCCCACCTCCGTGCAACTGGTTTCCCCCCTATGGTGCCACCCTTGCATCGCTCGCCCCTCTGCTCACCCTCTGCCCGCCCCTTTTCCGTGCCCTCAGTTGGCCCAGCCCCTGCCCGTTGCTGCCCCTCCCCTTGCCCCCTCAACTCCCCTGCCCCCCGTACACCCCAAGTCCCATCCAACCGCCCCCACCCTCCCCCGGCTGCCCGTTTCCGCTCTCCACCCCCGCGACCGTGTGCGGCTTCCAACCGCCCAACGGTGGTGCGCACGGGGCGTTTCTTCGCATGGGCAAGCCTCCCCGGGGGCCCCCCACCCCGCTGGGTCGTTGTTTGGGCAAAAAAAACGAAAAGAAAAGAATCGGACGCGCTAAAATCGTCCTTTCTTTTTCCCGCTTGCCCCTCCCCCGGCACGTGCCGAGCAAGGGGCATAAATGGGTACAACACGAGGACTTCCCGGGAGGTCACCCAGCCCAGTACTGCTCTCGCCCACCGGCGCTTAGCTTCGGAGTTCTGATGGGATCCGGCGTAGTAGCCGAGGTATGATCGTACCACGTCAACCTCGTGCCCCGACCGCTACACACCCCTTGCCCGGGTCCCCCCCTTCATAGTCACACCCCCTGCCCCCTCATGCCATCCGCTCCCCCCGCCCCTACCCTCCGCGTGCCCGCTCCCTTGCCGCCTCTTTTGACCCTCCCTGCCCCCCCTCGCCGTTTCCCACCGCCCGCCATTCGCTCCTCCCCGCCCGTGCGCTCCCCTCCTTTACCTTCTCCTCCCCCCTCCCCTCCTCTGCTGCACGCCTCTTCCTTCCCCTCGCCGACCCACTCCACTCCCTGCCCCTCCTCAATCCGCACCCTGCCCCTCGTATCTCGCCCCCCTATGCTTGGTTTCTCCCCTCCCTGCCCCTCGCCGCCTTTCCCCGCTCCCCACCTCCCCCCTCTCCCTGCCCCCCCCACTCTCCCCCCCCCTTGTCCTTGGCTTCCTACCTCCCTGCCTCACCTTTCCCCCCTCCGTGTGCTCAGCTTCTCCCCTCCCTGCCCCTCCCTCCTCCCCGCCCTGCCCCTCATTTTCCGCCCCCCCCCCCCCCCACGCCCGGTTTCTCCCCTCCCCGCGCCTCCCTTTCTTTCTCCGTGCCTCTCCTTTGCTCCCTCCCTGCCCCCGCCTGCCCATGCCCCTGTCTTTGGCTTCTCCCCTCCCTGCCCCACGTTTCTTCCCTCCCTGCCCCCCGTCTGCCCCTCCCTTGTTTTCCCCTCACCCATTGCTTCTCTCCTCCCTGCCCTTGATTTCCCACACCCCTGCCCTCGTTTCCTATCATCCATGCCCCTCGTTTCCCCCCTTTGTACGTTCAGCCTCTTCCCTCCCTGCCCCTCCCTTCCTCCCCCCCTGCCCTTTGCTCTCCCCTCGTTACGCTCCCTTCTCCCCATCCCTGCTGCCCTCTTACCACCATCAGCCCATCCCCACGACCAGCCCCCCTCCCACCCTTCAATCCCCCCCTCCCTCTCTCTCTCTCTCTCTCTCTCTCTCTCTCTCTCTCTCTCTCTCTCTTTCTCACACGCACACACACACGCACACTCCCCTCCCCCACCCCCCCCCCACCTACATCCTCCCATTCTGCCCCTCCCTGCCCCTTTCCCACCCCCTCGCACGCCCCTCACCTCCCACCTCCGTGCAACTGGTTTCCCCCCTATGGTGCCACCCTTGCATCGCTCGCCCCTCTGCTCACCCTCTGCCCGCCCCTTTTCCGTGCCCTCAGTTGGCCCAGCCCCTGCCCGTTGCTGCCCCTCCCCTTGCCCCCTCAACTCCCCTGCCCCCCGTACACCCCAAGTCCCATCCAACCGCCCCCACCCTCCCCCGGCTGCCCGTTTCCGCTCTCCACCCCCGCGACCGTGTGCGGCTTCCAACCGCCCAACGGTGGTGCGCACGGGGCGTTTCTTCGCATGGGCAAGCCTCCCCGGGGGCCCCCCACCCCGCTGGGTCGTTGTTTGGGCAAAAAAACGAAAAGAAAAGAATCGGACGCGCTAAAATCGTCCTTTCTTTTTCCCGCTTGCCCCTCCCCCGGCACGTGCCGAGCAAGGGGCATAAATGGGTACAACACGAGGACTTCCCGGGAGGTCACCCAGCCCAGTACTGCTCTCGCCCACCGGAAGGAGAGGTGAGTGTGGTCCCGACCGGGGTGGGCACTGAAGAGGGGGATGTGATAGCGATAGAGGAGGATGAGGGAGAGGATGTGATGCACATTGACGGGCCACTGGCCCAATACCTCACGCCTGACGGTGAGGCCGACCCGGCCCCCCTGCAGCCTCACGTCGAGGTTCCCCCTCTACCCCCCATGCCCGTCCCCATGCTAGCAGAAGGACCGATGGAGGGGCTGGGGGAGACCTTGAGGACAGAGCCGCACGAGGGAGCCCCCATCCTCACCTCCCGTCCTCCAGCCCACCCACCCCCAAGAGCACCACTTCCCCACCCCCACCCTCAGGTCCCGGTAGTATCCAGGGGGGCAGCCAAGGCCCTGGCCTTCTTGGCGGAGCCGTGCTCCCCGACCCCCACGTTGCTCCATGGCCAGCCCCCCTCTCCGTCCCCAACCCCTGACCCCACGGTTGCAGGCGGTCCACCGGGAGAGCACGCGGGTGCGACAAGAGCAGAGTCACCCGAGGGCACCCCTTCTCTCACCTCTCACCCCTCCCCGCCCCTTCCCTCACTCCTTCCCTCACCCCCAAGGGCAGCACACCTCTGCCCCCACCCTCAGGGGCTCCTTAGAGCACCACGTGGAGCAGCCAGGGCTCTGGCCTTCCTAGAGGAGCCATGCTCCCCGACTCCTACCAACACCCAGCCACCCCCTACCGGCCCACTACCCCCCCCTCCACCAGGCCCCCCCCCACCCGGTAGTACACACATCTCGGAGGTTGAAGCATCTCTGCGGCCAAATCCCTCTCCCACACGCTACAGGCACCCAAACCACCCGAGTCGCCGCACAGCCCCAACACGCCCACCCAACAGGCTGCCCCCCTCACACCACCCCCCCCAGGCAGCCGAGACCCACCCACAAGGGCTTGCGCCCCAGGCTCATGGGAGCGGCGGCACCCGGGTAGAGGGGCCCACAGGAGAGGCCACCACAGAGCCCACACAAATCTCTCTCCCCCCACCGCTTGTACCTCGCTCTAACCTCCACACTGGCCCAGCCCCTCGACCCCCACCTCCAACCCCCCCTCCCGGCCGGGTTCCCCACGAGTGGCCCCGTTGGGCAGCCATCACCCCCCACACACAGCCTGCCCGATCTGTTCCCACGGAGGGGGATGTTTCGAGGAGAGAGGGGATACACACAGAGCACCCCCCGCCTGGCGAACCACCCATCCTCCCTCCACCCACCCCTTTGGCCCCACAGCCCCCCCTTCCTTCACAAACAGGCGCGGACAACCAGGTTGGCCGCCGGCGGAAGAACAGGGGCAGAGGAGGCAGAGGGTCAGCCCACGTACTCCCCCCTCCCTCCCTCCCCCACCAAGAGCCCCTCCCCACCCCACATCCCGTTGAACCCTTACCAGGCCCTACCTCTACAGCCCGACCACCAAACCTACACTCCCGCCCCGCTCCTGCACCTCCACAGGGCCATGGGAGCGGACCAGCCCACTCACCCCCATTCTGCCCCTCTCGTGCTGTGTCCCCCTCCCAGGTGGCGGCGGCCGCGATCGCTACTGGGATGGAGGCCGTCGGGTTGAGGGATGCGCCCATGGAAGACGCCACCGACTCCCCCTCCCATCCCTCCCACCCCTTCCATGTCGACGACCCCCTACCGCAACCCATGGTGATTGGGGAGGGCCAAGGGGGCCTTCTAGGGCAGGGTCCACACCCGAGCTCCGCTCAGCCAGCAAGCCCCACCCCACCCTCTACCCTGCCAGCCCTCCTACTCTCACCTACAGGCAGGCAGGTCTTCGAGACCCCAGAGGAGGTGAGGGCTGGCATTTCAGATTTGCTGGCGATACACCGCCCGAGCAGCTCTCCGGCTGCCCCCACCCTTCCAGTCCCACAGGACCGGACCCGGACGTATGCGGAGGTCACCCGGTCTGTCCCTTCTTTTATCCCCCCCGCCACTCAGCCAGGCGCGTCACTCCCGACCCCAATGGAGACGGACCAGGTTCTGAGGCCGTGTCACGCGCACCTAGATGGGGTGGCGCCTCCCCCCGTTCACCCCGTGGCGCAGGAGGTCACCAGCAGTAGGGATGAGGCATCCGCCCCTACCGAGACCCCTCCGCCTGGGGTAGCAGAGCCGTCACTTGAACCGCACCCCGCCGAGGGGCAGGAGCACACCACGGCACACACTTCAGGCTCACCTCCACGTCCCCCCTCCCCAGCTTCGACACCGGTACCGGTACGAGGCCCGGCCCTATCCTGTGCGACACCACCTCTATCTTCGCTGACACCCCCCATGCACGGGGCTGGTGAGTCGTCTCCTCCCCTCATCCCAGGCGATCCTCTCGGAGCTCAGGCCGCCCACGGGGTCCCCTCTACAGCCAGTTCCGACGCCACGGCCCCGATTGACCCCGCCGACACGGCGACATCACCCGACCAGGTCGTGAGTTGCCCCACCTGCAGGAGCTCTCTCGCGAACCGACGCGCGCTCCAGCACCACATTCCCTTCTGCCATCCTGCGGACGCGGCTCGCAGGGCGCAGGCTGCCCAGGACACCGCCTCGATCATCCCTTCCCTCTCACAGCCCCGTGCGACCGGGATACAGTTCACCGACGCACAGTGGCAGACGCTCGACTCGGTGGACTGGACAGAGTACTTCTCGCCCGAGCGTATCCATGCACGCCCTCTCCGACGTGTCCCGGAGAGGGTCCGCGGAGGATATCTCGACGTCCTCAGTGCGATCCTAGTCCGCATTGCCCAGGACCCGGAGGCTGCTGGCCCTACCTTCCTCCTCGCTGCAGCGCCGACTCTTTTCCTTGTTCCAGCGACGCCACCCGACCGCTCGCACACGGCTGCCATTGCAACGCGCATCTCCCGCTTTGGTCGAGGTGAGTGGGCTGAGCTAGTCTCAGATGCACTAGGCCGTCGCACACCCCTTCCTCGGCGCACAGGTCACCGGTCACGCACCGCCACCGATCCCTCTACAGCAGATGAGCGCCGCATTGCACGTTGTCTTCGTCTGGCAGCGTGCAATGAGACCTCACGGGCGTGCGCGGCTCTCGAGTCCGCGGAGGCAGCCCCAGATACACAGGGGACGATACAGCGCCTGCAGTCGAAGCACCCCAACGCGGAGAGGCCGACCCCAGCTTGGCAGTCTGGCTTCCAGGGGTCCCCTCTCGTGCTCTCGGTGGATCACTTACGCCGCGCGATTTTCACAGCTCCGCGGGGCTCTTCGGGAGGACCGTCCGGTTGGGTCGCTGAGCACCTGCGAGACACTTTCCTAGCTTTCCCTCAGAGTCTCCATTTCCTCCTGGCCGTGTACCAGCAGTGGCTCCGAGGCCGTTGCGCTCCAGCTACGCGCTCCTTGCTAGCGTCTTCCACCCTTGTGGCTCTGGCGAAGTCGAACATGGATGTTCGGCCGATTGCCATCGGCGAGGTTTTGGTCCGCATTCTTTCTCGTGCAGTCTGTCTCCAGCTACGTGACCAGATGGCGAGGGTCTTCTTGGCGTCACAGCAGTTTGGGGTGGGGGTTACGTGCGGGACAGAGGTCGTAGTTAGAGGCGTCCGCCGTGCTTTGGCTGACCACCCAGACTGGGTGGTCCTGCAGCTAGACGTGGCGAATGCCTTTAACTCCTTCCACCGAGACTGGATGTTCCAGGCGTTGCAGGCCAGCCCGGAGTTTCAGTGCCTGATCCCTTTCATCGGCCTCTTCTACGGGACGCCCTCGGATCTCCACTACAGGTCAGGCACGGGAGTGGTCACGATGCACTCGGAGCGGGGCACTCGCCAGGGAGACCCTCTCAGCCCCTTCTTGTACGCTCTGACACAGCGTCTTGCTTTGGAGCCGGTTCTGGTGGAGGGGGATGTCCAGCTCTGGTCGTACGCCGATGACACGTACGTGCTAGGTCCCCCAGACAGGGTGCTGCACCACTTTGCCGAGATCGTGAGGCGCTTGGGCGAGATGGGCCTTGCAGCCCAGCCGCACAAGTGCCTCGTCTACCAGACAGAGTCCTTTCTGTCCAGGGATCTGGAGGCCTTCACGGGCCTAGGGATCGAGGTCGCACGCCGAGGGCTCACCGTGACAGGCGTACCGATAGGCACCGTTTCGTTCGTGGAGCAGAGTCTCCCGGATCGTCTCGAGAGGATGGGGCGGGTGCTACCTTGGCTTCCGAGGTTGCGCCAGCCCCAGACAGCTGCCCGCCTTCTGTCGGCGTGTGTCAGCACTCGTCCGCAGTACCTGTCGAGGACCGTCCCTCCTTCGCCCGCAGTGATCTCTAGTTTTACACGGTGGGACGCACGCCTGGGAGAGACATTTCAGCAGCTTTTAGCTTCAGGGACCTGGGCTTGTCGCGAGGACGTCCGAGAGGCCGCCCTAGACCAGATCTTCCTCCCCATCCGTCTCGGGGGTTTTGGCATTCGTCGCATGGCACGCATCGCCCCGGTGAGTTTCGTGTGCTCCTGGGTGCAGTGTGCTCCCATTCTCTGTTCTCTCCCTGCGTGTGGCGAGGTGTTTCGGCAGAGCTTCACTTCAGGTGAGCCAGAGCAGATCGACCGGGCTCTGCAGACGGCGCTAGAGGGTCTCCCACCCGACGTTCTCTCTCTCCTTCCCCCCTGGCCCTCTTGCGCTTCTGCCTCCCCCGATTCCCTTTTTGCAGGAGCGAGCCGTCTTCTGGAGGCGCATGCCTTGGAGGCCGTGCGTGCCCGTCACGCCTCTCCCTTGCACCTTGCCCGTTTGACTTCCCTTCAGGGCGGAGGTGCAGGGGCGTGGTTGACGTCGGTGCCGTACGCTGACCCACTGCGCATCCCGGAGGCGCTGTGGCAGGCGGCTTCATCTTCTCGTCTCGGTCTCCCTATCCCCCAGTTAGCCCTTGCAGGTCAGTGCTCCTGCGGACAGGCGATTGACGACATGACGGTGCCTCATCACGCGGTTCGGTGCCCGCGCTACGGGGTCGCCACTACCATCCACGACACGGTGAAGTACATGCTTCGAGACTTTGCGGTCGAGGCGGGCTTCGCGGTAAAGGTGGAGGACTCTACGCTGTTCACACAGTTGGAGGCGGCTCGAGCGAGACTACTGGGACAGCCAGTGGTGGGAGAGGGGACGCGGGCTGAGGGACCGGGGGAGCAGAGAGGCGAGGCGGGACAGCCGGGTGGCGGGGGACAGTGGGGACAGCACCAGCTGCGGGGTCAGGTGGAGCGAGGGATAGGTGGGCGGAGGGGACGGCAGGGGGAGCAGACGGGCCAGGACGGGGAGGGGAGACGGCACAGGCAGCAGCAGGAGAGCCAGGGGAGGCCGCGGGCCCAGGGCGCCGCGCCTCCAGGTTCGGCCTCGGAGGAGGGGCAGGGGCGGGAGCAGCAGAGAGCGGACGGAGGTACAGGAGGGGCAGCGGGATTGGGAGGGGAGGGCCAGGGAGTGAGAGAGGCAGCAGGGGATGGAGCAGGGGGGTCGGGAGGGTTGGGGGAGGGTAGAGAGGGGGAGGGGAGAGGACAGGTGGATGGAGGAGAGGAGAGGGGGAGAGAGACGATCGGAGAGGAGGCACCAAGGGACCAGACAGGGCAGCAGCCAGCGCAACAGCAGGGACCAGTCGGACGCACAGGCCGTGTAGGCACCGCCTCCCGCATCCCAGACCTCACCTGCCGCGACGTTGGCCAGGGTCTGATGGTTCTTGTGGATGTCTCCATAGCGGATCCACAGCGGGAGGGGAACGTGCAGCTGAGACGGGCGACCCCCACACAGATTGGAGTGGCAGCAGCTAGGCGGGTGCAGGAGAAGCTGCGGCACTGGGGGCCGCACTTAGAGGGGCTGCAGCCGGCACCACACTTTTACGCGTGCGTGGCGGAGACCTTTGGCCTTCTGAGTGAGCCGCTACGTCAGTTTCTGGGGCTCTGCGCAAAGAGGATAGCACAGCGGAGGAGGGATAGAGGTGGGGGGGATGACGGATCGGCACGGATATTTGAGGCAGGACTCACTACACGCCTCTCCGTTGCACTGCAGCGCGCGCAGGCTCAATGCATGATCCAGCATGCGGTGCGGCAGTTAGGGGGATCCGACGACGGGTGGATGCCCGCACCAGTCCCACTGGGTGCGGGGCAGGGTACTTGGCACCACGTCACAGGGTGCTTTGAGAGTGTGGCTGATATGCAGTATATATATGATGCATATGTGTAAAAAACAATAGTGGCTGTGCTTGAAACGCTGTGCCCGTGCGGTCGTGCGGGTTGCTGCCGTGTTGTGGTCCTTTGGTGCTTCCTCCTCCTTAGTCTCTCTCCCTCTCTCCTCTTCTCTCCCCACCTCCCTCTTTCTGTTCCCTTCTCCTGTCCTTCCCTTCTCTTCCTACCACCCTCTTCTTCTCCCTACCACCTCTTCTTACTCCTTCATCCTTCCTTCCTTTCCTTTCTTTCCCCCTTTTCCTACAAAATATATATACCGTCCCCATAGCGATAAGGCTATGTCGAAATTTCCTAGTTTTGGAAAAACCATTATATTCGGCTTGTATTTGCTCTTCCCCTATTAATGAATAACTGCTCTCGCCCACCGGCGCTTAGCTTCGGAGTTCTGATGGGATCCGGCGTAGTAGCCGAGGTATGATCGTACCACGTCAACCTCGTGCCCCGACCGCTACACACCCCTTGCCCGGGTCCCCCCCTTCATAGTCACACCCCCTGCCCCCTCATGCCATCCGCTCCCCCCGCCCCTACCCTCCGCGTGCCCGCTCCCTTGCCGCCTCTTTTGACCCTCCCTGCCCCCCCTCGCCGTTTCCCACCGCCCGCCATTCGCTCCTCCCCGCCCGTGCGCTCCCCTCCTTTACCTTCTCCTCCCCCCTCCCCTCCTCTGCTGCACGCCTCTTCCTTCCCCTCGCCGACCCACTCCACTCCCTGCCCCTCCTCAATCCGCACCCTGCCCCTCGTATCTCGCCCCCCTATGCTTGGTTTCTCCCCTCCCTGCCCCTCGCCGCCTTTCCCCGCTCCCCACCTCCCCCCTCTCCCTGCCCCCCCCACTCTCCCCCCCCCTTGTCCTTGGCTTCCTACCTCCCTGCCTCACCTTTCCCCCCTCCGTGTGCTCAGCTTCTCCCCTCCCTGCCCCTCCCTCCTCCCCGCCCTGCCCCTCATTTTCCGCCCCCCCCCCCCCCCACGCCCGGTTTCTCCCCTCCCCGCGCCTCCCTTTCTTTCTCCGTGCCTCTCCTTTGCTCCCTCCCTGCCCCCGCCTGCCCATGCCCCTGTCTTTGGCTTCTCCTCTCCCTGCCCCACGTTTCTTCCCTCCCTGCCCCCCGTCTGCCCCTCCCTTGTTTTCCCCTCACCCATTGCTTCTCTCCTCCCTGCCCTTGATTTCCCACACCCCTGCCCTCGTTTCCTATCATCCATGCCCCTCGTTTCCCCCCTTTGTACGTTCAGCCTCTTCCCTCCCTGCCCCTCCCTTCCTCCCCCCCTGCCCTTTGCTCTCCCCTCGTTACGCTCCCTTCTCCCCATCCCTGCTGCCCTCTTACCACCATCAGCCCATCCCCACGACCAGCCCCCCTCCCACCCTTCAATCCCCCCCTCCCTCTCTCTCTCTCTCTCTCTCTCTTTCTCACACACACACACACACGCACACTCCCCTCCCCCACCCCCCCCCACCTACATCCTCCCATTCTGCCCCTCCCTGCCCCTTTCCCACCCCCTCGCACGCCCCTCACCTCCCACCTCCGTGCAACTGGTTTCCCCCCTATGGTGCCACCCTTGCATCGCTCGCCCCTCTGCTCACCCTCTGCCCGCCCCTTTTCCGTGCCCTCAGTTGGCCCAGCCCCTGCCCGTTGCTGCCCCTCCCCTTGCCCCCTCAACTCCCCTGCCCCCCGTACACCCCAAGTCCCATCCAACCGCCCCCACCCTCCCCCGGCTGCCCGTTTCCGCTCTGCACCCCCGCGACCGTGTGCGGCTTCCAACCGCCCAACGGTGGTGCGCACGGGGCGTTTCTTCGCACGGGCAAGCCTCCCCGGGGGCCCCCCACCCCGCTGGGTCGTTGTTTGGGCAAAAAAACGAAAATGAAAGAATCGGACGCGCTAAAATCGTCCTTTCTTTTTCCCGCTTGCCCCTCCCCCGGCACGTGCCGAGCAAGGGGCATAAATGGGTACAACACGAGGACTTCCCGGGAGGTCACCCAGCCCAGTACTGCTCTCGCCCACCGGCGCTTAGCCCTTGACCTAGCTTACCTAGCCATGGCTGCCTACTAAGGAGCCTCCTAAACCTACTATTTCGAGTTGCTTAAGGACAAAGTGATTGTGATAGTTGTTTATGTTATAGTTATAAGCGTTTCCAACGGTTAGTTTTCCAGTTTCGACTGTGGAGTTCGACGGAACGGGGGTCGCGAGTTTCGCGCGCGACCCTCAGGAGTCTCGGAAACGGAACTCGCGGGGTGTTACGGAACCGTTTGTTCGACCCCGCCATCGCGGGATCGCTGCGGACGCGCTGCAGCCGGTGTAACGGGAGGTGGGGCGTTGACGCGAAGTTCGCCCGCGGAGTGTAACAGCGCGCGCGACTCACAACCACAACTCCGCCAGACACGGTGTTCCCGCCCATCCCCTCTCTCGACACTCTCCCTTATCCCCCCGCTCTTTTCTGCCCACGGCTTTGCTATTCGAAGCGATTAGCAAATACCGAGTTTTTTCCCGCGGTTTCCCTCTCTCGAAGTCACTGAGCTTAGCTTCCGCCCGTAGTTAGCACTCTTCCTTCCCTTTCGGTGCGCCCTCCTTTATCGAAACCCTAATTCGAAGAGCCGCGCGTTTCCAAGCACGCTTTCTCGTCGCCTATCATGTTTAGTCACGCACTCGTTTTCCCCGCCCGTTCAATCTAGCCGCAACGTAGACGGAACCGCGCACGGGGCGCTTACCGCCAGGGAAAGGCAGCGCGGAGGGAGGCGAAATTGCTGCGTTCGTAGCGTTTAAGCAGCCCTCCCCTTGCGCGCCTCCCGAAGCGCGTTTTCTGCCTAGAGCGTTTTAGCCGCCCACGTTTGGCACACAAGCCGCCCCACTCCCCTTTTGCTCACTCCCACCCTGCCATGCCTCGTCGCGCACTCGTGCATGCCACCCAGACGTCGTAATCTTACCCCGTCGCCACCCACATAGTCACCTCCCTGCTCACACCGCCCCTTTCCCCCTCACACACGCGCTTTAGCCACCCCGCCACCTAACCTCTTTCCCTAACGGCGCTTAGCTAGCAGAGGCCGCCCTGTTTCTGGAAACCGTAGGAAATAAGAGGAAACAACTTCAAGGAAAAAAGAAAAGAAAAAGAAATTCATATAAATCGGAAAAAAAAAACAGGAAAAATCAGAACGGCAGCTTACACCTTGTTCTCCCAACCCTCCAGGGCCCCATCCAGTCCGCCACCCCCCCCATTCTGTTTCATCATACTACACCACACCCTCCCCTTTTGCCCACCAGCATTACCGCCCCTCTCCCCTTATCCCCCACCACGCCCTCAAGCAGGCCTTTCTCCCCCCAGCCCCCCGTCTCCGTGCCCTTAGTACCGCCGCGCTCCGCCCGTGCGTCACCCTCGCCCACTTCATACCACCTCCCCCTTCTCCCCCCCCCCCCCGGCTTCTCCCTATCATCACCCGCATGTTCCCCCACTCCACTGTCCACAACGTCCCTCCTCCACCCCCCCTCCTGCCTTCCCCACTCCCACTCTGCCCCCCACACCTCTACGAGCCGTCCCTCCCCCTCCAGCCTCCCTTTTCCCCCCCAGCTACTTCCGCATCCAGCGTGGGCTGCACCCCTGCATCCTGCCCTGCCAGGCCCTTCGAGGACCCAACTGCGGCCACCCGACACCACGCCGCCTTTCCCACCCCCATCCAATCTCTACACCCCCTGCCCCTGCTCCCTGCGCAATCCAGCCACCTACCCCAGCCTCCCTCTACCTCTCCCTAACTCCACACTGCCGTTCCTACCCCCAGCCAGGGTCTACACCCCTTGCTTTTGCTCCCTGCGCTGTGCCGTCCCCAACCTCCGTCCGCCTTTCCGCGGCACCAGACCGCCTCTCCCTCCCCCAGCCAACCTCTGCACCCCCTGTTCCTGCCCCTGGTGCCTTCCAACACCCTACCCCAACCCCCCCCAGTCTCCCCCTTCTCCAACACCCTCCATATTTCCTCCCCCCTGGGGCTCGCCCATCCGCAGTCATCACCCTTCATCAATTCCCCAATTCCCTCTGTCCCCTGTTTCCCGGCCCCGCATCCTATTCTGCATTTACCACAGCGCCTCCTTTCGGTGCCCTCTCGGCTCTCCCACGTTCTCACCCCCCGCCTTCCAACCTTCTCATTACCCGCTACCAGGCTCACGCTAACTCGACTACCCACTACCCTTTGCCCCTTCCTCTCTGTTCCCCACCCTTCCTTCCCCACTTGGCTCCACCTGCCCACCCCCACCTCCCGTGGAATTCTGCCCTGCCCTCCCCACCTCTGGCCCACCACCTGTCCCCACACCCTGCTCACCCACCACTACATCACCCCCGCCCCCCCCACCTCCACTACAGCCCGCCAACACTTCCCCTCTCAACCGGCCCCCAGCCCGCCCCCCCCTTGGGCCCCAATCCCCTCCAACTGCCAGGCCCCCTCTACCCTCTCTTCCACCCACTGCGCACCGCTTTCCCCACCCTTTTTCCATTTCCCCAAGCTAACCCCCCGCACCCCGGCCTCTGCCAGGGAGTCCCTTCCCCCTTTGACGCCCTCTTGAGCCAACTCCAGCAACTCACACCGCCACCGCCAGGCATGCTGCCTCCGTAACAATGCCCCAGCACCCCGCGAGTGGGGAAAAGGCAGACCCGGGAGCCCCTCGGCGATCTGGGAGGTCCCGCAGCCGAGCCACCCCCTACTCTCCCACTCCCCCCACTTCAACAGTCAGGAAGAAACAACACACACCTGACCAAGCGAAAACACTCACACAATCCGACCCTAGGGGCCAGAAGCGTACCCTTGAAGAGGATGGAACAGAGGAACGCCAAGCCCCACTGGAGGAAATACACAAAGAGGAGCCAGCACGCTCAAAACCGCGCCCTACCCCCGCGGCCCCATCCCAGCCTACCCCCCCTTCAGGTGACAGCGGGGACGGCACCCATGCATGCCAAGTGGAGAGATCCCCCAACTCACTCGCTACTTCCCATTCGCAAACCAGATTACTTGTGAAAACACTTAATCCTACTAGCACCCCCAAGCACATAGAAGCGGGAGGGGGCAGAGCCAGGGGGGAACTTGCAGCTAACACTGCACGGGAAGGGGTAAGTGAATGTGTGTGCGAAGGAGCAGCAGAGGCTGCAGAGGGTGGGGCAGCAAAGGCTGCACGGGAAGGGGCAATGGGGGTTGTGGGGGAAGGGGCAGCAGAGGTTGCAGAGGAAAGGGCAGCAGAGGCTGCAAGGGAAGGGGCAGCAGCGGCTGCACGGGAAAGGGCGGCAGAGGCTGCACGGGAAGGGGCGGCAGGGAGCGTGACTCTAGCCAGGCAAAGGGCAGAGGCCATGGAGACAGGTTTTGCAGGAGTAGGGGCCACGGAACCTGCAGCTGTGTCGGCTGGGGGAACCGCAGCAGAGGAGGCTATAGGGACCGCACCAGGCGAGGCCGCACAGACCACAGCAGGTGTGGCTGCAGGGATCACAACGGGTGAGGCTGCAGGAGGGACCATGGCAGGTGAAGCCGCAGAGAGCGCAGTAGGTGAGGCTGCAGGGAGCGCAGCAGGTGAGGCTGTAGGGAGCGCAGTAGGGGAGGCTGCAGAGAGCGCAGCAGGTGAGGCCGCAGGGAGCGCAGCAGGCGAGGCTGCAGGGAGCGCAGCAGGCGAGGCTGCGGGGAGCGCAGCAGGCGGGGCTGCAGGGGCCGCAGCAGGTGAGGCTGCGGCGGACGCAGCAGGTGAGGCTGCGAGGGCTGCAGCATGTAAGGTTGGGCAGACTCTAGCAGGTGAGGCTGCACAGTCTACAGCTGGTGAGGTCGCAAGGACTGCAATAGGTGAGGCAGCAGGGACTGCAGCAGGTGAGGCTGCAGGGACCACAGCGGATGAGGCTGCAGGCGGGACCAGGGCAGGTGAGGCCGCAGGGAGCGCAGCAGGTGAGGCTGAAATAGCCGCAGCAGTTGAGGTTGAGCAGATTCTAGCAGGTGAGGCCGCACAGACTGCAGCAGGTGAGGCCGCAGGGACTGCAGCAGGTGAGGCTGCAGGGACTGCTGCACGTGAGGCTGCAGGGACCGCGGCAGGCAAGGCTGCAGGGACCGCGGCTGGTGAGGCTGAGAAGATTACGGCAGGTGAGGTTTTACAGACTGCAGCAGTCGAGGCTGCAAGGACTGCAGCAGGAGCGACAGAGGCCACAGTGGGGGCCGGTACAGGGGGAGGTGCTACGGGTGCAGCGGGGAAGGGGGTAACGGGGACTGGTGCGAGGGAGAGTGCTGCCTCGGTTGTAGCAAGAGAGGGTACGGCAGGGGCTAGAGTGGGAGAAGGGACAGCAGTGGCCTCAAAGGCAGAAGGTGAGGCTGCAGCTGAAGCAGCAGGGAGGGCCATAGCACGGCCAGTAGGGGCGGCAGGGCCCGCAGCAAACGCGGGGAAACACACAGCAGGGCCGGCAGAGACTGCAAAAGGGGCTAGCAGTAAAGCGGCAGCAGGCGGGGTGGGCTCGGGGGACATAGGGGCAACAGGGGAAGGAGAGGTGAGTGTGGTCCCGACCGGGGTGGGCACGGAAGAGGGGGATGTGATAGTGATAGAGGAGGATGAGGGAGAGGATGTGATGCACATTGACGGGCCACTGGCCCAATACCTCACGCCTGACGGTGAGGCCGACCCGGCCCCCCTGCAGCCTCACGTCGAGGTTCCCCCTCTACCCCCCATGCCCGTCCACATGCTAGCAGAAGGACCGATGGAGGGGCTGGGGGAGACCTTGAGGACAGAGCCGCACGAGGGAGCCCCCATCCTCACCTCCCATCCTCCAGCCCACCCACCCCCAGGAGCACCATTTCCCCACCCCCACCCTCAGGTCCCGGTAGTATCCAGGGGGGCAGCCAAGGCCCTGGCCTTCTTGGCGGAGCCGTGCTCCCCGACCCCCACGTTGCTCCATGGCCAGCCCCCCTCTCCGTCCCCAACCCCTGACCCCACGGTTGCAGGCGGTCCACCGGGAGAGCACGCGGGTGCGACAAGAGCAGAGTCACCCGAGGGCACCCCTTCTCTCACCTCTCACCCCTCCCCGCCCCTTCCCTCACTCCTCCCCTCACCCCCAAGGGCAGCACACCTCTGCCCCCACCCTCAGGGGCTCCTTAGAGCACCACGTGGAGCAGCCAGGGCTCTGGCCTTCCTAGAGGAGCCATGCTCCCCGACCCCTACCAACACCCAGCCACCCCCTACCGGCCCACTACCCCCCCCTCCACCAGGCCCCCCCCCACCCGGTAGTACACACATCTCGGAGGTTGAAGCATCTCTGCGGCCAAATCCCTCTCCCACACGCTACAGGCACCCAAACCACCCGAGTCGCCGCACAGCCCCAACACGCCCACCCAACAGGCTGCCCCCCTCACACCACCCCCCCCAGGCAGCCGAGACCCACCCGCAAGGGCTTGCGCCCCAGGCTCATGGGAGCGGCGGCACCCGGGTAGAGGGGCCCACAGGAGAGGCCACCACAGAGCCCACACAAACCCCTCTCCCCCCACCGTTTGTACCTCGCTCTAACCTCCACACTGGCCCAGCCCCTCGACCCCCACCTTCAACCCCCCCTCCCGGCCGGGTTCCCCACGAGTGGCCCCGTTGGGCAGCCATCACCCCCCACACACAGCCTGCCCGATCTGTCCCCACGGAGGGGGATGTCTCGAGGAGAGAGGGGATGCACACAGAGCACCCCCCGCCCGGCGAACCACCCATCCTCCCTCCAACCACCCCTTTGGCCCCACAGCCCCCCCTTCCTTCACAAACAGGCGCAGACAACCAGGTTGGCCGCCGGCGGAAGAACAGGGGCAGAGGAGGCAGAGGGTCAGCCCACGTACTCCCCCCTCCCTCCCTCCCCCACCAAGAGCCCCTCCCCACCCCGCATCCCGTTGAACCCTTACCAGGCCCTACCGCTACAGCCCGACCACCAAACCCACACTCCCGCCCCGCTCCTGCACCTCCACAGGGCCATGGGAGCGGACCAGCCCACTCTCCCCCATTCTGCCCCTCCCTTGCTGTGTCCCCCTCCCAGGTGGCGGCGGCCGCGATCGCTACGGGGATGGAGGCCGTCGGGTTGAGGGATGCGCCCATGGAAGACGCCACCGACTCCCCCTCCCATCCCTCCCACCCCTTCCATGTCGACGACCCCCTACCGCAACCCATGGTGATTGGGGAGGGCCAAGGGGGCCTTCTAGGGCAGGGTCCACACCCGAGCTCCGCTCAGCCAGCAAGCCCCACTCCACCCTCTACCCTGCCAGCCCTCCTACTCTCACCTACAGGCAGGCAGGTCTTCGAGACCCCAGAGGAGGTGAGGGCTGGCATTTCAGATTTGCTGGCGATACACCGCCCGAGCAGCTCTCCGGCTGCCCCCACCCTTCCAGTCCCACAGGACCGGACCCGGACGTATGCGGAAGTCACCCGGTCTGTCCCTTCTTTTATCCCCCCCGCCACTCAGCCAGGCGCGTCACTCCCGACCCCAATGGAGACGGACCGGGTTCTGAGGCCGTGTCACGCGCACCTAGAGGGGGTGGCGCCTCCCCCCGTTCAGCCCGTGGCGCAGGAGGTCACCAGCAGTAGGGATGAGGCATCCGCCCCTACCGAGACCCCTCCGCCTGGGGTAGCAGAGCCGTCACTTGAACCGCACCCCGCCGAGGGGCAGGAGCACACCACGGTACACACTTCAGGCTCACCTCCACGTCCCCCCTCCCCAGCTTCGACACCGGTACCGGCACGAGGCCCGGCCCTATCCTGTGCGACACCACCTCTATCTTCGCTGACACCCCCCCCGCACGGGGCTGGTGAGTCGTCTCCTCCCCTCATCCCAGGCGATCCTCTCGGAGCTCAGGCCGCCCACGGGGTCCCCTCTACAGCCAGTTCCGATGCCACGGCCCCGATTGACCCCGCCGACACGGCGACATCACCCGACCAGGTCGTGAGTTGCCCCACCTGCAGGAGCTCTCTCGCGAACCGACGCGCGCTCCAGCACCACTTTCCCTTCTGCCATCCTGCGGACGCGGCTCGCAGGGCGCAGGCTGCCCATGACACCGCCTCGATCATCCCTTCCCTCTCACAGCCCCGTGCGACCGGGATACAGTTCACCGACGCACAGTGGCAGACGCTCGACTCGGTGGACTGGACAGAGTACTTCTCGCCCGAGCGTATCCATGCACGCCCTCTCCGACGTGTCCCGGAGAGGGTCCGCGGAGGATATCTCGACGTCCTCAGTGCGATCCTAGTCCGCATTGCCCAGGACCCGGAGGCTGCTGGCCCTACCTTCCTCCTCGCTGCAGCGCCGACTCTTTTCCTTGTTCCAGCGACGCCACCCGACCGCTCACACACGGCTGCCATTGCAACGCGCATCTCCCGCTTTGGTCGAGGTGAGTGGGCTGAGCTAGTCTCAAATGCACTAGGCCGTCGCACACCCCTTCCTCAGCGCACAGGTCACCGGTCACGCACCGCCACCGATCCCTCTACAGCAGATGAGCGCCGCATTGCACGTTGCCTTCGTCTGGCAGCGTGCAATGAGACCTCACGGGCGTGCGCGGCTCTCGAGTCCGCGGAGGCAGCCCCAGATACACAGGGGACGATACAGCGCCTGCAGTCGAAGCACCCCAACGCGGAGAGGCCGACCCCAGCTTGGCAGTCTGGCTTCCAAGGGTCCCCTCTCGTGCTCTCGGTGGATCACTTACGCCGCGCGATCTTCACAGCTCCGCGGGGCTCTTCGGGAGGACCGTCCGGTTGGGTCGCTGAGCACCTGCGAGACACTTTCCTAGCTTTCCCTCAGAGTCTCCATTTCCTCCTTGCCGTGTACCAGCAGTGGCTTCGAGGCCGTTGCGCTCCAGCTGCGCGCTCCTTGCTAGCGTCTTCCACCCTCGTGGCTCTGGCGAAGTCGAACATGGATGTTCGGCCGATTGCCATCGGCGAGGTTTTGGTCCGCATTCTTTCTCGTGCAGTCTGTCTCCAGCTACGTGACCAGATGGCGAGGGTCTTCTTGGCGTCACAGCAGTTTGGGGTGGGGGTTACGTGCGGGACAGAGGTCGTAGTTAGAGGCGTCCGCCGCGCTCTGGCTGACCACCCAGACTGGGTGGTCCTGCAGCTAGACGTGGCGAATGCCTTTAACTCCTTCCACCGAGACAGGATGTTCCAGGCGCTACAGGCCAGCCTGGAGTTTCAGTGCCTGATCCCCTTCATCGGCCTCTTCTACGGGACGCCCTCGGATCTCCACTACAGGTCAGGCACGGGAGTGGTCACGATGCACTCGGAGCGGGGCACTCGCCAGGGAGACCCTCTCAGCCCCTTCTTGTACGCTCTGACACAGCGTCTTGCTTTGGAGCCGGTTCTGGTGGAGGGGGATGTCCAGCTCTGGTCGTACGCCGATGACACGTACGTGCTAGGTCCCCCAGACAGGGTGCTGCACCACTTTACCGAGATCGTGAGGCGCTTGGGCGAGATGGACCTTGCAGCCCAGCCGCACAAGTGCCTCGTCTACCAGACAGAGTCCTTTCTGTCCAGGGATCTGGAGGCCTTCACGGGCCTAGGGATCGAGGTCGCACGCCGAGGGCTCACCGTGACAGGCGTACCGGTAGGCACCGTTTCGTTCGTGGAGCAGAGTCTCCCGGATCGTCTCGAGAGGATGGGGCGGGTGCTACCTTGGCTTCCGAGGTTGCGCCAGCCCCAGACAGCTGCCCGCCTTCTGTCGGCGTGTGTCAGCACTCGTCCGCAGTACCTGTCGAGGACCGTCCCTCATTCGCCCGCAGTGATCTCTAGTTTTACACGGTGGGAACGCACGCCTGGGAGAGACATTTCAGCAGCTTTTAGCTTCAGGGACCTGGGCTTGTCGCGAGGACGTCCGAGAGGCCGCCCTAGACCAGATCTTCCTCCCCATTCGTCTCGGGGGTTTCGGCATTCGTCGCATGGCACGCATTGCCCCGGTGAGTTTCGTGTGCTCCTGGGTGCAGTGTGCTCCCATTCTCTGTTCTCTCCCTGCGTGTGGCGAGGTGTTTCGGCAGAGCTTCGCTTCAGGTGAGCCAGAGCAGATCGACCGGGCTCTGCAGACGGCGCTAGAGGGTCTCCCACCTGACGTTCTCTCTCTCCTTCCCCCCTGGCCCTCCTGCGCTTCTGCCTCCCCCGATTCCCTTTTTGCAGGAGCGAGCCGTCTTCTGGAGGCGCAGGCCTTGGAGGCCGTGCGTGCCCGTCACGCCTCTCCCTTGCACCTTGCCCGTTTGACTTCCCTTCAGGGCGCAGGTGCAGGGGCGTGGTTGACGTCGGTGCCGTACGCTGACCCACTGCGCATCCCGGAGGCGCTGTGGCAGGCGGCTTCATCTTCTCGTCTTGGCCTCCCGATCCCCCAGTTAGCCCTTGCAGGTCAGTGCTCCTGCGGACAGGCGATTGACGACATGATGGTGCCTCATCACGCGGTTCCGGTGCCCGCGCTACGGGGTCGCCACTACCATCCACGACACGGTGAAGTACATGCTTCGAGACTTTGCGGTCGAGGCGGGCTTCGCGGTAAAGGTGGAGGACTCTACGCTGTTCACACAGTTGGAGGCGGCTCGAGCGAGACTACTGGGACAGCCAGTGGTGGGAGAGGGGACGCGGGCTGAGGGACCGGGGGAGCAGAGAGGCGAGGCGGGACAGCCGGGTGGCGGGGGACATTGGGGACAGCACCAGCTGCGGGGTCAGGTGGAGCGAGGGACAGGTGGGCAGAGGGGACGGCAGGGGGAGCAGACGGGCCAGGACGGGGAGGGGAGACAACACAGGCAGCAGCAGGAGAGCCAGTGGAGGCCGCGGGCCTAGGGCGCCGCGCCTCCAGGTTCGGCCTCGGAGGTGGGGCAGGGGCGGGAGCAGCAGAGAGCGGACGGAGGTACAGGAGGGGCAGCGGGATTGGGAGGGGAGGGCCAGGGAGTGAGAGAGGCAGCAGGGGATGGAGCAGGGGGGTCGGGAGGGTTGGGGGAGGGTAGAGAGGGGGAGGGGAGAGGACAGGTGGATGGAGGAGAGGAGAGGGGGAGAGAGACGATCGGAGAGGAGGCACCAAGGGACCAGACAGGGCAGCAGCCAGCGCAACAGCAGGGACCAGTCGGACACACAGGCCGTGTAGGCACCGCCTCCCGCATCCCAGACCTCACCTGCCGCGACGTTAGCCAGGGTCTGATGGTTCTTGTGGATGTCTCCATAGCGGATCCACAGCGGGAGGGGAACGTGCAGCTGAGACGGGCGACCCCCACACAAATTGGAGTGGCAGCAGCTAGGCGGGTGCAGGAGAAGCTGCGGCACTGGGGGCCGCATTTAGAGGGGCTGCAGCCGGCACCACACTTTTACGCGTGCGTGGCGGAGACCTTTGGCCTTCTCAGTGAGCCGCTGCGTCAGTTTCTGGGGCTCTGCGCAAAGAGGATAGCACAGCGGAGGAGGGATAGAGGTGGGGGGGATGACGGATCGGCACGGATATTTGAGGCAGGACTCACTACACGCCTCTCCGTTGCACTGCAGCGCGCGCAGGCTCAATGCATGATCCAGCATGCGGTGCGGCAGTTAGGGAGATCCGACGACGGGTGGATGCCCGCACCAGTCCCACTGGGTGCGGGGCAGGGTACTTGGCACCACGTCACAGGGTGCTTCGAGAGTGTGGCTGATATGCAGTATATATATGATGCATATGTGTAAAAAACAATAGTGGCTGTGCTTGAAACGCTGTGCCCGTGCGGTCGTGCGGGTTGCTGCCGTGTTGTGGTCCTTTGGTGCTTCCTCCTCCTTAGTCTCTCTCCCTCTCTCCTTTTCTCTTCCCACCTCCCTCTTTCAGTTCCCTTCTTCTATCCTTCCCTTCTCTTCCTCCCACCCTCTTCTTTTCCCTACCACTTCTTCTTACTCCTTCATCCTTCCTTCCTTTCCTTTCTTTCCCCCTTTTCCTACAAAATATATATACCGTCCTCATAGCGATAAGGCTATGTCAAAATTTCCTAGTCTTGGAAAAACCATTATATTCGGCTTGTATTTGCTCTTCCCCTATTAATGAATATCTGCTCTCGCCCACCGGCGCTTAGCTTCGGAGTTCTGATGGGATCCGGCGTAGTAGCCGAGGTATGATCGTACCACGTCAACCTCGTGCCCCGACCGCTACACACCCCTTGCCCGGGTCCCCCCCTTCATAGTCACACCCCCTGCCCCCTCATGCCATCCGCTCCCCCCGCCCCTACCCTCCGCGTGCCCGCTCCCTTGCCGCCTCTTTTGACCCTCCCTGCCCCCCCTCGCCGTTTCCCACCGCCCGCCATTCGCTCCTCCCCGCCCGTGCGCTCCCCTCCTTTACCTTCTCCTCCCCCCTCCCCTCCTCTGCTGCACGCCTCTTCCTTCCCCTCGCCGACCCACTCCACTCCCTGCCCCTCCTCAATCCGCACCCTGCCCCTCGTATCTCGCCCCCCTATGCTTGGTTTCTCCCCTCCCTGCCCCTCGCCGCCTTTCCCCGCTCCCCACCTCCCCCCTCTCCCTGCCCCCCCCCACTCTCCCCCCCCTTGTCCTTGGCTTCCTACCTCCCTGCCTCACCTTTCCCCCCTCCGTGTGCTCAGCTTCTCCCCTCCCTGCCCCTCCCTCCTCCCTGCCCTGCCCCTCATTTTCCGGCCCCCCCACGCCCGGTTTCTCCCCTCCCCGCGCCTCCCTTTCTTTCTCCGTGCCTCTCCTTTGCTCCCTCCCTGCCCCCGCCTGCCCATGCCCCTGTCTTTGGCTTCTCCCCTCCCTGCCCCACGTTTCTTCCCTCCCTGCCCCCCGTCTGCCCCTCCCTTGTTTTCCCCTCACCCATTGCTTCTCTCCTCCCTGCCCTTGATTTCCCACACCCCTGCCCTCGTTTCCTATCATCCATGCCCCTCGTTTCCCCCCTTTGTACGTTCAGCCTCTTCCCTCCCTGCCCCTCCCTTCCTCCCCCCCTGCCCTTTGCTCTCCCCTCGTTACGCTCCCTTCTCCCCATCCCTGCTGCCCTCTTACCACCATCAGCCCATCCCCACGACCAGCCCCCCTCCCACCCTTCAATCCCCCCCTCCCTCTCTCTCTCTCTCTCTCTCTCTCTCTTTCTCACACACACACACACACGCACACTCCCCTCCCCCACCCCCCCCACCTACATCCTCCCATTCTGCCCCTCCCTGCCCCTTTCCCACCCCCTCGCACGCCCCTCACCTCCCACCTCCGTGCAACTGGTTTCCCCCCCATGGTGCGCACGGGGCGTTTCTTCGCACGGGCAAGCCTCCCCGGGGGCCCCCCACCCCGCTGGGTCGTTGTTTGGGCAAAAAAACGAAAATGAAAGAATCGGACGCGCTAAAATCGTCCTTTCTTTTTCCCGCTTGCCCCTCCCCCGGCACGTGCCGAGCAAGGGGCATAAATGGGTACAACACGAGGACTTCCCAGGAGGTCACCCAGCCCAGTACTGCTCTCGCCCACCGGCGCTTAGCTTCGGAATTCTGATGGGATCCGGCGTAGTAGCCGAGGTATGATCGTACCACGTCAACCTCGTGCCCCGACCGCCACACACCCCTTGCCCGGGTCCCCCCCTTCATAGTCACACCCCCTGCCCCCTCATGCCATCCGCTCCCCCCGCCCCTACCCTCCGCGTGCCTGCTCCCTTGCCGCCTCTTTTGACCCTCCCTGCCCCCCCTCGCCGTTTCCCACCGCCCGCCATTCGCTCCTCCCCGCCCGTGCGCTCCCCTCCTTTACCTTCTCCTCCCCCCTCCCCTCCTCTGCTGCACGCCTCTTCCTTCCCCTCGCCGACCCACTCCACTCCCTGCCCCTCCTCAATCCGCACCCTGCCCCTCGTATCTCGCCCCCCTATGCTTGGTTTCTCCCCTCCCTGCCCCTCGCCGCCTTTCCCCGCTCCCCACCTCCCCCCTCTCCCTGCCCCCCCACTCTCCCCCCCCCTTGTCCTTGGCTTTCTACCTCCCTGCCTCACCTTTCCCCCCTCCGTGTGCTCAGCTTCTCCCCTCCCTGCCCCTCCCTCCTCCCCGCCCTGCCCCTCATTTTCCGCCCCCCCCCACGCCCGGTTTCTCCCCTCCCCGCGCCTCCCTTTCTTTCTCCGTGCCTCTCCTTTGCTCCCTCCCTGCCCCCGCCTGCCCATGCCCCTGTCTTTGGCTTCTCCCCTCCCTGCCCCACGTTTCTTCCCTCCCTGCCCCCCGTCTGCCCCTCCCTTGTTTTCCCCTCACCCATTGCTTCTCTCCTCCCTGCCCTTGATTTCCCACACCCCTGCCCTCGTTTCCTATCATCCATGCCCCTCGTTTCCCCCCTTTGTACGTTCAGCCTCTTCCCTCCCTGCCCCTCCCTTCCTCCCCCCCTGCCCTTTGCTCTCCCCTCGTTACGCTCCCTTCTCCCCATCCCTGCTGCCCTCTTACCACCATCAGCCCATCCCCACGACCAGCCCCCCTCCCACCCTTCAATCCCCCCCTCCCTCTCTCTCTCTCTCTCTCTCTCTCTCTCTCTCTTTCTCACACACACACACACGCACACTCCCCCCCCCCACCCCCCCACGTACATCCTCCCATTCTGCCCCTCCCTGCCCCTTTCCCACCCCCTCGCACGCCCCTCACCTCCCACCTCCGTGCAACTGGTTTCCCCCCCATGGTGCGCACGGGGCGTTTCTTCGCACGGGCAAGCCTCCCCGGGGGCCCCCCACCCCGCTGGGTCGTTGTTTGGGCAAAAAAAACGAAAATGAAAGAATCGGACGCGCTAAAATCGTCCTTTCTTTTTCCCGCTTGCCCCTCCCCCGGCACGTGCCGAGCAAGGGGCATAAATGGGTACAACACGAGGACTTCCCGGGAGGTCACCCAGCCCAGTACTGCTCTCGCCCACCGGCGCTCTTACCTTGACCTAGCTTACCTAGCCATGGCCGCCTACTAAGGAGCCTCCTAAACCTACTATTTCGAGTTGCTTAAGGACAAAGTGATTGTGATAGTTGTTTATGTTATAGTTATAAGCGTTTCCAACGGTTAGTTTTTTAGTTTCGACTGTCGAGTTCGACGGGACGGGGGTCGCGAGTTTCGCGTGCGACCCTCAGGAGTCTCGGAAACGGAACTCGCGGGGTGTTACTGAACCGCTCGTTCGACCCCGCCATCGCGGGAAGGCTGCGGACGCGCTGCAGCCGGTGTAACGGGAGGTGGGGCGTTGACGCGAAGTTCGCCCGCGGAGTGTAACAGCGCGCGCGACTCACAACCACAACTCCGCCAGACACGGTGTTCCCTCCCATCCCCTCTCTTGACACTCTCCCTTATCCCCCCGCTCTTTTCTGCCCACGGCTTTGCTATTCGAAGCGATTAGCAAATACCGAGTCTCTTCCCGCGGTTTCCCTCTCTCGAAGTCACTGAGCTTAGCTTCCGCCCGTAGTTAGCACTCTTCCTTCCCTTTCGGTGCGCCCTTTTTTTTTTTTTCTTTTTCGAAACCCTAATTCGAAGAGCCGCGCATTTCCAAGCACGCTTTCTCGTCGCTTATCATGTTTAGTCACGCACTCGTTTTCCCCGCCCGTCCAATCTAGCCGCGACGTAGACGGAACCGCGTACGGGGCGCTTACCGCCAGGGAAAGGCAGCGCGGAGGGAGGCGCAATCGCTACGTTCGTAGCGATTAAGCAGCCCTCCCCCTGCGCGCCTCCCGAAGCACGTTTTCTGCCTAGAGCGTTTTAGCTGCCCACGTTTGGCACACAAGCCGCCCCACTCCCCCTTTGCTCACTCCCACCCTGCCATGCCTCGTCGCGCACTCGTGCATGCCACCCACACGTCGTAATCTTACCCCGTCGCCACCCTCATAGTCACCTCTCTGCTCACACCGCCCCTTTCCCCCTCACACGCACGCTTTAGCCACCCCGCCACCTAACCTCTTTCCCTAACGGGGCTTAGCTAGCAGAGGCCGCCCTGTCTCTGGAAACCGTAGGAAATAAGAGGAAACAACTTCAAGGAAAAAAGAAAAGAAAAAAGAAATTCATATAAATCGGTAAAAAACCAGGAAAAATCAGAAAGGCAGCTTACACCTTGTTCTCCCAACCCTCCAGGGCCCCATCCAGTCCGCCACCCCCCCATTCCGTTTCATCATACTACACCACACCCTCCCCTTTTGCCCACCAGCATTACCGCCCCTCTCCCCTTATCCCCCACCACGCCCCCAAGCAGGCCTTTCTCCCCCCAGCCCCCCGTCTCCCTGCCCTTAGTACCGCCGCGCTCTGCCCGTGCGTCACCCTCGCCCACTTCATACCACCTCCCCCTTCTCCCTCCCCCGGCTTCCCCCTATCATCACCCGCATGTTCCCCCACTCCCCTGTCCACAACGTCCCTCCTCCACCCCCCCTCCTGCCTTCCCCACTCCCACTCTGTCCCCCACACCTCTACGAGCCGTACCTCCCCCTCCAGCCTCCCTTTTCCCCCCCAGCTATTTCCGCATCCAGCGTGAGCTGCACCTCTGCATCCTGCCCTGCCAGGCCCTCCGAGGACCCAACTGCCGCCACCTGACACCACGCCGCCTTTCCCACCCCCATCCAATCTCTACACCCCCTGCCCCTGCTCCCTACGCAATCCAGCCACCTACCCCAGCCTCCCTCTACCTCTCCCTAACTCCACGCCGCCGTTCCTACCCCCAGCCAGGGTCTACACCCCTTGCTTTTGCTCCCTGTGCTGTGCCGTCCCCAACCTCCGTCCGCCTTTCCGCGGCACCAGACCGCCTCTCCCTCCCCCAGCCAACCTCTGCACCCCCTGTTCCTGCCCCTTGTGCCTTCCAACACCCTACCCCAACCCCCCCCAGTCTCCCCCTTCTCCAACACCCTCCATATTTCCTCCCCCCTGGGGCTCGCCCATCCGCAGGTATCACCCTTCATCAATTCCCCAATTCCCTCTGTCCCCTGTTTCCCGGCCCCGCATCTTTTTCTGCATTTACCACAGCGCCTCCTTTCGGTGCCCTCTCGGCCCTCCCACGTTCTCACCCCCCGCCTTCCAACCTTCTCATTACCCGCTACCAGGCTCACGCCAACTCGACTACCCACTACCCTTTGCCCCTTCCTCTCTGTTCCCCACCCTTCCTTCCCCACTTGGCTCCACCTGCCCACCCCCACCTCCCGTGGAATTCTGCCCTGCCCTCCCCACCTCTGGCCCACCACCTGTCCCCACACCCTGCTTACCCACCACTACATCACCCCCGCCCCCCCACCTCCACTACAGCCCGCCAACACTTCCCCTCTCAACCGGCCCCCAGCCCGCCCCCCCCTTGGGCCCCAATCCCCTCCAACTGTCAGGCCCCCTCTACCCTCTCTTTCACCCACTACGCACCGCTTTCCCCACCCTTTTTCCATTTCCCCAAGCTAACCCCCCGCACCCCGGCCTCTGCCAGGGAGTTCCTTCCCCCTTTGACGCCCTCTTGAGCCAACTCCAGCAACTCACGCCGCCACCGCCAGGCATGCTGCCTCTGTAACAATGCCCCAGCACCCCGCGAGTGGGGAAAAGGCAGACCCGGGAGCCCCTCGGCGATCTAGGAGGTCCCGCAGCCGAGCCACCCCCTACTCTCCCACTCCCCCCACTTCAACAGTCAGGAAGAAACAACACACACCTGACCAAGCGAAAACACTCACACAATCTGACCCTAGGGGCCAGAAGCGTACCCTTGAAGAGGATGGAACAGAGGAACGCCAAGCCCCACTGGAGGAAATACACAAGGAGGAGCCAGCACGCTCAAAACCGCGCCCTACCCCCGCGGCCCCATCCCAGCCTACCCCCCCTTCAGGTGACTGCGGGGACGGCACCCATGCATGCCAAGTGGAGAGATCCCCCAACTCACTCGCTACTTCCCATTCGCAAACCAGATTACTTGTGAAAACACTTAATCCTACTAGCACCCCCAAGCACATAGAAGCGGGAGGGGGCAGAGCCAGGGGGGAACTTGCAGCTAACACTGCACGGGAAGGGGTAAGTGAATGTGTGTGCGAAGGAGCAGCAAAGGCTGCAGAGGATGGGGCAGCAAAGGCTGCACGGGAAGGGGCAATGGGGGTTGTGGGGGAAGGGGCAGCAGAGGTTGCAGAGGAAAGGGCAGCAGAGGCTGCAAGGGAAGGGGCAGCAGCGGCTGCACGGGAAAGGGCGGCAGAGGCTGCACGGGAAGGGGCGGCAGGGACCGTGACTCTGGCCAGGCAAAGGGCAGAGGCCATGGAGACAGGTTTTGCAGGAGTAGGGGCCACGGAACCTGCAGCTGTGTCGGCTGGGGGAACCGCAGCAGAGGAGGCTATAGGGACCGCACCAGGCGAGGCCGCACAGACCACAGCAGGTGTGGCTGCAGGGATCACAACGGGTGAGGCTGCAGGAGGGACCATGGCAGGTGAAGCCGCAGAGAGCGCAGTAGGTGAGGCTGCAGGGAGCGCAGCAGGTGAGGCTGTAGGGAGCGCAGCAGGGGAGGCTGCAGAGAGCGCAGCAGGTGAGGCCGCAGGGAGCGCAGCAGGCGAGGCTGCAGGGAGCGCAGCAGGCGAGGCTGCGGGGAGCGCAGCAGGCGGGGCTGCAGGGGCCGCAGCAGGTGAGGCTGCGGCGGACGCAGCAGGTGAGGCTGCGAGGGCTGCAGCATGTAAGGTTAGGCAGACTCTAGCAGGTGAGGCTGTACAGTCTACAGCTGGTGAGGTCGCAGGGACTGCAATAGGTGAGGCAGCAGGGACTGCAGCAGGTGAGGCTGCAGGGACCACAGCGGATGAGGCTGCAGGCGGGACCAGGGCAGGTGAGGCCGCAGGGAGCGCAGCAGGTGAGGCTGAAATAGCCGCAGCAGTTGAGGTTGAGCAGATTCTAGCAGGTGAGGCCGCACAGACTGCAGCAGGTGAGGCCGCAGGGACTGCAGCAGGTGAGGCTGCAGGGACTGCTGCAAGTGAGGCTGCAGGGACCGCGGCAGGCAAGGCTGCAGGGACCGCGGCTGGTGAGGCGGAGCAGATTACGGCAGGTGAGGTTCTACAGACTGCAGCAGTCGAGGCTGCAAGGACTGCAGCAGGAGCGACAGAGGCCACAGTGGGGGCCGGTACAGGGGGAGGTGCTACGGGTGCAGCGGGGAAGGGGGTAACGGGGACTGGTGCGAGGGAGAGTGCTGCCTCGGTTGTAGCAAGAGAGGGTACGGCAGGGGCTAGAGTGGGAGAAGGGACAGCAGTGGCCTCAAAGGCAGAAGGTGAGGCTGCAGCTGAAGCAGCAGGGAGGGCCATAGCACGGCCAGTAGGGGCGGCAGGGGCCGCAGCAAACGCGGGGAAACACACAGCAGGGCCGGCAGAGACCGCAAAAGGGGCTAGCAGTAAAGCGGCAGCAGGCGGGGTGGGCTCGGGGGACATAGGGGCAACAGGGGAAGGAGAGGTGAGTGTGGTCCCGACCGGGGTGGGCACGGAAGAGGGGGATGTGATAGCGATAGAGGAGGATGAGGGAGAGGATGTGATGCACATTGACGGGCCACTGGCCCAATACCTCACGCCTGACGGTGAGGCCGACCCGGCCCCCCTGCAGCCTCACGTCGAGGTTCCCCCTCTACCCCCCATGCCCGTCCACATGCTAGCAGAAGGACCGATGGAGGGGCTGGGGGAGACCTTGAGGACAGAGCCGCACGAGGGAGCCCCCATCCTCACCTCCCGTCCACCATCCCACCCACCCCCAGGAGCACCATTTCCCCACCCCCACCCTCAGGTCCCGGTAGTATCCAGGGGGGCAGCCAAGGCCCTGGCCTTCTTGGCGGAGCCGTGCTCCCCGACCCCCACGTTGCTCCATGGCCAGCCCCCCTCTCCGTCCCCAACCCCTGACCCCACGGTTGCAGGCGGTCCACCGGGAGAGCACGCGGGTGCGACAAGAGCAGAGTCACCCGAGGGCACCCCTTCTCTCACCTCTCACCCCTCCCCGCCCCTTCCCTCACTCCTCCCCTCACCCCCAAGGGCAGCACACCTCTGCCCCCACCCTCAGGGGCTCCTTAGAGCACCACGTGGAGCAGCCAGGGCTCTGGCCTTCCTAGAGGAGCCATGCTCCCCGACCCCTACCAACACCCAGCCACCCCCTACCGGCCCACTACCCCCCCCCTCCACCAGGCCCCCCCCCACCCGGTAGTACACACATCTCGGAGGTTGAAGCATCTCTGCGGCCAAATCCCTCTCCCACACGCTACAGGCACCCAAACCACCCGAGTCGCCGCACAGCCCCAACACGCCCACCCAACAGGCTGCCCCCCTCACACCACCCCCCCCAGGCAGCCGAGACCCACCCGCAAGGGCTTGCGCCCCAGGCTCATGGGAGCGGCGGCACCCGGGTAGAGGGGCCCACAGGAGAGGCCACCACAGAGCCCACACAAATCCTCTCTCCCCCCACCGTTTGTACCTCGCTCTAACCTCCACACTGGCCCAGCCCCTCGACCCCCACCTTCAACCCCCCCTCCCGGCCGGGTTCCCCACGAGTGGCCCCGTTGGGCAGCCATCACCCCCCACACACAGCCTGCCCGATCTGTTCCCACGGAGGGGGATGTCTCGAGGAGAGAGGGGATGCACACAGAGCACCCCCCGCCCGGCGAACCACCCATCCTCCCTCCAACCACCCCTTTGGCCCCACAGCCCCCCCTTCCTTCACAAACAGGCGCAGACAACCAGGTTGGCCGCCGGCGGAAGAACAGGGGCAGAGGAGGCAGAGGGTCAGCCCACGTACTCCCCCCTCCCTCCCTCCCCCACCAAGAGCCCCTCCCCACCCCGCATCCCGTTGAACCCTTACCAGGCCCTACCGCTACAGCCCGACCACCAAACCCTACACTCCCGCCCCGCTCCTGCACCTCCACAGGGCCATGGGAGCGGACCAGCCCACTCTCCCCCATTCTGCCCCTCCCGTGCTGTGTCCCCCTCCCAGGTGGCGGCGGCCGCGATCGTTACTGGGATGGAGGCCGTCGGGTTGAGGGATGCGCCCATGGAAGACTGCCACCGACTCCCCCTCCCATCCCTCCCACCCCTTCCATGTCGACGACCCCCTACCGCAACCCATGGTGATTGGGGAGGGCCAAGGGGGCCTTCTAGGGCAGGGTCCACACCCGAGCTCCGCTCAGCCAGCAAGCCCCACTCCACCCTCTACCCTGCCAGCCCTCCTACTCTCACCTACAGGCAGGCAGGTCTTCGAGACCCCAGAGGAGGTGAGGGCTGGCATTTCAGATTTGCTGGCGATACACCGCCCGAGCAGCTCTCCGGCTGCCCCCACCCTTCCAGTCCCACAGGACCGGACCCGGACGTATGCGGAAGTCACCCGGTCTGTCCCTTCTTTTATCCCCCCCGCCACTCAGCCAGGCGCGTCACTCCCGACCCCAATGGAGACGGACCGGGTTCTGAGGCCGTGTCACGCGCACCTAGAGGGGGTGGCGCCTCCCCCCGTTCAGCCCGTGGCGCAGGAGGTCACCAGCAGTAGGGATGAGGCATCCGCCCCTACCGAGACCCCTCCGCCTGGGGTAGCAGAGCCGTCACTTGAACCGCACCCCGCCGAGGGGCAGGAGCACACCACGGTACACACTTCAGGCTCACCTCCACGTCCCCCCTCCCCAGCTTCGACACCGGTACCGGCACGAGGCCCGGCCCTATCCTGTGCGACACCACCTCTATCTTCGCTGACACCCCCCCCGCACGGGGCTGGTGAGTCGTCTCCTCCCCTCGTCCCAGGCGATCCTCTCGGAGCTCAGGCCGCCCACGGGGTCCCCTCTACAGCCAGTTCCGACGCCACGGCCCCGATCGACCCCGCCGACACGGCGACATCACCCGACCAGGTCGTGAGTTGCCCCACCTGCAGGAGCTCTCTCGCGAACCGACGCGCGCTCCAGCACCACATTCCCTTCTGCCATCCTGCAGACGCGGCTCGCAGGGCGCAGGCTGCCCATGATACCGCCTCGATCATCCCTTCCCTCTCACAGCCCCGTGCAACCGGGATACAGTTCACCGACGCACAGTGGCAGACGCTCGACTCGGTGGACTGGACAGAGTACTTCTCGCCCGAGCGTATCCATGCACGCCCTCTCCGACGTGTCCCGGAGAGGGTCCGCGGAGGATATCTCGACGTCCTCAGTGCGATCCTAGTCCGCATTGCCCAGGACCCGGAGGCTGCTGGCCCTACCTTCCTCCTCGCTGCAGCGCCGACTCTTTTCCTTGTTCCAGCGACGCCACCCGACCGCTCGCACACGGCTGCCATTGCAACGCGCATCTCCCGCTTTGGTCGAGGTGAGTGGGCTGAGCTAGTCTCAGATGCACTAGGCCGTCGCACACCCCTTCCTCAGCGCACAGGTCACCGGTCACGCACCGCCACCGATCCCTCTACAGCAGATGAGCGCCGCATTGCACGTTGCCTTCGTCTGGCAGCGTGCAATGAGACCTCACGGGCGTGCGCGGCTCTCGAGTCCGCGGAGGCAGCCCCAGATACACAGGGGACGATACAGCGCCTGCAGTCGAAGCACCCCAACGCGGAGAGGCCGACCCCAGCTTGGCAGTCTGGCTTCCAAGGGATCCCCTCTCGTGCTCTCGGTGGATCACTTACGCCGCGCGATCTTCACAGCTCCGCGGGGCTCTTCGGGAGGACCGTCCGGTTGGGTCGCTGAGCACCTGCGAGACACTTTCCTAGCTTTCCCTCAGAGTCTCCATTTCCTCCTTGCCGTGTACCAGCAGTGGCTTCGAGGCCGTTGCGCTCCAGCTGCGCGCTCCTTGCTAGCGTCTTCCACCCTCGTGGCTCTGGCGAAGTCGAACATGGATGTTCGGCCGATTGCCATCGGCGAGGTTTTGGTCCGCATTCTTTCTCGTGCAGTCTGTCTCCAGCTACGTGACCAGATGGCGAGGGTCTTCTTGGCGTCACAGCAGTTTGGGGTGGGGGTTACGTGCGGGACAGAGGTCGTAGTTAGAGGCGTCCGCCGCGCTCTGGCTGACCACCCAGACTGGGTGGTCCTGCAGCTAGACGTGGCGAATGCCTTTAACTCCTTCCACCGAGATAGGATGTTCCAGGCGCTGCAGGCCAGCCCGGAGTTTCAGTGCCTGATCCCCTTCATCGGCCTCTTCTACGGGACGCCCTCGGATCTCCACTACAGGTCAGGCACGGGAGTGGTCACGATGCACTCGGAGCGGGGCACTCGCCAGGGAGACCCTCTCAGCCCCTTCTTGTACGCTCTGACACAGCGTCTTGCTTTGGAGCCGGTTCTGGTGGAGGGGGATGTCCAGCTCTGGTCGTACGCCGATGACACGTACGTGCTAGGTCCCCCAGACAGGGTGCTGCACCACTTTGCCGAGATCGTGAGGCGCTTGGGCGAGATGGGCCTTGCAGCCCAGCCGCACAAGTGCCTCGTCTACCAGACAGAGTCCTTTCTGTCCAGGGATCTGGAGGCCTTCACGGGCCTAGGGATCGAGGTCGCACGCCGAGGGCTCACCAGTGACAGGCGTACCGGTAGGCACCGTTTCGTTCGTGGAGCAGAGTCTCCCGGATCGTCTCGAGAGGATGGGGCGGGTGCTACCTTGGCTTCCGAGGTTGCGCCAGCCCCAGACAGCTGCCCGCCTTCTGTCGGCGTGTGTCAGCACTCGTCCGCAGTACCTGTCGAGGACCGTCCCTCCTTCGCCCGCAGTGATCTCTAGTTTTACACTGGTGGGACGCACGCCTGGGAGAGACATTTCAGCAGCTTTTAGCTTCAGGGACCTGGGCTTGTCGCGAGGACGTCCGAGAGGCCGCCCTAGACCAGATCTTCCTCCCCATCCGTCTCGGGGGTTTCGGCATTCGTCGCATGGCACGCATTGCCCCGGTGAGTTTCGTGTGCTCCTGGGTGCAGTGTGCTCCCATTCTCTGTTCTCTCCCTGCGTGTGGCGAGGTGTTTCGGCAGAGCTTCGCTTCAGGTGAGCCAGAGCAGATCGACCGGGCTCTGCAGACGGCGCTAGAGGGTCTCCCACCTGACGTTCTCTCTCTCCTTCCCCCCTGGCCCTCCTTGCGCTTCTGCCTCCCCCGATTCCCTTTTTGCAGGAGCGAGCCGTCTTCTGGAGGCGCAGGCCTTGGAGGCCGTGCGTGCCCGTCACGCCTCTCCCTTGCACCTTGCCCGTTTGACTTCCCTTCAGGGCGCAGGTGCAGGGGCGTGGTTGACGTCGGTGCCGTACGCTGACCCACTGCGCATCCCGGAGGCGCTGTGGCAGGCGGCTTCATCTTCTCGTCTTGGTCTCCCTATCCCCCAGTTAGCCCTTGCAGGTCAGTGCTCCTGCGGACAGGCGATTGACGACATGACGGTGCCTCATCACGCGGTTCCGGTGCCCGCGCTACGGGGTCGCCACTACCATCCACGACACGGTGAAGTACATGCTTCGAGACTTTGCGGTCGAGGCGGGCTTCGCGGTAAAGGTGGAGGACTCTACGCTGTTCACACAGTTGGAGGCGGCTCGAGCTGAGACTACTGGGACAGCCAGTGGTGGGAGAGGGGACACGGGCTGAGGGACCGGGGGAGCAGAGAGGCGAGGCGGGACAGCCGGGTGGCGGGGGACAGTGGGGACAGCACCAGCTGCGGGGTCAGGTGGAGCGAGGGATAGGTGGGCAGAGGGGACGGCAGGGGGAGCAGACGGGCCAGGACGGGGAGGGGAGACGACACAGGCAGCAGCAGGAGAGCCAGTGGAGGCCGCGGGCCCAGGGCGCCGCGCCTCCAGGTTCGGCCTCGGAGGTGGGGCAGGGGCGGGAGCAGCAGAGAGCGGACGGAGGTACAGGAGGGGCAGCGGGATTGGGAGGGGAGGGCCAGGGAGTGAGAGAGGCAGCAGGGGATGGAGCAGGGGGGTCGGGAGGGTTGGGGGAGGGTAGAGAGGGGGAGGGGAGAGGACAGGTGGATGGAGGAGAGGAGAGGGGGAGAGAGACGATCGGAGAGGAGGCACCAAGGGACCAGACAGGGCAGCAGCCAGCGCAACAGCAGGGACCAGTCGGACACACAGGTCGTGTAGGCACGGCCTCCCGCATCCCAGACCTCACCTGCCGCGACGTTAGGCCAGGGTCTGATGGTTCTTGTGGATGTCTCCATAGCGGATCCACAGCGGGAGGGGAACGTGCAGCTGAGACGGGCGACCCCCACACAAATTGGAGTGGCAGCAGCTAGGCGGGTGCAGGAGAAGCTGCGGCACTAGGGGGCCGCACTTAGAGGGGCTGCAGCCGGCACCACACTTTCTACGCGTGCGTGGCGGAGACCTTTGGCCTTCTCAGTGAGCCGCTGCGTCAGTTTCTGGGGCTCTGCGCAAAGAGGATAGCACAGCGGAGGAGGGATAGAGGTGGGGGGGATGACGGATCGGCACGGATATTTGAGGTAGGACTCACTACACGCCTCTCCGTTGCACTGCAGCGCGCGCAGGCTCAATGCATGATCCAGCATGCGGTGCGGCAGTTAGGGAGATCCGACGACGGGTGGATGCCCGCACCAAGTCCCACTGGGTGCGGGGCAGGGTACTTGGCACCACGTCACAGGGTGCTTCGAGAGTGTGGCTGATATGCAGTATATATATGATGCATATGTGTAAAAAACAATAGTGGCTGTGCTTGAAACGCTGTGCCCGTGCGGTCGTGCGGGTTGCTGCCGTGTTGTGGTCCTTTGGTGCTTCCTCCTCCTTAGTCTCTCTCCCTCTCTCCTCTTCTCTTCCCACCTCCCTCTTTCAGTTCCCTTCTTCTATCCTTCCCTTCTCTTCCTACCACCCTCTTCTTTTACCTACCACTTCTTCTTACTCCTTCATCCTTCCTTCCTTTCCTTTCTTTCCCCCTTTTCCTACAAAATATACCGTCCTCATAGCGATTAGGCTATGTCGAAATTTCCTAGTCTTGGAAAAACCATTATATTCTGCGTGTATTTGCTCTTCCCCTATTAATGAATAACTGCTCTCGCCCACCGGTGCTTAGCTTCGGAGTTCTGATGGGATCCGGCGTAGTAGCCGAGGTATGATCGTACCACGTCAACCTCGTGCCCCGACCGCTACACACCCCTTGCCCGGGTCCCCCCCTTCATAGTCACACCCCCTGCCCCCTCATGCCATCCGCTCCCCCCGCCCCTACCCTCCGCGTGCCCGCTCCCTTGCCGCCTCTTTTGACCCTCCCTGCCCCCCCTCGCCGTTTCCCACCGCCCGCCATTCGCTCCTCCCCGCCCGTGCGCTCCCCTCCTTTACCTTCTCCTCCCCCCTCCCCTCCTCTGCTGCACGCCTCTTCCCTCCCCTCGCCGACCCACTCCACTCCCTGCCCCTCCTCAATCCGCACCCTGCCCCTCGTATCTCGCCCCCCTATGCTTGGTTTCTCCCCTCCCTGCCCCTCGCCGCCTTTCCCCGCTCCCCACCTCCCCCCTCTCCCTGCCCCCCCCACTCTCCCCCCCCTTGTCCTTGGCTTCCTACCTCCCTGCCTCACCTTTCCCCCCTCCGTGTGCTCAGCTTCTCCCCTCCCTGCCCCTCCCTCCTCCCCGCCCTGCCCCTCATTTTCCGCCCCCCCCCACGCCCGGTTTCTCCCCTCCCCGCGCCTCCCTTTCTTTCTCCGTGCCTCTCCTTTGCTCCCTCCCTGCCCCCGCCTGCCCATGCCCCTGTCTTTGGCTTCTCCCCTCCCTGCCCCACGTTTCTTCCCTCCCTGCCCCCCGTCTGCCCCTCCCTTGTTTTCCCCTCACCCATTGCTTCTCTCCTCCCTGCCCTTGATTTCCCACACCCCTGCCCTCGTTTCCTATCATCCATGCCCCTCGTTTCCCCCCTTTGTACGTTCAGCCTCTTCCCTCCCTGCCCCTCCCTTCCTCCCCCCCTGCCCTTTGCTCTCCCCTCGTTACGCTCCCTTCTCCCCATCCCTGCTGCCCTCTTACCACCATCAGCCCATCCCCACGACCAGCCCCCCTCCCACCCTTCAATCCCCCCTCCCTCTCTCTCTCTCTCTCTCTCTCTCTCTCTCTCTCTCTCTCTCTCCTCTCTTTCTCACACACACACACACGCACACTCCCCTCCCCCACCCCCCCCACGTACATCCTCCCATTCTGCCCCTCCCTGCCCCTTTCCCACCCCCTCGCACGCCCCTCACCTCCCACCTCCGTGCAACTGGTTTCCCCCCTATGGTGCCACCCTTGCATCGCTCGCCCCTCTGCTCACCCTCTGCCCGCCCCTTTTCCGTGCCCTCAGTTGGCCCAGCCCCTGCCCGTTGCTGCCCCTCCCCTTGCCCCCTCAACTCCCCTGCCCCCCGTACACCCCAAGTCCCATCCAACCGCCCCCACCCTCCCCCGGCTGCCCGTTTCCGCTCTCCACCCCCGCGACCGTGTGCGGCTTCCAACCGCCCAACGGTGGTGCGCACGGGGCGTTTCTTCGCACGGGCAAGCCTCCCCGGGGGCCCCCCACCCCGCTGGGTCGTTGTTTGGGCAAAAAAACGAAAATGAAAGAATCGGACGCGCTAAAATCGTCCTTTCTTTTTCCCGCTTGCCCCTCCCCCGGCGCGTGCCGAGCAAGGGGCATAAATGGGTACAACACGAGGACTTCCCGGGAGGTCACCCAGCCCAGTACTGCTCTCGCCCACCGGCGCTCTTACCTTGACCTAGCTTACCTAGCCATGGCTGCCTACTAAGGAGCCTCCTAAACCTACTATTTCGAGTTGCTTAAGGACAAAGTGATTGTGATAGTTGTTTATGTTATAGTTATAAGCGTTTCCAACTGGTTAGTTTTTTAGTTTCGACTGTCGAGTTCGACGGGACGGGGGTCGCGAGTTTCGCGCGCGACCCTTAGGAGTCTCGGAAACGGAACTCGCGGGGTGTTACTGAACCGCTCGTTCGACCCCGCCATCGCGGGAAGGCTGCGGACGCGCTGCAGCCGGTGTAACGGGAGGTGGGGCGTTGACGCGAAGTTCGCCCGCGGAGTGTAACAGCGCGCGCGACTCACAACCACAACTCCGCCAGACACGGTGTTCCCTCCCATCCCCTCTCTCGACACTCTCCCTTATCCCCCCGCTCTTTTCTGCCCACGGCTTTGCTATTCGAAGCGACTAGCAAATACCGAGTCACTTCCCGCGGTTTCCCTCTCTCGAAGTCACTGAGCTTAGCTTCCGCCCGTAGTTAGCATTCTTCCTTCCCTTTCAGTGCGCCCTTCTTTATCGAAACCCTAATTCGAAGAGCCGCGCGTTTTCAAGCACGCTTTCTCGTCGCCTATCACGCTTAGTCACGCACTCTTTTTTTTCCCCGCCCGTTCAATCTAGCCGCGACGTAGACGGAACCGCGCACGGGGCGCTCACCGCCAGGGAAAGGCAGCGCGGAGGGAGGCGAAATTGCTACGTTCGTAGCGATTAAACAGCCCTCCCCTTGCGCGCCTCCCGAAGCGCGTTTTCTGCCTAGAGCGTTTTAGCCGCCCACGTTTGGCACACAAGCCGCCCCACTCCCCCTTTGCTCACTCCCACCCTGCCATGCCTCGTCGCGCACTCGTGCATGCCACCCACACGTCGTAATCTTACCCCGTCGCCACCCTCATAGTCACCTCTCTGCTCACACCGCCCCTTTCCCCCTCACACGCACGCTTTAGCCACCCCGCCACCTAACCTCTTTCCCTAACGGCGCTTAGCTAGCAGAGGCCGCCCTGTCTCTGGAAACCGTAGGAAATAAGAGGAAACAACTTCAAGGAAAAAAGAAAAGAAAAAAGAAATTCATATGAATCGGAAAAATCCAGGAAAAATCAGAAAGGCAGCTTACACCTTGTTCTCCCAACCCTCCAGGGCCCCATCCAGTCCACCACCCCCCCATTCTGTTTCATCATACTACACCACACCCTCCCCTTTTGCCCACCAGCATTACCGCCCCTCTCCCCTTATCCCCCACCACGCCCCCAAGCAGGCCTTTCTCCCCCCAGCCCCCCGTCTCCCTGCCCTTAGTACCGCCGCGCTCTGCCCGCGCGTCACCCTCGCCCACTTCATACCACCTCCCCCTTCTCCCCCCCCCCGGCTTCCCCCTATCATCACCCGCATGTTCCCCCACTCCCCTGTCCACAACGTCCCTCCTCCACCCCCCCTCCTGCCTTCCCCACTCCCACTCTGTCCCCCACACCTCTACGAGCCGTACCTCCCCCTCCAGCCTCCCTTTTCCCCCCCAGCTATTTCCGCATCCAGCGTGGGCTGCACCTCTGCATCCTGCCCTGCCAGGCCCTCCGAGGACCCAACTGCCGCCACCTGACACCACGCCGCCTTTCCCACCCCCATCCAATCTCTACACCCCCTGCCCCTGCTCCCTGCGCAATCCAGCCACCTACCCCAGCCTCCCTCTACCTCTCCCTAACTCCACGCTGCCGTTCCTACCCCCAGCCAGGGTCTACACCCCTTGCTTTTGCTCCCTGTGCTGTGCCGTCCCCAACCTCCGTCCGCCTTTCCGCGGCACCAGACCGCCTCTCCCTCCCCCAGCCAACCTCTGCACCCCCTGTTCCTGCCCCTTGTGCCTTCCAACACCCTACCCCAACCCCCCCCAGTCTCCCCCTTCTCCAACACCCTCCATATTTCCTCCCCCCTGGGGCTCGCCCATCCGCAGGTATCACCCTTCATCAATTCCCCAATTCCCTCTGTCCCCTGTTTCCCGGCCCCGCATCTTTCTCTGCATTTACCACAGCGCCTCCTTTCGGTGCCCTCTCGGCCCTCCCACGTTCTCACCCCCCGCCCTCCAACCTTCTCATTACCCGCTACCAGGCTCACGCCAACCCGACTACCCACTACCCTTTGCCCCTTCCTCTCTGTTCCCCACCCTTCCTCCCCCACTTGGCTCCACCTGCCCACCCCCACCTCCCGTGGAATTCTGCCCTGCCCTCCCCACCTCTGGCCCACCACCTGTCCCCACACCCTGCTCACCCACCACTACATCACCCCCGCCCCCCCACCTCCACTACAGCCCGCCAACACTTCCCCTCTCAACCGGCCCCCAGCCCGCCCCCCCCTTGGGCCCCAATCCCCTCCAACTGTCAGGCCCCCTCTACCCTCTCTTCCACCCACTGCGCACCGCTTTCCCCACCCTTTTTCCATTTCCCCAAGCTAACCCCCCGCACCCCGGCCTCTGCCAGGGAGTTCCTTCCCCCTTTGACGCCCTCTTGAGCCAACTCCAGCAACTCACGCCGCCACCGCCAGGCATGCTGCCTCTGTAACAATGCCCCAGCACCCCGCGAGTGGGGAAAAGGCAGACCCGGGAGCCCCTCGGCGATCTAGGAGGTCCCGCAGCCGAGCCACCCCCTACTCTCCCACTCCCCCCACTTCAACAGTCAGGAAGAAACAACACACACTTGACCAAGCGAAAACACTCACACAATCTGATCCTAGGGGCCAGAAGCGTACCCTTGAAGAGGATGGAACAGAGGAACGCCAAGCCCCACTGGAGGAAATACACAAGGAGGAGCCAGCACGCTCAAAACCGCGCCCTACCCCCGCGGCCCCATCCCAGCCTACCCCCCCTTCAGGTGACAGCGGGGACGGCACCCATGCATGCCAAGTGGAGAGATCCCCCAACTCTCTCGCTACTTCCCATTCGCAAACCAGATTACTTGTGAAAACACTTAATCCTACTAGCACCCCCAAGCACATAGAAGCGGGAGGGGGCAGAGCCAGGGGGGAACTTGCAGCTAACACTGCACGGGAAGGGGTAAGTGAATGTGTGTGCGAAGGAGCAGCAGAGGCTGCAGAGGATGGGGCAGCAAAGGCTGCACGGGAAGGGGCAATGGGGGTTGTGGGGGAAGGGGCAGCAGAGGTTGCAGAGGAAAGGGCAGCAGAGGCTGCAAGGGAAGGGGCAGCAGCGGCTGCACGGGAAAGGGCGGCAGAGGCTGCACGGGAAGGGGCAGCAGGGACCGTGACTCTGGCCAGGCAAAGGGCAGAGGCCATGGAGACAGGTTTTGCAGGAGTAGGGGCCACGGAACCTGCAGCTGTGTCGGCTGGGGGAACCGCAGCAGAGGAGGCTATAGGGACCGCACCAGGCGAGGCCGCACAGACCACAGCAGGTGTGGCTGCAGGGATCACAACGGGTGAGGCTGCAGGAGGGACCATGGCAGGTGAAGCCGCAGAGAGCGCAGTAGGTGAGGCTGCAGGGAGCGCAGCAGGTGAGGCTGTAGGGAGCGCAGCAGGGGAGGCTGCAGAGAGCGCAGCAGGTGAGGCCGCAGGGAGCGCAGCAGGCGAGGCTGCAGGGAGCGCAGTAGGCGAGGCTGCGGGGAGCGCAGCAGGCGGGGCTGCAGGGGCCGCAGCAGGTGAGGCTGCGGCGGACGCAGCAGGTGAGGCTGCGAGGGCTGCAGCATGTAAGGTTGGGCAGACTCTAGCAGGTGAGGCTGCACAGTCTACAGCTGGTGAGGTCGCAGGGACTGCAATAGGTGAGGCAGCAGGGACTGCAGCAGGTGAGGCTGCAGGGACCACAGCGGATGAGGCTGCAGGCGGGACCAGGGCAGGTGAGGCCGCAGGGAGCGCAGCAGGTGAGGCTGAAATAGCCGCAGCAGTTGAGGTTGAGCAGATTCTAGCAGGTGAGGCCGCACAGACTGCAGCAGGTGAGGCCGCAGGGACTGCAGCAGGTGAGGCTGCAGGGACTGCTGCACGTGAGGCTGCAGGGACCGCGGCAGGCAAGGCTGCAGGGACCGCGGCTGGTGAGGCTGAGCAGATTACGGCAGGTGAGGTTTTACAGACTGCAGCAGTCGAGGCTGCAAGGACTGCAGCAGGAGCGACAGAGGCCACAGTGGGGGCCGGTACAGGGGGAGGTGCTACGGGTGCAGCGGGGAAGGGGGTAACGGGGACTGGTGCGAGGGAGAGTGCTGCCTCGGTTGTAGCAAGAGAGGGTACGGCAGGGGCTAGAGTGGGAGAAGGGACATGCAGTGGCCTCAAAGGCAGAAGGTGAGGCTGCAGCTGAAGCAGCAGGGAGGGCCATAGCACGGCCAGTAGGGGCGGCAGGGGCCGCAGCAAACGCGGGGAAACACACAAGCAGGGCCGGCAGAGACCGCAAAAGGGGCTAGCAGTAAAGCGGCAGCAGGCGGGGTGGGCTCGGGGGACATAGGGGCAACAGGGGAAGGAGAGGTGAGTGTGGTCCCGACCGGGGTGGGCACGGAAGAGGGGGATGTGATAGCGATAGAGGAGGATGAGGGAGAGGATGTGATGCACATTGACGGGCCACTGGCCCAATACCTCACGCCTGACGGTGAGGCCGACCCGGCCCCCCTGCAGCCTCACGTCGAGGTTCCCCCTCTACCCCCCATGCCCGTCCACATGCTAGCAGAAGGACCGATGGAGGGGCTGGGGGAGACCTTGAGGACAGAGCCGCACGAGGGAGCCCCCATCCTCACCTCCCGTCCTCCAGCCCACCCACCCCCAGGAGCACCATTTCCCCACCCCCACCCTCAGGTCCCGGTAGTATCCAGGGGGGCAGCCAAGGCCCTGGCCTTCTTGGCGGAGCCGTGCTCCCCGACCCCCACGTTGCTCCATGGCCAGCCCCCCTCTCCGTCCCCAACCCCTGACCCCACGGTTGCAGGCGGTCCACCGGGAGAGCACGCGGGTGCGACAAGAGCAGAGTCACCCGAGGGCACCCCTTCTCTCACCTCTCACCCCTCCCCGCCCCTTCCCTCACTCCTCCCCTCACCCCCAAGGGCAGCACACCTCTGCCCCCACCCTCAGGGGCTCCTTAGAGCACCACGTGGAGCAGCCAGGGCTCTGGCCTTCCTAGAGGAGCCATGCTCCCCGACCCCTACCAACACCCAGCCACCCCCTACCGGCCCACTACCCCCCCCTCCACCAGGCCCCCCCCCACCCGGTAGTACACACATCTCGGAGGTTGAAGCATCTCTGCGGCCAAATCCCTCTCCCACACGCTACAGGCACCCAAACCACCCGAGTCGCCGCACAGCCCCAACACGCCCACCCAACAGGCTGCCCCCCTCACACCACCCCCCCCAGGCAGCCGAGACCCACCCGCAAGGGCTTGCGCCCCAGGCTCATGGGAGCGGCGGCACCCGGGTAGAGGGGCCCACAGGAGAGGCCACCACAGAGCCCACACAAACCCCTCTCCCCCCACCGTTTGTACCTCGCTCTAACCTCCACACTGGCCCAGCCCCTCGACCCCCACCTTCAACCCCCCCTCCCGGCCGGGTTCCCCACGAGTGGCCCCGTTGGGCAGCCATCACCCCCCACACACAGCCTGCCCGATCTGTCCCCACGGAGGGGGATGTCTCGAGGAGAGAGGGGATGCACACAGAGCACCCCCCGCCCGGCGAACCACCCATCCTCCCTCCAACCACCCCTTTGGCCCCACAGCCCCCCCTTCCTTCACAAACAGGCGCGGACAACCGGGTTGGCCGCCGGCGGAAGAACAGGGGCAGAGGAGGCAGAGGGTCAGCCCACGTACTCCCCCCTCCCTCCCTCCCCCACCAAGAGCCCCTCCCCACCCCGCATCCTGTTGAACCCTTACCAGGCCCTACCGCTACAGCCCGACCACCAAACCCACACTCCCGCCCCGCTCCTACACCTCCACAGGGCCATGGGAGCGGACCAGCCCACTCTCCCCCATTCTGCCCCTCCCTTGCTGTGTCCCCCTCCCAGGTGGCGGCGGCCGCGATCGCTACGGGGATGGAGGCCGTCGGGTTGAGGGATGCGCCCATGGAAGACGCCACCGACTCCCCCTCCCATCCCTCCCACCCCTTCCATGTCGACGACCCCCTACCGCAACCCATGGTGATTGGGGAGGGCCAAGGGGGCCTTCTAGGGCAGGGTCCACACCCGAGCTCCGCTCAGCCAGCAAGCCCCACTCCACCCTCTACCCTGCCAGCCCTCCTACTCTCACCTACAGGCAGGCAGGTCTTCGAGACCCCAGAGGAGGTGAGGGCTGGCATTTCAGATTTGCTGGCGATACACCGCCCGAGCAGCTCTCCGGCTGCCCCCACCCTTCCAGTCCCACAGGACCGGACCCGGACGTATGCGGAGGTCACCCGGTCTGTCCCTTCTTTTATCCCCCCCGCCACTCAGCCAGGCGCGTCACTCCCGACCCCAATGGAGACGGACCAGGTTCAGAGGCCGTGTCACGCGCACCTAGATGGGGTGGCGCCTCCCCCCGTTCAGCCCGTGGCGCAGGAGGTCACCAGCAGTAGGGATGAGGCATCCGCCCCTACCGAGACCCCTCCGCCTGGGGTAGCAGAGCCGTCACTTGAACCGCACCTCGCCGAGGGGCAGGAGCACACCACGGCACACACTTCAGGCTCACCCCCACGTCCCCCCTCCCCAGCTTCGACACCGGTTCCGGCACGAGGCCCGGCCCTATCCTGTGCGACACCACCTCTATCTTCGCTGACACCCCCCATGCACGGGGTTGGTGAGTCGTCGCCTCCCCTCATCCCAGGCGATCCTCTCGGAGCTCAGGCCGCCCACGGGGTCCCCTCTACAGCCAGTTCCGACGCCACGGCCCCGATTGACCCCGCCGACACGGCGACATCACCCGACCAGGTCGTGAGTTGCCCCACCTGCAGGAGCTCTCTCGCGAACCGACGCGCGCTCCAGCACCACTTTCCCTTCTGCCATCCTGCGGACGCGGCTCGCAGGGCGCAGGCTGCCCATGACACCGCCTCGATCATCCCTTCCCTCTCACAGCCCCGTGCGACCGGGATACAGTTCACCGACGCACAGTGGCAGACGCTCGACTCGGTGGACTAGGACAGAGTACTTCTCGCCCGAGCGTATCCATGCACGCCCTCTCCGACGTGTCCCGGAGAGGGTCCGCGGAGGATATCTCGACGTCCTCAGTGCGATCCTAGTCCGCATTGCCCAGGACCCGGAGGCTGCTGGCCCTACCTTCCTCCTCGCCTGCAGCGCCGACTCTTTTCCTTGTTCCAGCGACGCCACCCGACCGCTCGCACACGGCTGCCATTGCAACGCGCATCTCCCGCTTTGGTCGAGGTGAGTGGGCTGAGCTAGTCTCAGATGCACTAGGCCGTCGCACACCCCTTCCTCGGCGCACAGGTCACCGGTCACGCACCGCCACCGATCCCTCTACAGCAGATGAGCGCCGCATTGCACGTTGCCTACGTCTGGCAGCGTGCAATGAGACCTCACGGGCGTGCGCGGCTCTCGAGTCCGCGGAGGCAGCCCCAGATACACAGGGGACGATACAGCGCCTGCAGTCGAAGCACCCCAACGCGGAGAGGCCGACCCCAGCTTGGCAGTCTGGCTTCCAGGGGTCCCCTCTCGTGCTCTCGGTGGATCCACTTACGCCGCGCGATTTTCACAGCTCCGCGGGGCTCTTCGGGAGGACCGTCCGGTTGGGTCGCTGAGCACCTGCGAGACACTTTCCTAGCTTTCCCTCAGAGTCTCCATTTCCTCCTGGCCGTGTACCAGCAGTGGCTCCGAGGCCGTTGCGCTCCAGCTACGCGCTCCTTGCTAGCGTCTTCCACCCTCGTGGCTCTGGCGAAGTCGAACATGGATGTTCGGCCGATTGCCATCGGCGAGGTCTTGGTCCGCATTCTTTCTCGTGCAGTCTGTCTCCAGCTACGTGACCAGATGGCGAGGGTCTTCTTGGCGTCACAGCAGTTTGGGGTGGGGGTTACGTGCGGGACAGAGGTCGTAGTTAGAGGCGTCCGCCGCGCTCTGGCTGACCACCCAGACTGGGTGGTCCTGCAGCTAGACGTGGCGAATGCCTTTAACTCTTTCCACCGAGACAGGATGTTCCAGGCGCTGCAGGCCAGCCCGGAGTTTCAGTGCCTGATCCCCTTCATCGGCCTCTTCTACGGGACGCCCTCGGATCTCCACTACAGGTCAGGCACGGGAGTGGTCACGATGCACTCGGAGCGGGGCACTCGCCAGGGAGACCCTCTCAGCCCCTTCTTGTACGCTCTGACACAGCGTCTTGCTTTGGAGCCGGTTCTGGTGGAGGGGGATGTCCAGCTCTGGTCGTACGCCGATGACACGTACGTGCTAGGTCCCCCAGACAGGGTGCTGCACCACTTTGCCGAGATCGTGAGGCGCTTGGGCGAGATGGGCCTTGCAGCCCAGCCGCACAAGTGCCTCGTCTACCAGACAGAGTCCTTTCTGTCCAGGGATCTGGAGGCCTTCACGGGCCTAGGGATCGAGGTCGCACGCCGAGGGCTCACCGTGACAGGCGTACCGGTAGGCACCGTTTCGTTCGTGGAGCAGAGTCTCCCGGATCGTCTCGAGAGGATGGGGCGGGTGCTACCTTGGCTTCCGAGGTTGCGCCAGCCCCAGACAGCTGCCCGCCTTCTGTCGGCGTGTGTCAGCACTCGTCCGCAGTACCTGTCGAGGACCGTCCCTCCTTCGCCCGCAGTGATCTCTAGTTTTACACGGTGGGACGCACGCCTGGGAGAGACATTTCAGCAGCTTTTAGCTTCAGGGACCTGGGCTTGTCGCGAGGACGTCCGAGAGGCCGCCCTAGACCAGATCTTCCTCCCCATCCGTCTCGGGGGTTTCGGCATTCGTCGCATGGCACGCATTGCCCCGGTGAGTTTCGTGTGCTCCTGGGTGCAGTGTGCTCCCATTCTCTGTTCTCTCCCTGCGTGTGGCGAGGCGTTTCGGCAGAGCTTCGCTTCAGGTGAGCCAGAGCAGATCGACCGGGCTCTGCAGACGGCGCTAGAGGGTCTCCCACCTGACGTTCTCTCTCTCCTTCCCCCCTGGCCCTCTTGCGCTTCTGCCTCCCCCGATTCCCTTTTTGCAGGAGCGAGCCGTCTTCTGGAGGCGCATGCCTTGGAGGCCGTGCGTGCCCGTCACGCCTCTCCCTTGCACCTTGCCCGTTTGACTTCCCTTCAGGGCGCAGGTGCAGGGGCGTGGTTGACGTCGGTGCCGTACGCTGACCCACTGCGCATCCCGGAGGCGCTGTGGCAGGCGGCTTCATCTTCTCGTCTTGGTCTCCCTATCCCCCAGTTAGCCCTTGCAGGTCAGTGCTCCTGCGGACAGGCGATTGACGACATGACGGTGCCTCATCACGCGGTTCGGTGCCCGCGCTACGGGGTCGCCACTACCATCCACGACACGGTGAAGTACATGCTTCGAGACTTTGCGGTCGAGGCGGGCTTCGCAGTAAAGGTGGAGGACTCTACGCTGTTCACACAGTTGGAGGCGGCTCGAGCGAGACTACTGGGACAGCCAGTGGTGGGAGAGGGGACGCGGGCTGAGGGACCGGGGGAGCAGAGAGGCGAGGCGGGATCAGCCGGGTGGCGGGGGACAGTGGGGACAGCACCAGCTGCGGGGTCAGGTGGAGCGAGGGATAGGGGGGCAGAGGGGTACGGCAGGGGGAGCAGACGGGCCAGGACGGGAGAGGGGAGACGGCACAGGCAGCAGCAGGAGAGCCAGGGGAGGCCGCGGGCCCAGGGCGCCGCGCCTCCAGGTTCGGCCTCGGAGGTGGGGCAGGGGCGGGAGCAGCAGAGAGCGGACGGAGGTACAGGAGGGGCAGCGGGATTGGGAGGGGAGGGCCAGGGAGTGAGAGAGGCAGCAGGGGATGGAGCAGGGGGGTCGGGAGGGTTGGGGGAGGGTAGAGAGGGGGAGGGGAGAGGACAGGTGGATGGAGGAGAGGAGAGGGGGAGAGAGACGATCGGAGAGGAGGCACCAAGGGACCAGACAGGGCAGCAGCCAGCGCAACAGCAGGGACCAGTCGGACGCACAGGCCGTGTAGGCACCGCCTCCCGCATCCCAGACCTCACCTGCCGCGACGTTGGCCAGGGTCTGATGGTTCTTGTGGATGTCTCCATAGCGGATCCATAGCGCGAGGGGAACGTGCAGCTGAGACGGGCGACCCCCACACAGATTGGAGTGGCAGCAGCTAGGACGGGTGCAGGAGAAGCTGAGGCACTGGGGGCCGCACTTAGAGGGGCTGCAGCCGGCACCACACTTTTACGCGTGCGTGGCGGAGACCTTTGGCCTTCTGAGTGAGCCGCTGCGTCAGTTTCTGGGGCTCTGCGCAAAGAGGATAGCACAGCGGAGGAGGGATAGAGGTGGGGGGGATGACGGATCGGCACGGATATTTGAGGCAGGACTCACTACACGCCTCTCCGTTGCACTGCAGCGCGCGCAGGCTCAATGCATGATCCAGCATGCGGTGCGGCAGTTAGGGGGATCCGACGACGGGTGGATGCCCTGCACCAGTCCCACTGGGTGCGGGGCAGGGTACTTGGCACCACGTCACAGGGTGCTTCGAGAGTGTGGCTGATATGCAGTATATATATGATGCATATGTGTAAAAAACAATAGTGGCTGTGCTTGAAACGCTGTGCCCGTGCGGTCGTGCGGGTTGCTGCCGTGTTTTGGTCCTTTGGTGCTTCCTCCTCCTTAGTCTCTCTCCCTTTCTCCTCTTCTCTTCCCACCTCCCTCTTTCTGTTCCCTTCTTCTATCCTTCCCTTCTCTTCCTACCACCCTCTTCTTTTCCCTACCACTTCTTCTTACTCCTTCATCCTTCCTTCCTTTCCTTTCTTTCCCCCTTTTCCTACAAAATATATATACCGTCCTCATAGCGATAAGGCTATGTCGAAATTTCCTAGTCTTGGAAAAACCATTACATTCGGCTTGTATTTGCTCTTCCCCTATTAATGAATAACTGCTCTCGCCCACCGGCGCTTAGCTTCGGAGTTCTGATGGGATCCGGCGTAGTAGCCGAGGTATGATCGTACCACGTCAACCTCGTGCCCCGACCGCTACACACCCCTTGCCCGGGTCCCCCCCTTCATAGTCACACCCCCTGCCCCCTCATGCCATCCGCTCCCCCCCGCCCCTACCCTCCGCGTGCCCGCTCCCTTGCCGCCTCTTTTGACCCTCCCTGCCCCCCCTCGCCGTTTCCCACCGCCCGCCATTCGCTCCTCCCCGCCCGTGCGCTCCCCTCCTTTACCTTCTCCTCCCCCCTCCCCTCCTCTGCTGCACGCCTCTTCCTTCCCCTCGCCGACCCACTCCACTCCCTGCCCCTCCTCAATCCGCACCCTGCCCCTCGTATCTCGCCCCCCTATGCTTGGTTTCTCCCCTCCCTGCCCCTCGCCGCCTTTCCCCGCTCCCCACCTCCCCCCTCTCCCTGCCCCCCCCACTCTCCCCCCCCCTTGTCCTTGGCTTCCTACCTCCCTGCCTCACCTTTCCCCCCTCCGTGTGCTCAGCTTCTCCCCTCCCTGCCCCTCCCTCCTCCCCGCCCTGCCCCTCATTTTCCGCCCCCCCCCCACGCCCGGTTTCTCCCCTCCCCGCGCCTCCCTTTCTTTCTCCGTGCCTCTCCTTTGCTCCCTCCCTGCCCCCGCCTGCCCATGCCCCTGTCTTTGGCTTCTCCCCTCCCTGCCCCACGTTTCTTCCCTCCCTGCCCCCCGTCTGCCCCTCCCTTGTTTTCCCCTCACCCATTGCTTCTCTCCTCCCTGCCCTTGATTTCCCACACCCCTGCCCTCGTTTCCTATCATCCATGCCCCTCGTTTCCCCCCTTTGTACGTTCAGCCTCTTCCCTCCCTGCCCCTCCCTTCCTCCCCCCCTGCCCTTTGCTCTCCCCTCGTTACGCTCCCTTCTCCCCATCCCTGCTGCCCTCTTACCACCATCAGCCCATCCCCACGACCAGCCCCCCTCCCACCCTTCAATCCCCCCCTCCCTCTCTCTCTCTCTCTCTCTCTCTCTCTCTCTCTCTCTCTCTCTTTCTCACACACACACACACGCACACTCCCCTCCCCCACCCCCCCCACGTACATCCTCCCATTCTGCCCCTCCCTGCCCCTTTCCCACCCCCTCGCACGCCCCTCACCTCCCACCTCCGTGCAACTGGTTTCCCCCCTATGGTGCCACCCTTGCATCGCTCGCCCCTCTGCTCACCCTCTGCCCGCCCCTTTTCCGTGCCCTCAGTTGGCCCAGCCCCTGCCCGTTGCTGCCCCTCCCCTTGCCCCCTCAACTCCCCTGCCCCCCGTACACCCCAAGTCCCATCCAACCGCCCCCACCCTCCCCCGGCTGCCCGTTTCCGCTCTCCACCCCCGCGACCGTGTGCGGCTTCCAACCGCCCAACGGTGGTGCGCACGGGGCGTTTCTTCGCATGGGCAAGCCTCCCCGGGGGCCCCCCACCCCGCTGGGTCGTTGTTTGGGCAAAAAAACGAAAAGAAAAGAATCGGACGCGCTAAAATCGTCCTTTCTTTTTCCCGCTTGCCCCTCCCCCGGCACGTGCCGAGCAAGGGGCATAAATGGGTACAACACGAGGACTTCCCGGGAGGTAAACCAGATTACTTGTGAAAACACTTAATCCTACTAGCACCCCCAAGCACATAGAAGCGGGAGGGGGCAGAGCCAGGGGGGAACTTGCAGCTAACACTGCACGGGAAGGGGTAAGTGAATGTGTGTGCAAAGGAGCAGCAGAGGCTGCAGAGGATGGGGCAGCAAAGGCTGCACAAGAAGGGGCAATGGGGGGTGTGGGGGAAGGGGCAGCAGAGGTTGCAGAGGAAAGGGCAGCAGAGGCTGCAAGGGAAGGGGCAGCAGCGGCTGCACGGGAAAGGGCGGCAGAGGCTGCACGGGAAGGGGCGGCAGGGACCGTGACTCTGGCCAGGCAAAGGGCAGAGGCCATGGAGACAGGTTTTGCAGGAGTAGGGGCCACAGAACCTGCAGCTGTGTCGGCTGGGGGAACCGCAGCAGAGGAGGCTATAGGGACCGCACCAGGCGAGGCCGCACAGACCACAGCAGGTGTGGCTGCAGGGATCACAACGGGTGAGGCTGCAGGAGGGACCATGGCAGGTGAAGCCGCAGAGCAGAGGAGCGCAGTAGGTGAGGCTGTAGGGAGCGCAGCAGGGGAGGCTGCAGAGAGCGCAGCAGGTGAGGCCGCAGGGAGCGCAGCAGGCGAGGCTGCAGGGAGCGCAGCAGGCGAGGCTGCGGGGAGCGCAGCAGGCGGGGCTGCAGGGGCCGCAGCAGGTGAGGCTGCGGCGGACGCAGCAGGTGAGGCTGCGAGGGCTGCAGCATGTAAGGTTGGGCAGACTCTAGCAGGTGAGGCTGCACAGGCTACAGCTGGTGAGGTCGCAGGGACTGCAATAGGTGAGGCCGCAGGGACTGCAGCAGGTGAGGCTGCAGGGACCACAGCGGATGAGGCTGCAGGCGGGACCAGGGCAGGTGAGGCCGCAGGGAGCGCAGCAGGTGAGGCTGAAATAGCCGCAGCAGTTGAGGTTGAGCAGATTCTAGCAGGTGAGGCCGCACAGACTGCAGCAGGTGAGGCCGCAGGGACTGCAGCAGGTGAGGCTGCAGGGACTGCTGCACGTGAGGCTGCAGGGACCGCGGCAGGCAAGGCTGCAGGGACCGCGGCTGGTGAGGCTGAGCAGATTACGGCAGGTGAGGTTTTACAGACTGCAGCAGTCGAGGCTGCAAGGACTGCAGCAGGAGCGACAGAGGCCACAGTGGGGGCCGGTACAGGGGGAGGTGCTACGGGTGCAGCGGGGAAGGGGGTAACGGGGACTGGTGTGAGGGAGAGTGCTGCCTCGGTTGTAGCAAGAGAGGGTACGGCAGGGGCTAGAGTGGGAGAAGGGACAGCAGTGGCCTCAAAGGCAGAAGGTGAGGCTGCAGCTGAAGCAGCAGGGAGGGCCATAGCACGGCCAGTAGGGGCGGCAGGGGCCGCAGCAAATGCGAGGAAACACACAGCAGGGCCGGCAGAGACCGCAAAAGGGGCTAGCAGTAAAGCGGCAGCAGGCGGGGTGGGCTCGGGGGACATAGGGGCAACAGGGGAAGGAGAGGTGAGTGTGGTCCCGACCGGGGTGGGCACTGGAAGAGGGGGATGTGATAGCGATAGAGGAGGATGAGGGAGAGGATGTGATGCACATTGACGGGCCACTGGCCCAATACCTCACGCCTGACGGTGAGGCCGACCCGGCCCCCCTGCAGCCTCACGTCGAGGTTCCCCCTCTACCCCCCATGCCCGTCCCCATGCTAGCAGAAGGACCGATGGAGGGGCTGGGGGAGACCTTGAGGACAGAGCCGCACGAGGGAGCCCCCATCCTCACCTCCCGTCCTCCAGCCCACCCACCCCCAGGAGCACCATTTCCCCACCCCCACCCTCAGGTCCCGGTAGTATCCAGGGGGGCAGCCAAGGCCCTGGCCTTCTTGGCGGAGCCGTGCTCCCCGACCCCCACGTTGCTCCATGGCCAGCCCCCCTCTCCGTCCCCAACCCCTGACCCCACGGTTGCAGGCGGTCCACCGGGAGAGCACGCGGGTGCGACAAGAGCAGAGTCACCCGAGGGCACCCCTTCTCTCACCTCTCACCCCTCCCCGCCCCTTCCCTCACTCCTTCCCCTCACCCCCAAGGGCAGCACACCTCTGCCCCCACCCTCAGGGGCTCCTTAGAGCACCACGTGGAGCAGCCAGGGCTCTGGCCTTCCTAGAGGAGCCATGCTCCCCGACTCCTACCAACACCCAGCCACCCCCTACCGGCCCACTACCCCCCCCTCCACCAGGCCCCCCCCCACCCGGTAGTACACACATCTCGGAGGTTGAAGCATCTCTGCGGCCAAATCCCTCTCCCACACGCTACAGGCACCCAAACCACCCGAGTCGCCGCACAGCCCCAACACGCCCACCCAACAGGCTGCCCCCCTCACACCACCCCCCCCAGGCAGCCGAGACCCACCCGCAAGGGCTTGCGCCCCAGGCTCATGGGAGCGGCGGCACCCGGGTAGAGGGGCCCACAGGAGAGGCCACCACAGAGCCCACACAAATCTCTCTCCCCCCACCGCTTGTACCTCGCTCTAACCTCCACACTGGCCCAGCCCCTCGACCCCCACCTTCCAACCCCCCCTCCCGGCCGGGTTCCCCACGAGTGGCCCCGTTGGGCAGCCATCACCCCCCACACACAGCCTGCCCGATCTGTTCCCACGGAGGGGGATGTTTCGAGGAGAGAGGGGATGCACACAGAGCACCCCCCGCCTGGCGAACCACCCATCCTCCCTCCACCCACCCCTTTGGCCCCACAGCCCCCCCTTCCTTCACAAACAGGCGCGGACAACCAGGTTGGCCGCCGGCGGAAGAACAGGGGCAGAGGAGGCAGAGGGTCAGCCCACGTACTCCCCCCTCCCTCCCTCCCCCACCAAGAGCCCCTCCCCACCCCAGCATCCCGTTGAACCCTTACCAGGCCCTACCTCTACAGCCCGACCACCAAACCTACACTCCCGCCCCGCTCCTGCACCTCCACAGGGCCATGGGAGCGGACCAGCCCACTCTCCCCCATTCTGCCCCTCCCGTGCTGTGTCCCCCTCCCAGGTGGCGGCGGCCGCGATCGCTACTGGGATGGAGGCCGTCGGGTTGAGGGATGCGCCCATGGAAGACGCCACCGACTCCCCCTCCCATCCCTCCCACCCCTTCCATGTCGACGACCCCCTACCGCAACCCATGGTGATTGGGGAGGGCCAAGGGGGCCTTCTAGGGCAGGGTCCACACCCGAGCTCCGCTCAGCCAGCAAGCCCCACTCCACCCTCTACCCTGCCAGCCCTCCTACTCTCACCTACAGGCAGGCAGGTCTTCGAGACCCCAGAGGAGGTGAGGGCTGGCATTTCAGATTTGCTGGCGATACACCGCCCGAGCAGCTCTCCGGCTGCCCCCACCCTTCCAGTCCCACAGGACCGGACCCGGACGTATGCGGAGGTCACCCGGTCTGTCCCTTCTTTTATCCCCCCCGCCACTCAGCCAGGCGCGTCACTCCCGACCCCAATGGAGACGGACCAGGTTCTGAGGCCGTGTCACGCGCACCTAGATGGGGTGGCGCCTCCCCCCGTTCAGCCCGTGGCGCAGGAGGTCACCAGCAGTAGGGATGAGGCATCCGCCCCTACCGAGACCCCTCCGCCTGGGGTAGCAGAGCCGTCACTTGAACCGCACCCCGCCGAGGGGCAGGAGCACACCACGGCACACACTTCAGGCTCACCTCCACGTCCCCCCTCCCCAGCTTCGACACCGGTACCGGCACGAGGCCCGGCCCTATCCTGTGCGACACCACCTCTATCTTCGCTGACACCCCCCATGCACGGGGCTGGTGAGTCGTCTCCTCCCCTCATCCCAGGCGATCCTCTCGGAGCTCAGGCCGCCCACGGGGTCCCCTCTACAGCCAGTTCCGACGCCACGGCCCCGATTGACCCCGCCGACACGGCGACATCACCCGACCAGGTCGTGAGTTGCCCCACCTGCAGGAGCTCTCTCGCGAACCGACGCGCGCTCCAGCACCACATTCCCTTCTGCCATCCTGCGGACGCGGCTCGCAGGGCGCAGGCTGCCCAGGACACCGCCTCGATCATCCCTTCCCTCTCACAGCCCCGTGCGACCGGGATACAGTTCACCGACGCACAGTGGCAGACGCTCGACTCGGTGGACTGGACAGAGTACTTCTCGCCCGAGCGTATCCATGCACGCCCTCTCCGACGTGTCCCGGAGAGGGTCCGCGGAGGATATCTCGACGTCCTCAGTGCGATCCTAGTCCGCATTGCCCAGGACCCGGAGGCTGCTGGCCCTACCTTCCTCCTCGCTGCAGCGCCGACTCTTTTCCTTGTTCCAGCGACGCCACCCGACCGCTCGCACACGGCTGCCATTGCAACGCGCATCTCCCGCTTTGGTCGAGGTGAGTGGGCTGAGCTAGTCTCAGATGCACTAGGCCGTCGCACACCCCTTCCTCGGCGCACAGGTCACCGGTCACGCACCGCCACCGATCCCTCTACAGCAGATGAGCGCCGCATTGCACGTTGCCTTCGTCTGGCAGCGTGCAATGAGACCTCACGGGCGTGCGCGGCTCTCGAGTCCGCGGAGGCAGCCCCAGATACACAGGGGACGATACAGCGCCTGCAGTCGAAGCACCCCAACGCGGAGAGGCCGACCCCAGCTTGGCAGTCTGGCTTCCAGGGGTCCCCTCTCGTGCTCTCGGTGGATCACTTACGCCGCGCGATTTTCACAGCTCCGCGGGGCTCTTCGGGAGGACCGTCCGGTTGGGTCGCTGAGCACCTGCGAGACACTTTCCTAGCTTTCCCTCAGAGTCTCCATTTCCTCCTGGCCGTGTACCAGCAGTGGCTCCGAGGCCGTTGCGCTCCAGCTACGCGCTCCTTGCTAGCGTCTTCCACCCTCGTGGCTCTGGCGAAGTCGAACATGGATGTTCGGCCGATTGCCATCGGCGAGGTTTTGGTCCGCATTCTTTCTCGTGCAGTCTGTCTCCAGCTACGTGACCAGATGGCGAGGGTCTTCTTGGCGTCACAGCAGTTTGGGGTGGGGGTTACGTGCGGGACAGAGGTCGTAGTTAGAGGCGTCCGCCGCGCTCTGGCTGACCACCCAGACTGGGTGGTCCTGCAGCTAGACGTGGCGAATGCCTTTAACTCCTTCCACCGAGACAGGATGTTCCAGGCGCTGCAGGCCAGCCCGGAGTTTCAGTGCCTGATCCCCTTCATCGGCCTCTTCTACGGGACGCCCTCGGATCTCCACTACAGGTCAGGCACGGGAGTGGTCACGATGCACTCGGAGCGGGGCACTCGCCAGGGAGACCCTCTCAGCCCCTTCTTGTACGCTCTGACACAGCGTCTTGCTTTGGAGCCGGTTCTGGTGGAGGGGGATGTCCAGCTCTGGTCGTACGCCGATGACACGTACGTGCTAGGTCCCCCAGACAGGGTGCTGCACCACTTTGCCGAGATCGTGAGGCGCTTGGGCGAGATGGGCCTTGCAGCCCAGCCGCACAAGTGCCTCGTCTACCAGACAGAGTCCTTTCTGTCCAGGGATCTGGAGGCCTTCACGGGCCTAGGGATCGAGGTCGCACGCCGAGGGCTCACCGTGACAGGCGTACCGGTAGGCACCGTTTCGTTCGTGGAGCAGAGTCTCCCGGATCGTCTCGAGAGGATGGGGCGGGTGCTACCTTGGCTTCCGAGGTTGCGCCAGCCCCAGACAGCTGCCCGCCTTCTGTCGGCGTGTGTCAGCACTCGTCCGCAGTACCTGTCGAGGACCGTCCCTCCTTCGCCCGCAGTGATCTCTAGTTTTACACGGTGGGACGCACGCCTGGGAGAGACATTTCAGCAGCTTTTAGCTTCAGGGACCTGGGCTTGTCGCGAGGACGTCCGAGAGGCCGCCCTAGACCAGATCTTCCTCCCCATCCGTCTCGGGGGTTTCGGCATTCGTCGCATGGCACGCATTGCCCCGGTGAGTTTCGTGTGCTCCTGGGTGCAGTGTGCTCCCATTCTCTGTTCTCTCCCTGCGTGTGGCGAGGTGTTTCGGCAGAGCTTCGCTTCAGGTGAGCCAGAGCAGATCGACCGGGCTCTGCAGACGGCGCTAGAGGGTCTCCCACCTGACGTTCTCTCTCTCCTTCCCCCCTGGCCCTCTTGCGCTTCTGCCTCCCCCGATTCCCTTTTTGCAGGAGCGAGCCGTCTTCTGGAGGCGCATGCCTTGGAGGCCGTGCGTGCCCGTCACGCCTCTCCCTTGCACCTTGCCCGTTTGACTTCCCTTCAGGGCGCAGGTGCAGGGGCGTGGTTGACGTCGGTGCCGTACGCTGACCCACTGCGCATCCCGGAGGCGCTGTGGCAGGCGGCTTCATCTTCTCGTCTTGGTCTCCCTATCCCCCAGTTAGCCCTTGCAGGTCAGTGCTCCTGCGGACAGGCGATTGACGACATGACGGTGCCTCATCACGCGGTTCGGTGCCCGCGCTACGGGGTCGCCACTACCATCCACGACACGGTGAAGTACATGCTTCGAGACTTTGCGGTCGAGGCGGGCTTCGCGGTAAAGGTGGAGGACTCTACGCTGTTCACACAGTTGGAGGCGGCTCGAGCGAGACTACTGGGACAGCCAGTGGTGGGAGAGGGGACGCGGGCTGAGGGACCGGGGGAGCAGAGAGGCGAGGCGGGACAGCCGGGTGGCGGGGGACAGTGGGGACAGCACCAGCTGCGGGGTCAGGTGGAGCGAGGGATAGGTGGGCAGAGGGGACGGCAGGGGGAGCAGACGGGCCAGGACGGGGAGGGGAGACGGCACAGGCAGCAGCAGGAGAGCCAGGGGAGGCCGCGGGCCCAGGGCGCCGCGCCTCCAGGTTCGGCCTCGGAGGAGGGGCAGGGGCGGGAGCAGCAGAGAGCGGACGGAGGTACAGGAGGGGCAGCGGGATTGGGAGGGGAGGGCCAGGGAGTGAGAGAGGCAGCAGGGGATGGAGCAGGGGGGTCGGGAGGGTTGGGGGAGGGTAGAGAGGGGGAGGGGAGAGGACAGGTGGATGGAGGAGAGGAGAGGGGGAGAGAGACGATCGGAGAGGAGGCACCAAGGGACCAGACAGGGCAGCAGCCAGCGCAACAGCAGGGACCAGTCGGACGCACAGGCCGTGTAGGCACCGCCTCCCGCATCCCAGACCTCACCTGCCGCGACGTTGGCCAGGGTCTGATGGTTCTTGTGGATGTCTCCATAGCGGATCCACAGCGGGAGGGGAACGTGCAGCTGAGACGGGCGACCCCCACACAGATTGGAGTGGCAGCAGCTAGGCGGGTGCAGGAGAAGCTGCGGCACTGGGGGCCGCACTTAGAGGGGCTGCAGCCGGCACCACACTTTTACGCGTGCGTGGCGGAGACCTTTGGCCTTCTGAGTGAGCCGCTGCGTCAGTTTCTGGGGCTCTGCGCAAAGAGGATAGCACAGCGGAGGAGGGATAGAGGTGGGGGGGATGACGGATCGGCACGGATATTTGAGGCAGGACTCACTACACGCCTCTCCGTTGCACTGCAGCGCGCGCAGGCTCAATGCATGATCCAGCATGCGGTGCGGCAGTTAGGGGGATCCGACGACGGGTGGATGCCCGCACCAGTCCCACTGGGTGCGGGGCAGGGTACTTGGCACCACGTCACAGGGTGCTTCGAGAGTGTGGCTGATATGCAGTATATATATGATGCATATGTGTAAAAAACAATAGTGGCTGTGCTTGAAACGCTGTGCCCGTGCGGTCGTGCGGGTTGCTGCCGTGTTGTGGTCCTTTGGTGCTTCCTCCTCCTTAGTCTCTCTCCCTCTCTCCTCTTCTCTTCCCACCTCCCTCTTTCTGTTCCCTTCTTCTATCCTTCCCTTCTCTTCCTACCACCCTCTTCTTTTCCCTACCACTTCTTCTTACTCCTTCATCCTTCCTTCCTTTCCTTTCTTTCCCCCTTTTCCTACAAAATATATATACCGTCCTCATAGCGATAAGGCTATGTCGAAATTTCCTAGTCTTGGAAAAACCATTATATTCGGCTTGTATTTGCTCTTCCCCTTATTAATGAATAACTGCTCTCGCCCACCGGCGCTTAGCTTCGGAGTTCTGATGGATCCGGCGTAGTAGCCGAGGTATGATCGTACCACAGTCAACCTCGTGCCCCGACAGCTACACACCCCTTGCCCGGGTCCCCCCCTTCATAGTCACACCCCCTGCCCCCTCATGCCATCCGCTCCCCCCGCCCCTACCCTCCGCGTGCCCGCTGCCCTTGCCGCCTCTTTTGACCCTCCCTGCCCCCCCTCGCCGTTTCCCACCGCCCGCCATTCGCTCCTCCCCGCCCGTGCGCTCCCCTCCTTTACCTTCTCCTCCCCCCTCCCCTCCTCTGCTGCACGCCTCTTCCTTCCCCTCGCCGACCCACTCCACTCCCTGCCCCTCCTCAATCCGCACCCTGCCCCTCGTATCTCACCCCCCTATGCTTGGTTTCTCCCCTCCCTGCCCCTCGCCGCCTTTCCCCGCTCCCCACCTCCCCCCCCCCCACTCTCCCCCCCCCTGCCCCCCCACTGCTCACCCTCTGCCCGCCCCTTTTCCGTGCCCTCAGTTGGCCCAGCCCCTGCCCGTTGCTGCCCCTCCCCTTGCCCCCTCAACTCCCCTGCCCCCCGTACACCCCAAGTCCCATCCAACCGCCCCCACCCTCCCCCGGCTGCCCGTTTCCGCTCTCCACCCCCGCGACCGTGTGCGGCTTCCAACCGCCCAACGGTGGTGCGCACGGGGCGTTTCTTCGCACGGGCAAGCCTCCCCGGGGGCCCCCCACCCCGCTGGGTCGTTGTTTGGGCAAAAAAACGAAAATGAAAGAATCGGACGCGCTAAAATCGTCCTTTCTTTTTCCCGCTTGCCCCTCCCCCGGCGCGTGCCGAGCAAGGGGCATAAATGGGTACAACACGAGGACTTCCCGGGAGGTCACCCAGCCCAGTACTGCTCTCGCCCACCGGCGCTCTTACCTTGACCTAGCTTACCTAGCCATGGCTGCCTACTAAGGAGCCTCCTAAACCTACTATTTCGAGTTGCTTAAGGACAAAGTGATTGTGATAGTTGTTTATGTTATAGTTATAAGCGTTTCCAACGGTTAGTTTTTTAGTTTCGACTGTCGAGTTCGACGGGACGGGGGTCGCGAGTTTCGCGCGCGACCCTCAGGAGTCTCGGAAACGGAACTCGCGGGGTGTTACTGAACCGCTCGTTCGACCCCGCCATCGCGGGAAGGCTGCGGACGCGCTGCAGCCGGTGTAACGGGAGGTGGGGCGTTGACGCGAAGTTCGCCCGCGGAGTGTAACAGCGCGCGCGACTCACAACCACAACTCCGCCAGACACGGTGTTCCCGCCCATCCCCTCTCTCGACACTCTCCCTTATCCCCCCGCTCTTTTCTGCCCACGGCTTTGCTATTCGAAGCGATTAGCAAATACCGAGTTCCTTCCCGCGGTTTCCCTCTCTCGAAGTCACTGAGCTTAGCTTCCGCCCGTAGTTAGCACTCTTCCTTCCCTTTCAGGTGCGCCCTTCTTTATCGAAACCCTAATTCGAAGAGCCGCGCGTTTCAAGCACGCTTTCTCGTCGCCTATCATGCTTAGTCACGCACTCGTTTTTTTCCCCGCCCGTTCAATCTAGCCGCGACGTAGACGGAACCGCGCACGGGGCGCTTACCGCCAGGGAAAGGCAGCGCGGAGGGAGGCGAAATTGCTACGTTCGTAGCGATTAAGCAGCCCTCCCCTTGCGCGCCTCCCGAAGCGCGTTTTCTGCCTAGAGCGTTTTAGCCGCCCACGTTTGGCACACAAGCCGCCCCACTCCCCCTTTGCTCACTCCCACCCTGCCATGCCTCGTCGCGCACTCGTGCATGCCACCCACACGTCGTAATCTTACCCCGTCGCCACCCTCATAGTCACCTCTCTGCTCACACCGCCCCTTTCCCCCTCACACGCACGCTTTAGCCACCCCGCCACCTAACCTCTTTCCCTAACGGCGCTTAGCTAGCAGAGGCCGCCCTGTCTCTGGAAACCGTAGGAAATAAGAGGAAACAACTTCAAGGAAAAAAAGAAAAGAAAAAGAAATTCATATAAATCCGGAAAAAAACCAGGAAAAATCAGAAAGGCAGCTTACACCTTGTTCTCCCAACCCTCCAGGGCCCCATCCAGTCCGCCACCCCCCCCATTCTGTTTCATCATACTACACCACACCCTCCCCTTTTGCCCACCAGCATTACCGCCCCTCTCCCCTTATCCCCCACCACGCCCCCAAGCAGGCCTTTCTCCCCCCAGCCCCCCGTCTCCCTGCCCTTAGTACCGCCGCGCTCTGCCCGTGCGTCACCCTCGCCCACTTCATACCACCTCCCCCTTCTCCCTCCCCCCGGCTTCTCCCTATCATCACCCGCATGTTCCCCCACTCCCCTGTCCACAACGTCCCTCCTCCACCCCCCCTCCTGCCTTCCCCACTCCCACTCTGCCCCCCACACCTCTACGAGCCGTACCTCCCCCTCCAGCCTCCCTTTTCCCCCCCAGCTACTTCCGCATCCAGCGTGGGCTGCACCTCTGCATCCTGCCCTGCCAGGCCCTTCCGAGGACCCAACTGCCGCCACCTGACACCACGCCGCCTTTCCCACCCCCATCCAATCTCTACACCCCCTGCCCCTGCTCCCTGCGCAATCCAGCCACCTACCCCAGCCTCCCTCTACCTCTCCCTAACTCCACACTGCCGGTCCTACCCCCAGCCAGGGTCTACACCCCTTGCTTTTGCTCCCTGTGCTGTGCCGTCCCCAACCTCCGTCCGCCCTTCCGCGGCACCAGACCGCCTCTCCCTCCCCCAACCAACCTCTGCACCCCCTGTTCCTGCCCCTTGTGCCTTCCAACACCCTACCCCAACCCCCCCCAGTCTCCCCCTTCTCCAACACCCTCCATATTTCCTCCCCCCTGGGGCTCGCCCATCCGCAGGTATCACCCTTCATCAATTCCCCAATTCCCTCTGTCCCCTGTTTCCCGGCCCCGCATCTTTTCTGCATTTACCACAGCGCCTCCTTTCGGTGCCCTCTCGGCCCTCCCACGTTCTCACCCCCCGCCTTCCAACCTTCTCATTACCCGCTACCAGGCTCACGCCAACTCGACTACCCACTACCCTTTGCCCCTTCCTCTCTGTTCCCCACCCTTCCTTCCCCACTTGGCTCCACCTGCCCACCCCCACCTCCCGTGGAATTCTGCCCTGCCCTCCCCACCTCTGGCCCACCACCTGTCCCCACACCCTGCTCGCCCACCACTACATCACCCCCGCCCCCCCACCTCCACTACAGCCCGCCAACACTTCCCCTCTCAACCGGCCCCCAGCCCGCCCCCCCCTTGGGCCCCAATCCCCTCCAACCGTCAGGCCCCCTCTACCCTCTCTTCCACCCACTGCGCACCGCTTTCCCCACCCTTTTTCCATTTCCCCAAGCTAACCCCCCGCACCCCGGCCTCTGCCAGGGAGTTCCTTCCCCCTTTGACGCCCTCTTGAGCCAACTCCAGCAACTCACACCGCCACCGCCAGGCATGCTGCCTCTGTAACAATGCCCCAGCACCCCGCGAGTGGGGAAAAGGCAGACCCGGGAGCCCCTCGGCGATCTGGGAGGTCCCGCAGCCGAGCCACCCCCTACTCTCCCACTCCCCCCACTTCAACAGTCAGGAAGAAACAACACACACCTGACCAAGCGAAAACACTCACACAATCTGACCCTAGGGGCCAGAAAGCGTACCCTTGAAGAGGATGGAACAGAGGAACGCCAAGCCCCACTGGAGGAAATACACAAGGAGGAGCCAGCACGCTCAAAACCGCGCCCTACCCCCGCGGCCCCATCCCAGCCTACCCCCCCTTCAGGTGACAGCGGGGACGGTACCCATGCATGCCAAGTGGAGAGATCCCCCAACTCACTCGCTACCTCCCATTCGCAAACCAGATTACTTGTGAAAACACTTAATCCTACTAGCACCCCCAAGCACATAGAAGCGGGAGGGGGCAGAGCCAGGGGGGAACTTGCAGCTAACACTGCACGGGAAGGGGTAAGTGAATGTGTGTGCGAAGGAGCAGCAGAGGCTGCAGAGGATGGGGCAGCAAAGGCTGCACGGGAAGGGGCAATGGGGGTTGTGGGGGAAGGGGCAGCAGAGGTTGCAGAGGAAAGGGCAGCAGAGGCTGCAAGGGAAGGGGCAGCAGCGGCTGCACGGGAAAGGGCGGCAGAGGCTGCACGGGAAGGGGCGGCAGGGACCGTGACTCTGGCCAGGCAAAGGGCAGAGGCCATGGAGACAGGTTTTGCAGGAGTAGGGGCCACGGAACCTGCTGCTGTGTCGGCTGGGGGAACCGCAGCAGAGGAGGCTATAGGGACCGCACCAGGCGAGGCCGCACAGACCACAGCAGGTGTGGCTGCAGGGATCACAACGGGTGAGGCTGCAGGAGGGACCATGGCAGGTGAAGCCGCAGGGAGCGCAGTAGGTGAGGCTGCAGGGAGCGCAGCAGGTGAGGCTGTAGGGAGCGCAGCAGGTGAGGCTGCAGAGAGCGCAGCAGGTGAGGCCGCAGGGAGCGCAGCAGGCGAGGCTGCAGGGAGCGCAGCAGGCGAGGCTGCGGGGAGCGCAGCAGGCGGGGCTGCAGGGGCCGCAGCAGGTGAGGCTGCGGCGGACGCAGCAGGTGAGGCTGCGAGGGCTGCAGCATGTAAGGTTGGGCAGACTCTAGCAGGTGAGGCTGCACAGTCTACAGCTGGTGAGGTCGCAGGGACTGCAATAGGTGAGGCAGCAGGGACTGCAGCAGGTGAGGCTGCAGGGACCACAGCGGATGAGGCTGCAGGCGGGACCAGGGCAGGTGAGGCCGCAGGGAGCGCAGCAGGTGAGGCTGAAATAGCCGCAGCAGTTGAGGTTGAGCAGATTCTAGCAGGTGAGGCCGCACAGACTGCAGCAGGTGAGGCCGCAGGGACTGCAGCAGGTGAGGCTGCAGGGACTGCTGCACGTGAGGCTGCAGGGACCGCGGCAGGCAAGGCTGCAGGGACCGCGGCTGGTGAGGCTGAGCAGATTACGGCAGGTGAGGTTTTACAGACTGCAGCAGTCGAGGCTGCAAGGACTGCAGCAGGAGCGACAGAGGCCACAGTGGGGGCCGGTACAGGGGGAGGTGCTACGGGTGCAGCGGGGAAGGGGGTAACGGGGACTGGTGCGAGGGAGAGTGCTGCCCCGGCTGTAGCAAGAGAGGGTACGGCAGGGGCTAGAGTGGGAGAAGGGACAACAGTGGCCTCAAAGGTAGAAGGTGAGGCTGTAGCTGAAGCAGCAGGGAGGGCCATAGCACGGCCAGTAGGGGCGGCAGGGGCCGCAGCAAACGCGGGGAAACACACAGCAGGGCCGGCAGAGACTGCAAAAGGGGCTAGCAGTAAAGCGGCAGCAGGCGGGGTGGGCTCGGAGGACATAGGGGCAACAGGGGAAGGAGAGGTGAGTGTGGTCCCGACCGGGGTGGGCACTGAAGAGGGGGATGTGATAGCGATAGAGGAGGATGAGGGAGAGGATGTGATGCACATTGACGGGCCACTGGCCCAATACCTCACGCCTGACGGTGAGGCCGACCCGGCCCCCCTGCAGCCTCACGTCGAGGTTCCCCCTCTACCCCCCATGCCCGTCCCCATGCTAGCAGAAGGACCGATGGAGGGGCTGGGGGAGACCTTGAGGACAGAGCCGCACGAGGGAGCCCCCATCCTCACCTCCCGTCCTCCAGCCCACCCACCCCCAGGAGCACCACTTCCCCACCCCCACCCTCAGGTCCCGGTAGTATCCAGGGGGGCAGCCAAGGCCCTGGCCTTCTTGGCGGAGCCGTGCTCCCCGACCCCCACGTTGCTCCATGGCCAGCCCCCCTCTCCGTCCCCAACCCCTGACCCCACGGTTGCAGGCGGTCCACCGGGAGAGCACGCGGGTGCGACAAGAGCAGAGTCACCCGAGGGCACCCCTTCTCTCACCTCTCACCCCTCCCCGCCCCTTCCCTCACTCCTTCCCTCACCCCCAAGGGCAGCACACCTCTGCCCCCACCCTCAGGGGCTCCTTAGAGCACCACGTGGAGCAGCCAGGGCTCTGGCCTTCCTAGAGGAGCCATGCTCCCCGACTCCTACCAACACCCAGCCACCCCCTACCGGCCCACTACCCCCCCCTCCACCAGGCCCCCCCCCACCCGGTAGTACACACATCTCGGAGGTTGAAGCATCTCTGCGGCCAAATCCCTCTCCCACACGCTACAGGCACCCAAACCACCCGAGTCGCCGCACAGCCCCAACACGCCCACCCAACAGGCTGCCCCCCTCACACCACCCCCCCCAGGCAGCCGAGACCCACCCACAAGGGCTTGCGCCCCAGGCTCATGGGAGCGGCGGCACCCGGGTAGAGGGGCCCACAGGAGAGGCCACCACAGAGCCCACACAAATCTCTCTCCCCCCACCGCTTGTACCTCGCTCTAACCTCCACACTGGCCCAGCCCCTCGACCCCCACCTCCAACCCCCCCTCCCGGCCGGGTTCCCCACGAGTGGCCCCGTTGGGCAGCCATCACCCCCCACACACAGCCTGCCCGATCTGTTCCCACGGAGGGGGATGTCTCGAGGAGAGAGGGGATGCACACAGAGCACCCCCCGCCCGGCGAACCACCCATCCTCCCTCCACCCACCCCTTTGGCCCCACAGCCCCCCCTTCCTTCACAAACAGGCGCGGACAACCAGGTTGGCCGCCGGCGGAAGAACAGGGGCAGAGGAGGCAGAGGGTCAGCCCACGTACTCCCCCCTCCCTCCCTCCCCCACCAAGAGCCCCTCCCCACCCCACATCCCGTTGAACCCTTACCAGGCCCTACCTCTACAGCCCGACCACCAAACCTACACTCCCGCCCCGCTCCTGCACCTCCACAGGGCCATGGGAGCGGACCAGCCCACTCACCCCCATTCTGCCCCTCTCGTGCTGTGTCCCCCTCCCAGGTGGCGGCGGCCGCGATCGCTACTGGGATGGAGGCCGTCGGGTTGAGGGATGCGCCCATGGAAGACGCCACCGACTCCCCCTCCCATCCCTCCCACCCCTTCCATGTCGACGACCCCCTACCGCAACCCATGGTGATTGGGGAGGGCCAAGGGGGCCTTCTAGGGCAGGGTCCACACCCGAGCTCCGCTCAGCCAGCAAGCCCCACTCCACCCTCTACCCTGCCAGCCCTCCTACTCTCACCTACAGGCAGGCAGGTCTTCGAGACCCCAGAGGAGGTGAGGGCTGGCATTTCAGATTTGCTGGCGATACACCGCCCGAGCAGCTCTCCGGCTGCCCCCACCCTTCCAGTCCCACAGGACCGGACCCGGACGTATGCGGAGGTCACCCGGTCTGTCCCTTCTTTTATCCCCCCCGCCACTCAGCCAGGCGCGTCACTCCCGACCCCAATGGAGACGGACCAGGTTCTGAGGCCGTGTCACGCGCACCTAGATGGGGTGGCGCCTCCCCCCGTTCACCCCGTGGCGCAGGAGGTCACCAGCAGTAGGGATGAGGCATCCGCCCCTACCGAGACCCCTCCGCCTGGGGTAGCAGAGCCGTCACTTGAACCGCACCCCGCCGAGGGGCAGGAGCACACCACGGCACACACTTCAGGCTCACCTCCACGTCCCCCCTCCCCAGCTTCGACACCGGTACCGGCACGAGGCCCGGCCCTATCCTGTGCGACACCACCTCTATCTTCGCTGACACCCCCCATGCACGGGGCTGGTGAGTCGTCTCCTCCCCTCATCCCAGGCGATCCTCTCGGAGCTCAGGCCGCCCACGGGGTCCCCTCTACAGCCAGTTCCGACGCCACGGCCCCGATTGACCCCGCCGACACGGCGACATCACCCGACCAGGTCGTGAGTTGCCCCACCTGCAGGAGCTCTCTCGCGAACCGACGCGCGCTCCAGCACCACATTCCCTTCTGCCATCCTGCGGACGCGGCTCGCAGGGCGCAGGCTGCCCAGGACACCGCCTCGATCATCCCTTCCCTCTCACAGCCCCGTGCGACCGGGATACAGTTCACCGACGCACAGTGGCAGACGCTCGACTCGGTGGACTGGACAGAGTACTTCTCGCCCGAGCGTATCCATGCACGCCCTCTCCGACGTGTCCCGGAGAGGGTCCGCGGAGGATATCTCGACGTCCTCAGTGCGATCCTAGTCCGCATTGCCCAGGACCCGGAGGCTGCTGGCCCTACCTTCCTCCTCGCTGCAGCGCCGACTCTTTTCCTTGTTCCAGCGACGCCACCCGACCGCTCGCACACGGCTGCCATTGCAACGCGCATCTCCCGCTTTGGTCGAGGTGAGTGGGCTGAGCTAGTCTCAGATGCACTAGGCCGTCGCACACCCCTTCCTCGGCGCACAGGTCACCGGTCACGCACCGCCACCGATCCCTCTACAGCAGATGAGCGCCGCATTGCACGTTGCCTTCGTCTGGCAGCGTGCAATGAGACCTCACGGGCGTGCGCGGCTCTCGAGTCCGCGGAGGCAGCCCCAGATACACAGGGGACGATACAGCGCCTGCAGTCGAAGCACCCCAACGCGGAGAGGCCGACCCCAGCTTGGCAGTCTGGCTTCCAGGGGTCCCCTCTCGTGCTCTCGGTGGATCACTTACGCCGCGCGATTTTCACAGCTCCGCGGGGCTCTTCGGGAGGACCGTCCGGTTGGGTCGCTGAGCACCTGCGAGACACTTTCCTAGCTTTCCCTCAGAGTCTCCATTTCCTCCTGGCCGTGTACCAGCAGTGGCTCCGAGGCCGTTGCGCTCCAGCTACGCGCTCCTTGCTAGCGTCTTCCACCCTCGTGGCTCTGGCGAAGTCGAACATGGATGTTCGGCCGATTGCCATCGGCGAGGTTTTGGTCCGCATTCTTTCTCGTGCAGTCTGTCTCCAGCTACGTGACCAGATGGCGAGGGTCTTCTTGGCGTCACAGCAGTTTGGGGTGGGGGTTACGTGCGGGACAGAGGTCGTAGTTAGAGGCGTCCGCCGCGCTCTGGCTGACCACCCAGACTGGGTGGTCCTGCAGCTAGACGTGGCGAATGCCTTTAACTCTTTCCACCGAGACAGGATGTTCCAGGCGCTGCAGGCCAGCCCGGAGTTTCAGTGCCTGATCCCCTTCATCGGCCTCTTCTACGGGACGCCCTCGGATCTCCACTACAGGTCAGGCACGGGAGTGGTCACGATGCACTCGGAGCGGGGCACTCGCCAGGGAGACCCTCTCAGCCCCTTCTTGTACGCTCTGACACAGCGTCTTGCTTTGGAGCCGGTTCTGGTGGAGGGGGATGTCCAGCTCTGGTCGTACGCCGATGACACGTACGTGCTAGGTCCCCCAGACAGGGTGCTGCACCACTTTGCCGAGATCGTGAGGCGCTTGGGCGAGATGGGCCTTGCAGCCCAGCCGCACAAGTGCCTCGTCTACCAGACAGAGTCCTTTCTGTCCAGGGATCTGGAGGCCTTCACGGGCCTAGGGATCGAGGTCGCACGCCGAGGGCTCACCGTGACAGGCGTACCGGTAGGCACCGTTTCGTTCGTGGAGCAGAGTCTCCCGGATCGTCTCGAGAGGATGGGGCGGGTGCTACCTTGGCTTCCGAGGTTGCGCCAGCCCCAGACAGCTGCCCGCCTTCTGTCGGCGTGTGTCAGCACTCGTCCGCAGTACCTGTCGAGGACCGTCCCTCCTTCGCCCGCAGTGATCTCTAGTTTTACACGGTGGGACGCACGCCTGGGAGAGACATTTCAGCAGCTTTTAGCTTCAGGGACCTGGGCTTGTCGCGAGGACGTCCGAGAGGCCGCCCTAGACCAGATCTTCCTCCCCATCCGTCTCGGGGGTTTCGGCATTCGTCGCATGGCACGCATTGCCCCGGTGAGTTTCGTGTGCTCCTGGGTGCAGTGTGCTCCCATTCTCTGTTCTCTCCCTGCGTGTGGCGAGGTGTTTCGGCAGAGCTTCGCTTCAGGTGAGCCAGAGCAGATCGACCGGGCTCTGCAGACGGCGCTAGAGGGTCTCCCACCTGACGTTCTCTCTCTCCTTCCCCCCTGGCCCTCTTGCGCTTCTGCCTCCCCCGATTCCCTTTTTGCAGGAGCGAGCCGTCTTCTGGAGGCGCATGCCTTGGAGGCCGTGCGTGCCCGTCACGCCTCTCCCTTGCACCTTGCCCGTTTGACTTCCCTTCAGGGCGCAGGTGCAGGGGCGTGGTTGACGTCGGTGCCGTACGCTGACCCACTGCGCATCCCGGAGGCGCTGTGGCAGGCGGCTTCATCTTCTCGTCTTGGTCTCCCTATCCCCCAGTTAGCCCTTGCAGGTCAGTGCTCCTGCGGACAGGCGATTGACGACATGACGGTGCCTCATCACGCGGTTCGGTGCCCGCGCTACGGGGTCGCCACTACCATCCACGACACGGTGAAGTACATGCTTCGAGACTTTGCGGTCGAGGCGGGCTTCGCGGTAAAGGTGGAGGACTCTACGCTGTTCACACAGTTGGAGGCGGCTCGAGCGAGACTACTGGGACAGCCAGTGGTGGGAGAGGGGACGCGGGCTGAGGGACCGGGGGAGCAGAGAGGCGAGGCGGGATCAGCCGGGTGGCGGGGGACAGTGGGGACAGCACCAGCTGCGGGGTCAGGTGGAGCGAGGGATAGGTGGGCAGAGGGGACGGCAGGGGGAGCAGACGGGCCAGGACGGGGAGGGGAGACGGCACAGGCAGCAGCAGGAGAGCCAGTGGAGGCCGCGGGCCCAGGGCGCCGCGCCTCCAGGTTCGGCCTCGGGGGTGGGGCAGGGGCGGGAGCAGCAGAGAGCGGACGGAGGTACAGGAGGGGCAGCGGGATTGGGAGGGGAGGGCCAGGGAGTGAGAGAGGCAGCAGGGGATGGAGCAGGGGGGTCGGGAGGGTTGGGGGAGGGTAGAGAGGGGGAGGGGAGAGGACAGGTGGATGGAGGAGAGGAGAGGGGGAGAGAGACGATCGGAGAGGAGGCACCAAGGGACCAGACAGGGCAGCAGCCAGCGCAACAGCAGGGACCAGTCGGACGCACAGGCCGTGTAGGCACCGCCTCCCGCATCCCAGACCTCACCTGCCGCGACGTTGGCCAGGGTCTGATGGTTCTTGTGGATGTCTCCATAGCGGATCCACAGCGGGAGGGGAACGTGCAGCTGAGACGGGCGACCCCCACACAGATTGGAGTGGCAGCAGCTAGGCGGGTGCAGGAGAAGCTGCGGCACTGGGGGCCGCACTTAGAGGGGCTGCAGCCGGCACCACACTTTTACGCGTGCGTGGCGGAGACCTTTGGCCTTCTGAGTGAGCCGCTGCGTCAGTTTCTGGGGCTCTGCGCAAAGAGGATAGCACAGCGGAGGAGGGATAGAGGTGGGGGGGATGACGGATCGGCACGGATATTTGAGGCAGGACTCACTACACGCCTCTCCGTTGCACTGCAGCGCGCGCAGGCTCAATGCATGATCCAGCATGCGGTGCGGCAGTTAGGGAGATCCGACGACGGGTGGATGCCCGCACCAGTCCCACTGGGTGCGGGGCAGGGTACTTGGCACCACGTCACAGGGTGCTTCGAGAGTGTGGCTGATATGCAGTATATATATGATGCATATGTGTAAAAAACAATAGTGGCTGTGCTTGAAACGCTGTGCCCGTGCGGTCGTGCGGGTTGCTGCCGTGTTGTGGTCCTTTGGTGCTTCCTCCTCCTTAGTCTCTCTCCCTCTCTCCTCTTCTCTTCCCACCTCCCTCTTTCTGTTCCCTTCTTCTATCCTTCCCTTCTCTTCCTACCACCCTCTTCTTTTCCCTACCACTTCTTCTTACTCCTTCATCCTTCCTTCCTTTCCTTTCTTTCCCCCTTTTCCTACAAAATATATATACCGTCCTCATAGCGATTAGGCTATGTCGAAATTTCCTAGTCTTGGAAAAACCATTATATTCGGCTTGTATTTGCTCTTCCCCTATTAATGAATAACTGCTCTCGCCCACCGGCGCTTAGCTTCGGAGTTCTGATGGGATCCGGCGTAGTAGCCGAGGTATGATCGTACCACGTCAACCTCGTGCCCCGACCGCTACACACCCCTTGCCCGGGTCCCCCCCTTCATAGTCACACCCCCTGCCCCCTCATGCCATCCGCTCCCCCCGCCCCTACCCTCCGCGTGCCCGCTCCCTTGCCGCCTCTTTTGACCCTCCCTGCCCCCCCTCGCCGTTTCCCACCGCCCGCCATTCGCTCCTCCCCGCCCGTGCGCTCCCCTCCTTTACCTTCTCCTCCCCCCTCCCCTCCTCTGCTGCACGCCTCTTCCTTCCCCTCGCCGACCCACTCCACTCCCTGCCCCTCCTCAATCCGCACCCTGCCCCTCGTATCTCGCCCCCCTATGCTTGGTTTCTCCCCTCCCTGCCCCTCGCCGCCTTTCCCCGCTCCCCACCTCCCCCCTCTCCCTGCCCCCCCACTCTCCCCCCCCTTGTCCTTGGCTTCCTACCTCCCTGCCTCACCTTTCCCCCCTCCGTGTGCTCAGCTTCTCCCCTCCCTGCCCCTCCCTCCTCCCCGCCCTGCCCCTCATTTTCCGCCCCCCCCCACGCCCGGTTTCTCCCCTCCCCGCGCCTCCCTTTCTTTCTCCGTGCCTCTCCTTTGCTCCCTCCCTGCCCCCGCCTGCCCATGCCCCTGTCTTTGGCTTCTCCCCTCCCTGCCCCACGTTTCTTCCCTCCCTGCCCCCCGTCTGCCCCTCCCTTGTTTTCCCCTCACCCATTGCTTCTCTCCTCCCTGCCCTTGATTTCCCACACCCCTGCCCTCGTTTCCTATCATCCATGCCCCTCGTTTCCCCCCTTTGTACGTTCAGCCTCTTCCCTCCCTGCCCCTCCCTTCCTCCCCCCCTGCCCTTTGCTCTCCCCTCGTTACGCTCCCTTCTCCCCATCCCTGCTGCCCTCTTACCACCATCAGCCCATCCCCACGACCAGCCCCCCTCCCACCCTTCAATCCCCCCCTCCCTCTCTCTCTCTCTCTCTCTCTCTCTCTCTCTCTCTTTCTCACACACACACACACACGCACACTCCCCTCCCCCACCCCCCCCACCTACATCCTCCCATTCTGCCCCTCCCTGCCCCTTTCCCACCCCCTCGCACGCCCCTCACCTCCCACCTCCGTGCAACTGGTTTCCCCCCTATGGTGCCACCCTTGCATCGCTCGCCCCTCTGCTCACCCTCTGCCCGCCCCTTTTCCGTGCCCTCAGTTGGCCCAGCCCCTGCCCGTTGCTGCCCCTCCCCTTGCCCCCTCAACTCCCCTGCCCCCCGTACACCCCAAGTCCCATCCAACCGCCCCCACCCTCCCCCGGCTGCCCGTTTCCGCTCTCCACCCCCGCGACCGTGTGCGGCTTCCAACCGCCCAACGGTGGTGCGCACGGGGCGTTTCTTCGCATGGGCAAGCCTCCCCGGGGGCCCCCCACCCCGCTGGGTCGTTGTTTGGGCAAAAAAAACGAAAATAAAAGAATCGGACGCGCTAAAATCGTCCTTTCTTTTTCCCGCTTGCCCCTCCCCCGGCACGTGCCGAGCAAGGGGCATAAATGGGTACAACACGAGGACTTCCCGGGAGGTCACCCAGCCCAGTACTGCTCTCGCCCACCGGCGCTCTTACCTTGACCTAGCTTACCTAGCCATGGCTGCCTACTAAGGAGCCTCCTAAACCTACTATTTCGAGTTGCTTAAGGACAAAGTGATTGTGATAGTTGTTTATGTTATAGTTATAAGCGTTTCCAACGGTTAGTTTTTCAGTTTCGACTGTCGAGTTCGACGGGACGGGGGTCGCGAGTTTCGCGCGCGACCCTCAGGAGTCTCGGAAACGGAACTCGCGGGGTGTTACGGAACCGCTCGTTCGACCCCGCCATCGCGGGAAGGCTGCGGACGCGCTGCAGCCGGTGTAACGGGAGGTGGGGCGTTGACGCGAAGTTCGCCCGCGGAGTGTAACAGCGCGCGCGACTCACAACCACAACTCCGCCAGACACGGTGTTCCCGCCCATCCCCTCTCTCGACACTCTCCCTTATCCCCCCGCTCTTTTCTGCCCACGGCTTTGCTATTCGAAGCGATTAGCAAATACCGAGTTTCTTCCCGCGGTTTCCCTCTCTCGAAGTCACTGAGCTTAGCTTCCGCCCGTAGTTAGCATTCTTCCTTCCCTTTCAGTGCGCCCTTCTTTATCGAAACCCTAATTCGAAGAGCCGCGCGTTTTCAAGCACGCTTTCTCGTCGCCTATCATGTTTAGTCACGCACTCGTTTTCCCCGCCGTTCAATCTAGCCGCGACGTAGACGGAACCGCGCACGGGGCGCTTACCGCCAGGGAAAGGCAGCGCGGAGGGAGGCGAAATTGCTACGTTCGTAGCGATTAAGCAGCCCTCCCCTTGCGCGCCTCCCGAAGCGCGTTTTCTGCCTAGAGCGTTTTAGCCGCCCACGTTTGGCACACAAGCCGCCCCACTCCCCCTTTGCTCACTCCCACCCTGCCATGCCTCGTCGCGCACTCGTGCATGCCACCCACACGTCGTAATCTTACCCCGTCGCCACCCTCATAGTCACCTCCTGCTCACACCGCCCCTTTCCCCCTCACACGCGCGCTTTAGCCACCCCGCCACCTAACCTCTTTCCCTAACGGCGCTTAGCTAGCAGAGGCCGCCCTGTCTCTGGAAACCGTAGGAAATAAGAGGAAACAACTTCAAGGAAAAAAGAAAAGAAAAAGAAATTCATATAAATCGGAAAAAAACCAGGAAAAATCAGAAAGGCAGCTTACACCTTGTTCTCCCAACCCTCCAGGGCCCCATCCAGTCCGCCACCCCCCCATTCTGTTTCATCATACTACACCACACCCTCCCCTTTTGCCCACCAGCATTACCGCCCCTCTCCCCTTATCCCCCACCACGCCCCCAAGCAGGCCTTTCTCCCCCCAGCCCCCCGTCTCCCTGCCCTTAGTACCGCCGCGCTCTGCCCGTGCGTCACCCTCGCCCACTTCATACCACCTCCCCCTTCTCCCCCCCCCGGCTTCTCCCTATCATCACCCGCATGTTCCCCCACTCCCCTGTCCACAACGTCCCTCCTCCACCCCCCCTCCTGCCTTCCCCACTCCCACTCTGCCCCCACACCTCTACGAGCCGTACCTCCCCCTCCAGCCTCCCTTTTCCCCCCCAGCTACTTCCGCATCCAGCGTGGGCTGCACCTCTGCATCCTGCCCTGCCAGGCCCTTCGAGGACCCAACTGCCGCCACCTGACACCACGCCGCCTTTCCCACCCCCATCCAATCTCTACACCCCCTGCCCCTGCTCCCTGCGCAATCCAGCCACCTACCCCAGCCTCCCTCTACCTCTCCCTAACTCCACACTGCCGTTCCTACCCCCAGCCAGGGTCTACACCCCTTGCTTTTGCTCCCTGTGCTGTGCCGTCCCCAACCTCCGTCCGCCTTTCCGCGGCACCAGACCGCCTCTCCCTCCCCCAAGCCAACCTCTGCACCCCCTGTTCCTGCCCCTTGTGCCTTCCAACACCCTACCCCAACCCCCCCCAGTCTCCCCCTTCTCCAACACCCTCCATATTTCCTCCCCCCTGGGGCTCGCCCATCCGCAGGTATCACCCTTCATCAATTCCCCAATTCCCTCTGTCCCCTGTTTCCCGGCCCCGCATCCTATTCTGCATTTACCACAGCGCCTCCTTTCGGTGCCCTCTCGGCCCTCCCACGTTCTCACCCCCCGCCTCCCAACCTTCTCATTACCCGCTACCAGGCTCACGCCAACTCGACTACCCACTACCCTTTGCCCCTTCCTCTCTGTTCCCCACCCTTCCTTCCCCACTTGGCTCCACCTGCCCACCCCCACCTCCCGTGGAATTCTGCCCTGCCCTCCCCACCTCTGGCCCACCACCTGTCCCCACACCCTGCTCACCCACCACTACATCACCCCCGCCCCCCCACCTCCACTACAGCCCGCCAACACTTCCCCTCTCAACCGGCCCCCAGCCCGCCCCCCCCTTGGGCCCCAATCCCCTCCAACTGTCAGGCCCCCTCTACCCTCTCTTCCACCCACTGCGCACCGCTTTCCCCACCCTTTTTCCATTTCCCCAAGCTAACCCCCCGCACCCCGGCCTCTGCCAGGGAGTTCCTTCCCCCTTTGACGCCCTCTTGAGCCAACTCCAGCAACTCACACCGCCACCGCCAGGCATGCTGCCTCTGTAACAATGCCCCAGCACCCCGCGAGTGGGGAAAAGGCAGACCCGGGAGCCCCTCGGCGATCTGGGAGGTCCCGCAGCCGAGCCACCCCCTACTCTCCCACTCCCCCCACTTCAACAGTCAGGAAGAAACAACACACACCTGACCAAGCGAAAACACTCACACAATCTGACCCTAGGGGCCAGAAGCGTACCCTTGAAGAGGATGGAACAGAGGAACGCCAAGCCCCACTGGAGGAAATACACAAGGAGGAGCCAGCACGCTCAAAACCGCGCCCTACCCCCGCGGCCCCATCCCAGCCTACCCCCCCTTCAGGTGACAGCGGGGACGGCACCCATGCATGCCAAGTGGAGAGATCCCCCAACTCACTCGCTACCTCCCATTCGCAAACCAGATTACTTGTGAAAACACTTAATCCTACTAGCACCCCCAAGCACATAGAAGCGGGAGGGGGCAGAGCCAGGGGGGAACTTGCAGCTAACACTGCACGGGAAGGGGTAAGTGAATGTGTGTGCGAAGGAGCAGCAGAGGCTGCAGAGGATGGGGCAGCAAAGGCTGCACGGGAAGGGGCAATGGGGGTTGTGGGGGAAGGGGCAGCAGAGGTTGCAGAGGAAAGGGCAGCAGAGGCTGCAAGGGAAGGGGCAGCAGCGGCTGCACGGGAAAGGGCGGCAGAGGCTGCACGGGAAGGGGCGGCAGGGACCGTGACTCTGGCCAGGCAAAGGGCAGAGGCCATGGAGACAGGTTTTGCAGGAGTAGGGGCCACGGAACCTGCTGCTGTGTCGGCTGGGGGAACCGCAGCAGAGGAGGCTATAGGGACCGCACCAGGCGAGGCCGCACAGACCACAGCAGGTGTGGCTGCAGGGATCACAACGGGTGAGGCTGCAGGAGGGACCATGGCAGGTGAAGCCGCAGGGAGCGCAGTAGGTGAGGCTGCAGGGAGCGCAGCAGGTGAGGCTGTAGGGAGCGCAGCAGGTGAGGCTGCAGAGAGCGCAGCAGGTGAGGCCGCAGGGAGCGCAGCAGGCGAGGCTGCAGGGAGCGCAGCAGGCGAGGCTGCAGGGAGCGCAGCAGGCGGGGCTGCAGGGGCCGCAGCAGGTGAGGCTGCGGCGGACGCAGCAGGTGAGGCTGCGAGGGCTGCATCATGTAAGGTTGGGCAGACTCTAGCAGGTGAGGCTGCACAGTCTACAGCTGGTGAGGTCGCAGGGACTGCAACAGGTGAGGCCGCAGGGACTGCAGCAGGTGAGGCTGCAGGGACCACAGCGGATGAGGCTGCAGGCGGGACCAGGGCAGGTGAGGCCGCAGGGAGCGCAGCAGGTGAGGCTGAAATAGCCGCAGCAGGTGAGGCTGCAGAGGCCGCAGCATGTGAGGTTGAGCAGATTCTAGCAGGTGAGGCTGCACAGACTGCAGCAGGTGAGGCCGCAGGGACTGCAGCAGGTGAGGCTGCAGGGACTGCAGCACGTGAGGCTGCAGGGACCGCGGCAGGCAAGGCTGCAGGGATCGCGGCTGGTGAGGCTGAGCAGATTACGGCAGGCGAGGTTTTACAGACTGCAGCAGTCGAGGCTGCAAGGACTGCAGCAGGAGCGACAGAGGCCACAGTGGGGGCCGGTACAGGGGGAGGTGCTACGGGTGCAGCGGGGAAGGGGGTAACGGGGACTGGTGCGAGGGAGAGTGCTGCCCCGGCTGTAGCAAGAGAGGGTACGGCAGGGGCTAGAGTGGGAGAAGGGACAGCAGTGGCCTCAAAGGCAGAAGGTGAGGCTGCAGCTGAAGCAGCAGGAGGGCCATAGCACGGCCAGTAGGGGCGGCAGGGGCCGCAGCAAACGCGAGGAAACACACAGCAGGGCCGGCAGAGACTGCAAAAGGGGCTAGCAGTAAAGCGGCAGCAGGCGGGGTGGGCTCGGGGGACATAGGGGCAACAGGGGAAGGAGAGGTGAGTGTGGTCCCGACCGGGGTGGGCACTGAAGAGGGGGATGTGATAGCGATAGAGGAGGATGAGGGAGAGGATGTGATGCACATTGACGGGCCACTGGCCCAATACCTCACGCCTGACGGTGAGGCCGACCCGGCCCCCCTGCAGCCTCACGTCGAGGTTCCCCCTCTACCCCCCATGCCCGTCCCCATGCTAGCAGAAGGACCGATGGAGGGGCTGGGGGAGACCTTGAGGACAGAGCCGCACGAGGGAGCCCCCATCCTCACCTCCCGTCCTCCAGCCCACCCACCCCCAGGAGCACCACTTCCCCACCCCCACCCTCAGGTCCCGGTAGTATCCAGGGGGGCAGCCAAGGCCCTGGCCTTCTTGGCGGAGCCGTGCTCCCCGACCCCCACGTTGCTCCATGGCCAGCCCCCCTCTCCGTCCCCAACCCCTGACCCCACGGTTGCAGGCGGTCCACCGGGAGAGCACGCGGGTGCGACAAGAGCAGAGTCACCCGAGGGCACCCCTTCTCTCACCTCTCACCCCTCCCCGCCCCTTCCCTCACTCCTTCCCTCACCCCCAAGGGCAGCACACCTCTGCCCCCACCCTCAGGGGCTCCTTAGAGCACCACGTGGAGCAGCCAGGGCTCTGGCCTTCCTAGAGGAGCCATGCTCCCCGACTCCTACCAACACCCAGCCACCCCCTACCGGCCCACTACCCCCCCCTCCACCAGGCCCCCCCCCACCCGGTAGTACACACATCTCGGAGGTTGAAGCATCTCTGCGGCCAAATCCCTCTCCCACACGCTACAGGCACCCAAACCACCCGAGTCGCCGCACAGCCCCAACACGCCCACCCAACAGGCTGCCCCCCTCACACCACCCCCCCCCAGGCAGCCGAGACCCACCCGCAAGGGCTTGCGCCCCAGGCTCATGGGAGCGGCGGCACCCGGGTAGAGGGGCCCACAGGAGAGGCCACCACAGAGCCCACACAAATCTCTCTCCCCCCACCGCTTGTACCTCGCTCTAACCTCCACACTGGCCCAGCCCCTCGACCCCCACCTCCAACCCCCCTCTCCCGGCCGGGTTCCCCACGAGTGGCCCCGTTGGGCAGCCATCACCCCCCACACACAGCCTGCCCGATCTGTTCCCACGGAGGGGGATGTTTCGAGGAGAGAGGGGATGCACACAGAGCACCCCCCGCCCGGCGAACCACCCATCCTCCCTCCACCCACCCCTTTGGCCCCACAGCCCCCCCTTCCTTCACAAACAGGCGCGGACAACCAGGTTGGCCGCCGGCGGAAGAACAGGGGCAGAGGAGGCAGAGGGTCAGCCCACGTACTCCCCCCTCCCTCCCTCCCCCACCAAGAGCCCCTCCCCACCCCACATCCCGTTGAACCCTTACCAGGCCCTACCTCTACAGCCCGACCACCAAACCTACACTCCCGCCCCGCTCCTGCACCTCCACAGGGCCATGGGAGCGGACCAGCCCACTCACCCCCATTCTGCCCCTCCCGTGCTGTGTCCCCCTCCCAGGTGGCGGCGGCCGCGATCGCTACTGGGATGGAGGCCGTCGGGTTGAGGGATGCGCCCATGGAAGACGCCACCGACTCCCCCTCCCATCCCTCCCACCCCTTCCATGTCGACGACCCCCTACCGCAACCCATGGTGATTGGGGAGGGCCAAGGGGGCCTTCTAGGGCAGGGTCCACACCCGAGCTCCGCTCAGCCAGCAAGCCCCACTCCACCCTCTACCCTGCCAGCCCTCCTACTCTCACCTACAGGCAGGCAGGTCTTCGAGACCCCAGAGGAGGTGAGGGCTGGCATTTCAGATTTGCTGGCGATACACCGCCCGAGCAGCTCTCCGGCTGCCCCCACCCTTCCAGTCCCACAGGACCGGACCCGGACGTATGCGGAGGTCACCCGGTCTGTCCCTTCTTTTATCCCCCCCGCCACTCAGCCAGGCGCGTCACTCCCGACCCCAATGGAGACGGACCAGGTTCTGAGGCCGTGTCACGCGCACCTAGATGGGGTGGCGCCTCCCCCCGTTCACCCCGTGGCGCAGGAGGTCACCAGCAGTAGGGATGAGGCATCCGCCCCTACCGAGACCCCTCCGCCTGGGGTAGCAGAGCCGTCACTTGAACCGCACCCCGCCGAGGGGCAGGAGCACACCACGGCACACACTTCAGGCTCACCTCCACGTCCCCCCTCCCCAGCTTCGACACCGGTACCGGCACGAGGCCCGGCCCTATCCTGTGCGACACCACCTCTATCTTCGCTGACACCCCCCATGCACGGGGCTGGTGAGTCGTCTCCTCCCCTCATCCCAGGCGATCCTCTCGGAGCTCAGGCCGCCCACGGGGTCCCCTCTACAGCCAGTTCCGACGCCACGGCCCCGATTGACCCCGCCGACACGGCGACATCACCCGACCAGGTCGTGAGTTGCCCCACCTGCAGGAGCTCTCTCGCGAACCGACGCGCGCTCCAGCACCACATTCCCTTCTGCCATCCTGCGGACGCGGCTCGCAGGGCGCAGGCTGCCCATGACACCGCCTCGATCATCCCTTCCCTCTCACAGCCCCGTGCGACCGGGATACAGTTCACCGACGCACAGTGGCAGACGCTCGACTCGGTGGACTGGACAGAGTACTTCTCGCCCGAGCGTATCCATGCACGCCCTCTCCGACGTGTCCCGGAGAGGGTCCGCGGAGGATATCTCGACGTCCTCAGTGCGATCCTAGTCCGCATTGCCCAGGACCCGGAGGCTGCTGGCCCTACCTTCCTCCTCGCTGCAGCGCCGACTCTTTTCCTTGTTCCAGCGACGCCACCCGACCGCTCGCACACGGCTGCCATTGCAACGCGCATCTCCCGCTTTGGTCGAGGTGAGTGGGCTGAGCTAGTCTCAGATGCACTAGGCCGTCGCACACCCCTTCCTCGGCGCACAGGTCACCGGTCACGCACCGCCACCGATCCCTCTACAGCAGATGAGCGCCGCATTGCACGTTGCCTTCGTCTGGCAGCGTGCAATGAGACCTCACGGGCGTGCGCGGCTCTCGAGTCCGCGGAGGCAGCCCCAGATACACAGGGGACGATACAGCGCCTGCAGTCGAAGCACCCCAACGCGGAGAGGCCGACCCCAGCTTGGCAGTCTGGCTTCCAGGGGTCCCCTCTCGTGCTCTCGGTGGATCACTTACGCCGCGCGATTTTCACAGCTCCGCGGGGCTCTTCGGGAGGACCGTCCGGTTGGGTCGCTGAGCACCTGCGAGACACTTTCCTAGCTTTCCCTCAGAGTCTCCATTTCCTCCTGGCCGTGTACCAGCAGTGGCTCCGAGGCCGTTGCGCTCCAGCTACGCGCTCCTTGCTAGCGTCTTCCACCCTCGTGGCTCTGGCGAAGTCGAACATGGATGTTCGGCCGATTGCCATCGGCGAGGTTTTGGTCCGCATTCTTTCTCGTGCAGTCTGTCTCCAGCTACGTGACCAGATGGCGAGGGTCTTCTTGGCGTCACAGCAGTTTGGGGTGGGGGTTACGTGCGGGACAGAGGTCGTAGTTAGAGGCGTCCGCCGCGCTCTGGCTGACCACCCAGACTGGGTGGTCCTGCAGCTAGACGTGGCGAATGCCTTTAACTCTTTCCACCGAGACAGGATGTTCCAGGCGCTGCAGGCCAGCCCGGAGTTTCAGTGCCTGATCCCCTTCATCGGCCTCTTCTACGGGACGCCCTCGGATCTCCACTACAGGTCAGGCACGGGAGTGGTCACGATGCACTCGGAGCGGGGCACTCGCCAGGGAGACCCTCTCAGCCCCTTCTTGTACGCTCTGACACAGCGTCTTGCTTTGGAGCCGGTTCTGGTGGAGGGGGATGTCCAGCTCTGGTCGTACGCCGATGACACGTACGTGCTAGGTCCCCCAGACAGGGTGCTGCACCACTTTGCCGAGATCGTGAGGCGCTTGGGCGAGATGGGCCTTGCAGCCCAGCCGCACAAGTGCCTCGTCTACCAGACAGAGTCCTTTCTGTCCAGGGATCTGGAGGCCTTCACGGGCCTAGGGATCGAGGTCGCACGCCGAGGGCTCACCGTGACAGGCGTACCGGTAGGCACCGTTTCGTTCGTGGAGCAGAGTCTCCCGGATCGTCTCGAGAGGATGGGGCGGGTGCTACCTTGGCTTCCGAGGTTGCGCCAGCCCCAGACAGCTGCCCGCCTTCTGTCGGCGTGTGTCAGCACTCGTCCGCAGTACCTGTCGAGGACCGTCCCTCCTTCGCCCGCAGTGATCTCTAGTTTTACACGGTGGGACGCACGCCTGGGAGAGACATTTCAGCAGCTTTTAGCTTCAGGGACCTGGGCTTGTCGCGAGGACGTCCGAGAGGCCGCCCTAGACCAGATCTTCCTCCCCATCCGTCTCGGGGGTTTCGGCATTCGTCGCATGGCACGCATTGCCCCGGTGAGTTTCGTGTGCTCCTGGGTGCAGTGTGCTCCCATTCTCTGTTCTCTCCCTGCGTGTGGCGAGGTGTTTCGGCAGAGCTTCGCTTCAGGTGAGCCAGAGCAGATCGACCGGGCTCTGCAGACGGCGCTAGAGGGTCTCCCACCTGACGTTCTCTCTCTCCTTCCCCCCTGGCCCTCTTGCGCTTCTGCCTCCCCCGATTCCCTTTTTGCAGGAGCGAGCCGTCTTCTGGAGGCGCATGCCTTGGAGGCCGTGCGTGCCCGTCACGCCTCTCCCTTGCACCTTGCCCGTTTGACTTCCCTTCAGGGCGGAGGTGCAGGGGCGTGGTTGACGTCGGTGCCGTACGCTGACCCACTGCGCATCCCGGAGGCGCTGTGGCAGGCGGCTTCATCTTCTCGTCTTGGTCTCCCTATCCCCCAGTTAGCCCTTGCAGGTCAGTGCTCCTGCGGACAGGCGATTGACGACATGACGGTGCCTCATCACGCGGTTCGGTGCCCGCGCTACGGGGTCGCCACTACCATCCACGACACGGTGAAGTACATGCTTCGAGACTTTGCGGTCGAGGCGGGCTTCGCGGTAAAGGTGGAGGACTCTACGCTGTTCACACAGTTGGAGGCGGCTCGAGCGAGACTACTGGGACAGCCAGTGGTGGGAGAGGGGACGCGGGCTGAGGGACCGGGGGAGCAGAGAGGCGAGGCGGGATCAGCCGGGTGGCGGGGGACAGTGGGGACAGCACCAGCTGCGGGGTCAGGTGGAGCGAGGGATAGGTGGGCAGAGGGGACGGCAGGGGGAGCAGACGGGCCAGGACGGGGAGGGGAGACGGCACAGGCAGCAGCAGGAGAGCCAGTGGAGGCCGCGGGCCCAGGGCGCCGCGCCTCCAGGTTCGGCCTCGGAGGTGGGGCAGGGGCGGGAGCAGCAGAGAGCGGACGGAGGTACAGGAGGGGCAGCGGGATTGGGAGGGGAGGGCCAGGGAGTGAGAGAGGCAGCAGGGGATGGAGCAGGGGGGTCGGGAGGGTTGGGGGAGGGTAGAGAGGGGGAGGGGAGAGGACAGGTGGATGGAGGAGAGGAGAGGGGGAGAGAGACGATCGGAGAGGAGGCACCAAGGGACCAGACAGGGCAGCAGCCAGCGCAACAGCAGGGACCAGTCGGACGCACAGGCCGTGTAGGCACCGCCTCCCGCATCCCAGACCTCACCTGCCGCGACGTTGGCCAGGGTCTGATGGTTCTTGTGGATGTCTCCATAGCGGATCCACAGCGGGAGGGGAACGTGCAGCTGAGACGGGCGACCCCCACACAGATTGGAGTGGCAGCAGCTAGGCGGGTGCAGGAGAAGCTGCGGCACTGGGGGCCGCACTTAGAGGGGCTGCAGCCGGCACCACACTTTTACGCGTGCGTGGCGGAGACCTTTGGCCTTCTGAGTGAGCCGCTGCGTCAGTTTCTGGGGCTCTGCGCAAAGAGGATAGCACAGCGGAGGAGGGATAGAGGTGGGGGGGATGACGGATCGGCACGGATATTTGAGGCAGGACTCACTACACGCCTCTCCGTTGCACTGCAGCGCGCGCAGGCTCAATGCATGATCCAGCATGCGGTGCGGCAGTTAGGGAGATCCGACGACGGGTGGATGCCCGCACCAGTCCCACTGGGTGCGGGGCAGGGTACTTGGCACCACGTCACAGGGTGCTTCGAGAGTGTGGCTGATATGCAGTATATATATGATGCATATGTGTAAAAAACAATAGTGGCTGTGCTTGAAACGCTGTGCCCGTGCGGTCGTGCGGGTTGCTGCCGTGTTGTGGTCCTTTGGTGCTTCCTCCTCCTTAGTCTCTCTCCCTCTCTCCTCTTCTCTTCCCACCTCCCTCTTTCTGTTCCCTTCTTCTATCCTTCCCTTCTCTTCCTACCACCCTCTTCTTTTCCCTACCACTTCTTCTTACTCCTTCATCCTTCCTTCCTTTCCTTTCTTTCCCCCTTTTCCTACAAAATATATATACCGTCCTCATAGCGATTAGGCTATGTCGAAATTTCCTAGTCTTGGAAAAACCATTATATTCGGCTTGTATTTGCTCTTCCCCTATTAATGAATAACTGCTCTCGCCCACCGGCGCTTAGCTTCGGAGTTCTGATGGGATCCGGCGTAGTAGCCGAGGTATGATCGTACCACGTCAACCTCGTGCCCCGACCGCTACACACCCCTTGCCCGGGTCCCCCCCTTCATAGTCACACCCCCTGCCCCCTCATGCCATCCGCTCCCCCCGCCCCTACCCTCCGCGTGCCCGCTCCCTTGCCGCCTCTTTTGACCCTCCCTGCCCCCCCTCGCCGTTTCCCACCGCCCGCCATTCGCTCCTCCCCGCCCGTGCGCTCCCCTCCTTTACCTTCTCCTCCCCCCTCCCCTCCTCTGCTGCACGCCTCTTCCTTCCCCTCGCCGACCCACTCCACTCCCTGCCCCTCCTCAATCCGCACCCTGCCCCTCGTATCTCGCCCCCCTATGCTTGGTTTCTCCCCTCCCTGCCCCTCGCCGCCTTTCCCCGCTCCCCACCTCCCCCCTCTCCCTGCCCCCCCACTCTCCCCCCCCTTGTCCTTGGCTTCCTACCTCCCTGCCTCACCTTTCCCCCCTCCGTGTGCTCAGCTTCTCCCCTCCCTGCCCCTCCCTCCTCCCCGCCCTGCCCCTCATTTTCCGCCCCCCCCACGCCCGGTTTCTCCCCTCCCCGCGCCTCCCTTTCTTTCTCCGTGCCTCTCCTTTGCTCCCTCCCTGCCCCCGCCTGCCCATGCCCCTGTCTTTGGCTTCTCCCCTCCCTGCCCCACGTTTCTTCCCTCCCTGCCCCCCGTCTGCCCCTCCCTTGTTTTCCCCTCACCCATTGCTTCTCTCCTCCCTGCCCTTGATTTCCCACACCCCTGCCCTCGTTTCCTATCATCCATGCCCCTCGTTTCCCCCCTTTGTACGTTCAGCCTCTTCCCTCCCTGCCCCTCCCTTCCTCCCCCCCTGCCCTTTGCTCTCCCCTCGTTACGCTCCCTTCTCCCCATCCCTGCTGCCCTCTTACCACCATCAGCCCATCCCCACGACCAGCCCCCCTCCCACCCTTCAATCCCCCCCTCCCTCTCTCTCTCTCTCTCTCTCTCTCTCTCTCTCTCTCTCTCTCTCTCTTTCTCACACACACACACACGCACACTCCCCTCCCCCACCCCCCCACGTACATCCTCCCATTCTGCCCCTCCCTGCCCCTTTCCCACCCCCTCGCACGCCCCTCACCTCCCACCTCCGTGCAACTGGTTTCCCCCCTATGGTGCCACCCTTGCATCGCTCGCCCCTCTGCTCACCCTCTGCCCGCCCCTTTTCCGTGCCCTCAGTTGGCCCAGCCCCTGCCCGTTGCTGCCCCTCCCCTTGCCCCCTCAACTCCCCTGCCCCCCGTACACCCCAAGTCCCATCCAACCGCCCCCACCCTCCCCCGGCTGCCCGTTTCCGCTCTCCACCCCCGCGACCGTGTGCGGCTTCCAACCGCCCAACGGTGGTGCGCACGGGGCGTTTCTTCGCACGGGCAAGCCTCCCCGGGGGCCCCCCACCCCGCTGGGTCGTTGTTTGGGCAAAAAAACGAAAAGAAAAGAATCGGACGCGCTAAAATCGTCCTTTCTTTTTCCCGCTTGCCCCTCCCCCGGCACGTGCCGAGCAAGGGGCATAAATGGGTACAACACGAGGACTTCCCGGGAGGTCACCCAGCCCAGTACTGCTCTCGCCCACCGGCGCTCTTACCTTGACCTAGCTTACCTAGCCATGGCTGCCTACTAAGGAGCCTCCTAAACCTACTATTTCGAGTTGCTTAAGGACAAAGTGATTGTGATAGTTGTTTATGTTATAGTTATAAGCGTTTCCAACGGTTAGTTTTTAGTTTCGACTGTCGAGTTCGACGGGACGGGGTCGCGAGTTTCGCGCGCGACCCTCAGGAGTCTCGGAAACGGAACTCGCGGGGTGTTACGGAACCGCTCGTTCGACCCCGCCATCGCGGGAAGGCTGCGGACGCGCTGCAGCCGGTGTAACGGGAGGTGGGGCGTTGACGCGAAGTTCGCCCGCGGAGTGTAACAGCGCGCGCGACTCACAACCACAACTCCGCCAGACACGGTGTTCCCGCCCATCCCCTCTCTCGACACTCTCCCTTATCCCCCCGCTCTTTTCTGCCCACGGCTTTGCTATTCGAAGCGATTAGCAATACCGAGTTTCTTCCCGCGGTTTCCCTCTCTCGAAGTCACTGAGCTTAGCTTCCGCCCGTAGTTAGCATTCTTCCTTCCCTTTCAGTGCGCCCTTCTTTATCGAAACCCTAATTCGAAGAGCCGCGCGTTTTCAAGCACGCTTTCTCGTCGCCTATCACTGTTTAGTCACGCACTCGTTTTTCCCCGCCCGTTCAATCTAGCCGCGACGTAGACGGAACCGCGCACGGGGCGCTTACCGCCAGGGAAAGGCAGCGCGGAGGGAGGCGAAATTGCTACGTTCGTAGCGATTAAGCAGCCCTCCCCTTGCGCGCCTCCCGAAGCGCGTTTTCTGCCTAGAGCGTTTTAGCCGCCCACGTTTGGCACACAAGCCGCCCCACTCCCCCTTTTGCTCACTCCCACCCTGCCATGCCTCGTCGCGCACTCGTGCATGCCACCCACACGTCGTAATCTTACCCCGTCGCCACCCACATAGTCACCTCTCCTGCTCACACCGCCCCTTTCCCCCTCACACGCGCGCTTTAGCCACCCCGCCACCTAACCTCTTTCCCTAACGGCGCTTAGCTAGCAGAGGCCGCCCTGTCTCTGGAAACCGTAGGAAATAAGAGGAAACAACTTCAAGGAAAAAAGAAAAGAAAAAGAAATTCATATAAATCGGAAAAAACCAGGAAAAATCAGAAAGGCAGCTTACACCTTGTTCTCCCAACCCTCCAGGGCCCCATCCAGTCCGCCACCCCCCCCATTCTGTTTCATCATACTACACCACACCCTCCCCTTTTGCCCACCAGCATTACCGCCCCTCTCCCCTTATCCCCCACCACGCCCCCAAGCAGGCCTTTTCTCCCCCCAGCCCCCCGTCTCCCTGCCCTTAGTACCGCCGCGCTCTGCCCGTGCGTCACCCTCGCCCACTTCATACCACCTCCCCCTTCTCCCCCCCCCGGCTTCTCCCTATCATCACCCGCATGTTCCCCCACTCCCCTGTCCACAACGTCCCTCCTCCACCCCCCCTCCTGCCTTCCCCACTCCCACTCTGCCCCCCACACCTCTACGAGCCGTACCTCCCCCTCCAGCCTCCCTTTTCCCCCCCAGCTACTTCCGCATCCAGCGTGGGCTGCACCTCTGCATCCTGCCCTGCCAGGCCCTTCGAGGACCCAACTGCCGCCACCTGACACCACGCCGCCTTTCCCACCCCCATCCAATCTCTACACCCCCTGCCCCTGCTCCCTGCGCAATCCAGCCACCTACCCCAGCCTCCCTCTACCTCTCCCTAACTCCACACTGCCGGTTCCTACCCCCAGCCAGGGTCTACACCCCTTGCTTTTGCTCCCTGTGCTGTGCCGTCCCCAACCTCCGTCCGCCTTTCCGCGGCACCAGACCGCCTCTCCCTCCCCCAGCCAACCTCTGCACCCCCTGTTCCTGCCCCTTGTGCCTTCCAACACCCTACCCCAACCCCCCCCAGTCTCCCCCTTCTCCAACACCCTCCATATTTCCTCCCCCCTGGGGCTCGCCCATCCGCAGGTATCACCCTTCATCAATTCCCCAATTCCCTCTGTCCCCTGTTTCCCGGCCCCGCATCCTATTCTGCATTTACCACAGCGCCTCCTTTCGGTGCCCTCTCGGCCCTCCCACGTTCTCACCCCCCGCCTCCCAACCTTCTCATTACCCGCTACCAGGCTCACGCCAACTCGACTACCCACTACCCTTTGCCCCTTCCTCTCTGTTCCCCACCCTTCCTTCCCCACTTGGCTCCACCTGCCCACCCCCACCTCCCGTGGAATTCTGCCCTGCCCTCCCCACCTCTGGCCCACCACCTGTCCCCACACCCTGCTCACCCACCACTACATCACCCCCGCCCCCCCACCTCCACTACAGCCCGCCAACACTTCCCCTCTCAACCGGCCCCCAGCCCGCCCCCCCCTTGGGCCCAATCCCCTCCAACCGTCAGGCCCCCTCTACCCTCTCTTCCACCCACTGCGCACCGCTTTCCCCACCCTTTTTCCATTTCCCCAAGCTAACCCCCCGCACCCCGGCCTCTGCCAGGGAGTTCCTTCCCCCTTTGACGCCCTCTTGAGCCAACTCCAGCAACTCACACCGCCACCGCCAGGCATGCTGCCTCTGTAACAATGCCCCAGCACCCCGCGAGTGGGGAAAAGGCAGACCCGGGAGCCCCTCGGCGATCTGGGAGGTCCCGCAGCCGAGCCACCCCCTACTCTCCCACTCCCCCCACTTCAACAGTCAGGAAGAAACAACACACACCTGACCAAGCGAAAACACTCACACAATCTGACCCTAGGGGCCAGAAGCGTACCCTTGAAGAGGATGGAACAGAGGAACGCCAAGCCCCACTGGAGGAAATACACAAGGAGGAGCCAGCACGCTCAAAACCGCGCCCTACCCCCGCGGCCCCATCCCAGCCTACCCCCCCTTCAGGTGACAGCGGGGGACGGCACCCATGCATGCCAAGTGGAGAGATCCCCCAACTCTACTCGCTACCTCCCATTCGCAAACCAGATTACTTGTGAAAACACTTAATCCTACTAGCACCCCCAAGCACATAGAAGCGGGAGGGGGCAGAGCCAGGGGGGAACTTGCAGCTAACACTGCACGGGAAGGGGTAAGTGAATGTGTGTGCGAAGGAGCAGCAGAGGCTGCAGAGGATGGGGCAGCAAAGGCTGCACGGGAAGGGGCAATGGGGGTTGTGGGGGAAGGGGCAGCAGAGGTTGCAGAGGAAAGGGCAGCAGAGGCTGCAAGGGAAGGGGCAGCAGCGGCTGCACGGGAAAGGGCGGCAGAGGCTGCACGGGAAGGGGCAGGCAGGGACCGTGACTCTGGCCAGGCAAAGGGCAGAGGCCATGGAGACAGGTTTTGCAGGAGTAGGGGCCACGGAACCTGCAGCTGTGTCGGCTGGGGGAACCGCAGCAGAGGAGGCTATAGGGACCGCACCAGGCGAGGCCGCACAGACGCACAGCAGGTGTGGCTGCAGGGATCACAAACGGGTGAGGCTGCAGGAGGGACCATGGCAGGTGAAGCCGCAGAGAGCGCAGTAGGTGAGGCTGCAGGGAGCGCAGCAGGTGAGGCTGTAGGGAGCGCAGCAGGGGAGGCTGCAGAGAGCGCAGCAGGTGAGGCCGCAGGGAGCGCAGCAGGCGAGGCTGCAGGGAGCGTCAGCAGGCGAGGCTGCAGGGAGCGCAGCAGGCGGGGCTGCAGGGGCCGCAGCAGGTGAGGCTGCGGCGGACGCAAGCAGGTGAGGCTGCGAGGGCTGCATCATGTAAGGTTGGGCCAGACTCTAGCAGGTGAGGCTGCACAGTCTACAGCTGGTGAGGTCGCAGGGACTGCAATAGGTGAGGCAGCAGGGACTGCAGCAGGTGAGGCTGCAGGGACCACAGCGGATGAGGCGGCAGGCGGGACCAGGGCAGGTGAGGCCGCAGGGAGCGCAGCAGGTGAGGCTGAAATAGCCGCAGCAG